TTCCCCTTCCCCAACACAAAAACCCCCATCCCCCTCTCCTTCCGATTCCCATCCCAGATCTCCCGAAACTCCGCATTGGGAGCAGCCGCCACCCCGCGATAATCATTAATAAACCGTGCTTCGGTACCGCACTTCTTGGCATCGATACCGATCCCCCATTCGCGGTCGAGGGAAAGGTCGTAGTTGGAGTTGGCATGGGGGTCTATTGTCTCTATGTTTATGCTTTTGCAGGCTGGATCGTGAGTTTGATCCAGACCGGAGTTGGAATTGGAACTGGATTCTGGTAGAGAATTTGAGATGGGTGTTAAGGTGACGTGGATCTCGCCCATGTATTGCAGTATGAACGTCCCCGGTTTGAGATCTGCGGTTGCGAAGAGGCCGCTTTGTCCGTGTGCCGGGTGGGAAGGTGTGGATATGGGGGTTATCTTGACGAGGGAGCAGGGTCCTTTGGCAGTGCTGATTGTTGGGATTGTCGGGTCTGTGGTGTTTTTTGTTTTGAGGCTGGTGATGTGGTGTTGTTGGAAGGTTTTGGAGTAGATTGGTGCTGTGAGGAAGGGGATTTCTGGGGGCCAGTTTTTGGGCTTGGATCCCCGTGTGTTGGATTGGGAGGGCATTGGGATATTTGACTCATTTGAGGACTATTCTTGCCTTTAATCCTGTTTGAGCGTGGAAACGCGTGGAAACGATGAGGGGGTTCACTGAGCTATGGACTGATGGCATCAAGCTTTAGAAACACTGTGAGACAGTGAATTCAGAGAGAATCTTCCCAAATTTCACACGACTATCTCTGTCTGCAAAACTTAAAGGAAAACACCATTCAGAACATTCTAAAATAAATCACCGGTCTCGACGCCTGGCTAGGTAGATGTCGAGCAACGTCGTGGCGTGTAGATCCCCCGCAAAAATGAAGCAATTCAGAATATCGCGGTATGAAAAATGCCAAGACACCACCCCGCCATTAACGGGGACTGAAAACTTCTTGTTTATTACTTTTGAACTTATATATCTAAACTTATATACTTATGCTATAGGGTAATTAGGAATAATAAATAGGCTCCTAGTAAATAAAAGGAATAATAGAGATTACTTTTTAGTTCTATTAGTATAAGTTAGTTTAAGTATTAATAATTACTCTTATAAGCTAAGGAATTATTATAGAATATTAAAAATATTTTAATACTTTTAATAAGTTAAATTTAGTTTAATAATAATAATTACTTTACTACTTTTCCTATTTACCTAGCAGAAATATATATACTCTAGGTAACCCCCCTCTCTCCTAGTAAATAAGAAAAGTAATAGAAACCTCTTTTATCTTATTCTAATTTAACTAGATAAAAACTATTACATTATATTATTTATTTAGAATAATTAAAGTGATTTATCGAAAACGATAGTATAATAAAAACTATTGTTCTAGATACTTTAAACATTTCAATACTTAGAATTAAATTATACTAATAGTTTAAAAAATAAATCTCTACTACTTTCCTTATCTACTACAGGTAGAAGCCTCCCTAAACCACAAGCCATATTATTAACCCCGCGCCACTAACGAAACAACAACCAGAACCTCCAGACACTATAAATAAACAAAAAGGGTCGAGTAAACTCTAGAAATTTCTACGTTATCAAATGTAGCTAGTACCTACACCAACAAAGAACAAAAACGCCACAATCCATCTAGCCACATCCAAACACGCAGCGGACAATATCCACTGACGTAACGCTTAAACAGCGTCATTGAAAGCAGTCAGAAGAACCAACCCCCTTCACGCATTTCATTCAAAGCAGTGAGATCATATGCATGCGCCACATACCATAACCCCGCGAAAAGACTCCAGGATTGCGCTCCATAACCTGAATCCAGTCCGCTACAAGTAGAGCAAGTAGATAGGAAGAAAAGTGCATATATTAAGCCACACCTACCTCAATCTCTCTTCCTCCTCTTTTCTGCGTACGCAAAAGGAAAATTGCATTTGCAAGTACACCTACGAACTTACAATTTACAACTATTAAAGACGTACCCCACCATACCAACCACCCAAATCCTGTAAAGAAACGCAAAAATGCCTTCCATAATCGACTCCCTAACCTCCCTGGTCAACTCCATCATCGGCGCAATCATCTCCTTCTTCACCTCCATCTTCGCCCTTTTCGAAGGCGTCATCAGTGGGATCCTGAACCTCTTTAGTGGCGCGATTAACGCTGTGGGAACCACCATCTCGGGGTTGGCGAAGACGTTTGGAGGGTTGGTGAATTTTGTTTTGAGTAAGTTACTCCTCGATCTTTTGGAGGATGAGAAGAGAAGATGGAAGAGGGGAAAGTGAGAATGCCTGCTAATGGAGAATAATAGGCAATATAGTCATCATCGGTCTAGCAGCTGCTGGATTCTACCTCTATCAAAACTACCAAGCCAAGAACCGGGGCGCGACGACGGGGAAGAAGATCAACTGAGGAGCTCGGGGTAATGATGGTGATGGGGATGGGTTGCAAACACGATATAGGGAGGATGATTTGATTTTCCGCAGCTTATGTGATGGGACGAGGTTATGTTTGGACAATGTATCGATAGGTAGTCTCCTAGTGGACAAGAAAATGGCGGAAATTCGATTTTTTAAAACTAGTAGCGTAAGTTAATTCTAAGTACGAAATTGTTTTTAGATATCTGGAATAATTACCTGCATTGTACTGTCGTTTTCGAGAAATTGTTTTAATTGTTCGAAATCGATGATAAAATGTAATGGTTTTAAGATAAGTTGGGATGAGATAGAAGAGGTCTTTACCACTTTTCTTGTCCACTGGGAGGTGGTGTTATGATTTGACGAAGGAAAGGAAAGGAAAAGACTAGCGATGCGAAAAAATCGGAAACCACAAATCGTGGATGGGGAAACAGAATAGTCAGAAATGCATGCCTAGCACAAACGAATCCCATCTACGAATCTTCATACTGCGAATGCGGAATTCATACTCGTGGTGCTCATACGAGGTTACGACCCTCATCTCCTATCTCGCAAATTCCCATCTCCGTTGAATATGACAACTGAGCAGTCCCATCCCGGACGAGAAAGATAGAAAAAAAAATGGCAAGGAATCAAGGAAGAAAACAGATTCGCTGCAGAAACTTTGTGTACACTACTCAAGCAAGACAAGAAACATGCCAACGTTTCTAGTCGCACGACACAAGGCTAGTACGAGATCTTGTGCCCAAGTGACGCATGATGGTGAAAAGGGAGATAGCGTTAACTACACCGTCGACAAAATTACGGATATGAAAAAAAAAGCTTATCGGAGAGAAGATGGAGTGTAAGGATAGGAAGGATGGAGACTTCCTTGTATACCGACAGTTCTTAGGAGTAGAAATAAGGCTAGATTGGCGACGCTTATCTCTCGGTGTTGGAGCTTTAATCTTGTGGGGGTAGGACTGTGAATTTATTGGCAATATTCAAGCTCCTGGTGACAAGCGTAAGTTGGTAGAAAGGGTTTGAATGTTCTAAATCTTTTGGGACAGTGACTTTAAATGTCCTATGATTTTCAATGAATTGTTTTGATTGGTCTAAATAACTCGGAATAGTCAAATATCTCATATCAACTTTCGCTTACAAGATAGGAGTCACTGCCATTATTATTTTTTGCGGGAGACCGAGGTACCTAGACACTCGAAACTACAGGTAGTGATGCCGACGCTCGGTATGGGAAAATTCATGATGGGATATAGTAAGAGCGTGGAGAAATGACGAATGAAAGCCGGAACTTGGAAAGGAGCATTGGCCAACGGACCCGAACGAATGTAGATTTTGGATCTTGGAACGTACACAGTGTGTACGTACTTGTACATACGTGTCGTGTTTACCGGGTCTGACAGTAAGTTTCATGAAACTGTTGTACTGTAGCGACACCGAACCCGATACAAACAAAACTAAAAGGGACCTCGGGACCAACGGTGCTGATCTACTAACCAACACCAGCTAATGCCCTATTGGTAACATCGGACAAGCCTGATACTTGAGTACCTAGGTACCTGTACTGTATTCGGTGACCAAAGTATAAAAGGCTGACTCTTTATCGCATCGTGATTGTTCTGAATCAGCGGTCCTTTCGTGCTAAGCTGATTTTGAGGTCCAAAGGTGAAGATATTCGGTAATGAGTTTGGATTGAAGTAGCACGTTGCTTTCTCCTAGTATCTCTTGACTACATCTTGACCGCTCTTCAGGTTGGAAAACCACAAGGCAACAATAAGTTGACAGATGAAATAAAGTTTGGACTAAAAGAATGATTCGATCTCCGGTTGCCTAATAATTAAACTCTGGAGCGATCGAGCTCAGGACACCCCGCAGAGCCGCCTCCTCACACCAAACCTTGGAAGCAGTTTTTTTGATGAGTCAGACAGATATCCATAATCTGATATTCCTCAAAATTGAAAATTGAAGGTAACTGTTATTGAAAAGATCATTGTTGAATGTAAGACGATGGATACATGGAAATGTTCCAACCCCTCGGAGTTAGAGCTGGAGATGAAGGGCCGAGTCTCGTGACGCGCCATTTTTGCCATAGGACGGAAGTACATCTGGGGAGAGCGAAGAAGGATACACCTTTTTTTCCCCTTTCCCTTCCTTTCTGGCGGTGAAACCTTTTAAAGGAAGCAAAGCGCGGAGGCCAGCGTGGGGAGGAACCGGGAAACGATTAGCGTTACTGGTACTATGCAGGACATTGCAGCTGCTGATGTTGGTGGTGGTGGTGGTGGTTCTCAGGGGACACTTTGCTTTTGCAGTTCTCTTTCTTTGGCAATGTAATGTCCAATGGTCACCATATGACCCGCGCGGGGGGCCCGCGTACCTCGGATTGACAAACTTACGTATGCCTATGTCCCCTACATGGGAATAACTTGATTGTTTGAAAAGGCTCTGCAGCCAAGCTGGCCGGGACGCCGTCCATGATAATGATGGTAGATCTGTACCATGTGTGGCGGATATTGCAATGGAGTAATAGGCGGGGGAGGAATCCATCCCACCACCATCCTTGGACTTATCTGTTGATGGCTTTGGGGAGAAAGCTTGACAGAAGAGACGGTCCAGGTCCAGGCGGATGTGGATGTAGCACAAGAGAAAGGGATCCGTAACATTCTCGGAGCCGTCGTCGAATTGTTCGCTATGCAGCGACTGGAGCGGTAGCAGATGACCAGACGGCAACCGCTTTCAGAGGGGTTGAGAGGGGCATCTCCAATCACGACAAGTCAATTGATCAAATCCAAGTTCCAACTCAGCCTCGCTGTGCCTTTCCCGGACAAGACCGACCACAGAAAAGTGTTGGAGAAGTGTTCGGTGGCTTGCTGGCTTGATGGCATTTCGTGGGGTAACATCTCCAGCTTCCTCCCCCCATTATTAGGCCATTACAAGACAAACTCGAGTGCAAGAAGCGAGGATTGCTGCTGTACGCCATGTGAATTCGGGTTTGATGCAGTAATCCCATGCACTGCACCATGCAAGCAGTTACTGTCCTAGCGAGACTACTCCTAGCTACTAACTGCTCTCGTCGTACAATCTGGAGGGGTAGTATTCCTTTGAGCAGTTGACGTCGTCTGCAGCAAGTGTCAAGTCCTTGCGGTCAAGCTGTGAGCGAGGACCGAGGAAATGGATGCATCCGAATTGCAATGAGGTCCGTCCGAAGTGCCGGATGGGGTCTTTCTGACTATTGTTACTTGAGTATTACCACCACCATACTATTACTATTACTATTTCCCTGGGCGAGAGTGCCGATTCATGTCTAGATCACGCTGCTCGAGTTACCAGGCGCGCCGCGGGTACAGAGCAGAGGGCATAGGGCAGGATGACAGGGCGTCGGCGTTCTAAGACATAAGCTTTGGTGTTTTGGTCGTAAATTCCAGTTGGGGCTGTGTGCTTTTTCTCTCTTCAGGCCACCCCCAGATGGGGTATCCATGGGCGATCCATGGGGAACTCAGACATCAATACCTAATGGTGGTAACCACAAATGGTCCGACCGATAATCCGATTACGGGCTGAAACAAAGAACTGACTGGACACTCCACGATTATTGCCAGCGGGATGAGGACTGACGTGCGAACTCGAGCCGCTGTTGTTATCTCTGAGAGAGAGTCGTCTGTGGTACATGCAAAGGGAAAATCTGAGCATTATCAGAAGACTCGGAATGGAAAATTTTCTGGAGAAACCCTATATGAATCCGTATGGTGTTTTCCTACAAGACGATATGCGCATCGGACGTCTGGTGCCGGTGACAGTACGAGTAACTTACTTCTATTACCCTTCACCCTTACTCGAGTACTCGTAGCGAAGACTCGCTTCTGTCCGCATTCACCCATCCACCAGCAACACTCATACTCCTCCTTTGATTGCCCTTGGCCGTATATGATATACTCCGTATGGCACTTGAGTACTGGTACTCAGTGCTTCCACACTAGCAACTATCCCTCCGAACCGTCCCTCTGCGTACTCCTACCTGGGTACCCGAGTACCCTCGTTGTCACTACCACTGGTCCGCCGTCCACAGAACACCAGAAATCCAGTTCTGCGCCTCTGCAGCTGCACCACCCAATACAACTGCCACTGTACCTAAGGTACCTCCTCCCTCCTCCCTCCCATCTGCTGCCAACTCGGTCAACCTGCAGACACCAAACATCAAACACCAGACACCTCACCGTGCCCCAGTTTTCAGGGCTCGCTTGCTCCCCGGAGGATAACAGGTCCAGCTCCAGCTCCAGCTCCAGCTCCAGCTCCAGAGCCAGACCACCAGGCGCTCGAAACCTAGCCCTGCCTCAGGCACCTCACCCCGGCAACCGCAGCGGCTAAAGGTTACGTCGGTCGCCGTACCCTCATATAATTCCATCCACATCGCCCACTTCCGATCGCTCTTACTCTCTCTCATCTGCCCGCCAGCATTCTGCGAATTCTTCATTTTGGTCGCCACATAGGCCTGGGTGTTCCGCTTTAGCAGCCGTCGCCGTTTCGGCGCAAGGCTTGCCTCTCCACTCCTCTCACTGTCGCATATCTTTTTTGGCGTTGGCGTCCTCGTCCTCTTCCAGTTTGGAGCGATTGTTGAAAAAAAGATAACCCTCGAGCAGCAATACCGTCGATTTCCGCTTTTTACCCTCGACCCTGTAACTGCTCCTCTTGCGACTCGATTCTTCGACTCGGCAGTCCTTTGCGACTGCTCATAACCAACCAACCCTTTACCTTGATCGTGAACCTATCTCCTGGTAGACCGAGTCGGCCGTTTACGGTCGTCCGGCGCCACCTCCCCAATCACCTACCGATTCCTCCACCTACTACAAGACGAAAGAAAAGATGTTGATTAAAGGCGAGAAATATGCCTGCGAGGCTTGTGTACGAGGCCATCGTGTGAGCAACTGCCAACACTCGGATCGTCCGTTGCAACACATAAACAAAAAGGTAGCCATATCCACAAAGGGTGGCAGAAAGCATCTAATCTGACATATTTCCAGGGTCGACCAGTATCACAATGTACCCATTGTAGAACCCTCCGCAAATCACGCTCTGCCCACGTTCGTTGCGAATGTGGCAGTGAAAAGGCACACGCGAAAGGAGCTTGCTCACAAGATGGGAGCGATTCTCAGGGTAAGCTTTCGTGCTATTTTCCCGAGGTATAACAGCAGCAGTTTCTGATAATTTAACAACAGATAGCTGCTGTTGCAGTCATGGCGGTCGCTGTTTATGTGCCCTCAAAAAGGAGCACCTAGATCCCGTTCCCGAGTCCGACTCACACGAGCCCGTACAACCCGTAAATGAGAGACGTAGACCCCGAGCTCAGACGGTACAATCCGAGAATAGCTTGACATCCTTTGTCAATGGTCACCATAAGCCTGTACACAAGCATAACACAATGGCCCACAAATGCGGTCAGCCTTATACTGTCTCAAGAGCACACTCAATCCATGGATCCTCTCCCGCCGGGTTGGCCAATCGCTCCGTCGACAACTTGCCGCACACAAATACAATTGATGCCTTGCATAGCGATTCCCATATCAAAGATTCTATCGTTAGCGCTCAACAGGAGCAGCGAAAGGTCAAGTCTGAACACGCATCTCCTGTTGTCACGCCGGCGACGGAAGTTGATCAATGGAATTCAATGCTTCCACCATTGGATTTGTCCAACATATCGAGAGAATATATGCCCAACTTAGACACATACTCTAGCATTACAGACCACGAACAAGCATTATTCTCTGCAGGCCTCGACGCAGCTTCCATCGACTGGTCCCACTATGATGGACTCGATTTCAATAACAGCGATAGTTTCGCAACTTCATCTTTCAGTCAGCCTCCTTCGTTTACTGGATATGACTTTAGTAGTATGGACCAGCCAGCTCTCACTACCACCTCAACCTCTGGAGAGATATCTGAAGTAGAAGACTTTGGATTAAGTGATCCAAATACCCAATCGTCAGTAGGAAACATCAAGTATGGATCAGACTTCGATACTTCGGACTTTGGTGGGGAAGTTGATGGCTACCGACTCAGTACAGCTTCGTCCTTCATGGGAATACCCCAGATGCAGATGCTGGCTGGAAATAATGTAGAATCTCTCGATATGGAGATATTCCTTAAAGGGGGTCTGGGTTCCAATGGTTATTCGACCAATCATGGAATCCAAGCAAATACCTTTTTTGAAAATGGGAAGACAAATCAAAACTTGTCGCAATTCGACGACAACGTCAATTTTCCAATACTCTCTACTGATGATGATGCTTTTTGGATGCAGAATTTTGTGCCCAACGTGCCATTGAATGATGGCTCTGGAGATCTACCAGACGACATTTGGGGTCTATGACCATTTTGGAAAGGTACCAGGCCTTCGACGAATTTTCGTTTTTGGATAAATCCGCCGATGACCTGATGAAATTTTCTTGTGCAGCAATACGGAGCCGGAGTTGTTTACGAGCATGTGTTTAGACTGTCCATAGATTCGAATTTACATATTGCAATACCATACTACATAATCTTTAAACCGTCCTGACGTTGGCTGGCTGTTGTACATAATAATAATTCTCTACTTTCCTTCAGAGTCTTTTAGACGTACATTGTGGTAAGACTGCAGATCAAAACTTTCTTCGGTTTCAATCTTCCACGTTTTCATGCTACAATTGAAAGGGTTGAAGAGAAGTATGCTAGGGTTTCAGGTTCTTTTTGCATCTCAGCATCTGGCCCTCATTAGAAATGGTTACCGTAGCGGGGTACTGCTAGGAGGTCCCTGCCTGCTCTCTACCTAGCTCTACCGATCTGCCAGGTGATCATGTACGAGTAGCCATCCATTTCCTTTTGATATTCCAGTACCGCGGTGAAGCTTTGGGGTGAATAATTAGGTAAGGTATGGATTGCACGCTACAGGAAAGGATGATGTATGGAATCTACCTATGAATTGAATCTACTTTTTTATATTATTATTTCGTCTATTCGCTTACAGTAGACTTCTCCGAGGTTTTTTGGGAGGGGAGGGGAGGGGATTTAGGATTACGTGCTGGGTAAGCTGAGATTGTGATGGATGGGAAAGGTGGTTAGTTAGTTAGGTACGGTTTTGGATGCGGAGGCCGTTGGGAGCCGTTGTGTAAGAGAGGCGGGCACTACTGCTCTGTACACGCTATCAAAAGTCATTATACCAAAAATCTGGTATAAGTAACTCAATTTTCCTATTTCACCTCGTATAATAAGAAATGAAAAGTAATAATTATTCTAAACTATTCGTAGAATTGTTTTAGTTGTGTGAGATCTTTTTAGGATAATACTCTTTTTATAACTCATGTGTGTACAGAATAATGCCCGCCCCCTCTTACCGTGATTGTGTAACTGGGCCGGGAATCTGGAAAGATTGAGTTGTTGGGTTGGGTTGGGTGGCGTAGGGTAGGGTATGGTTGGGAAGAGTATCGTTCTCGGTCCGGAGTATATAGGTACAAGGAGGAGGGGAGCTGGGGTTAGTAGGTTGGTAGGTATGTTTGGTACATTGGGTACTTCCCTGTGGACTAGAAAAGTGGCAGAGACCTCTTGTATCTTATCCTTACTTAACTAAAAACCACCATATTATATTATCTATTTGGAACCATTAAAATGATTTATTGAAAACGATAGTACAATAAGGGCAATTGTTCTAGATATTTTGAATATTTAATACTTGGAATTAACTTACGCTAATTGTTGTAAAAATGAATCTCTGCTACTTTTCTTGTTTACCGGGAGCATGTGTATATATATATATATATATAATGTAATAAATGTTTTGGAAGGCATGTTGGTTAGTTACATACAGTAGCAAGCATTCCATTCTCCGTGTTCCTGTTCCGGTTACTTAAGACGGTGTTTTCCACGGATTTTCACAACGTTTTTTTATCCTTTGCATTGTGCCCGTTGGAGTGTCTACCGGGTGGTCGGGTTGCTTGGATGATTAGATTGCTCCCTTTTCTCCCCATCCTTTTCCATCTCGGGGTTTGCGGCGCTTGATCGATGAGGCTGGATGGGAGGGGCGTTTTCTTCCGTAAGGTATAGGCTGTGCTTTGTGGGTAGCGTGCGAATGGGTGTGGTGTATTTAGCCTCCTGTTTTAAGGCCTTAACCGGGGATTTTATTTGTTCCACCCCCTGGTATTTGGGGCAAAATGGATGGTTGTTGTCTTTTGTGCTTTTGGTGAGGATGTAGGGACGTGATTGGAACGAAACTGGATATGGATTAGATTTTCCAACCGGAAAGCCGGGTCGGGCTTGACTTTGAGTTGGGGAGAGATTGGGATTGATCCTTTAGATTTGCGTACCCCGGATTGTCTGTGCTGTGCTTTGGTGGTATGAAGGGAAGGCGCTCTTCATTAGTTGGAGATGTACATTGTGCTTGTAAGAGAGGCGAGCATTACTCTGTACACACCAGAGTTATAAAAATATTATTCTAAAGCCCTCACACAACTAAAACAATTATACGGGTAGTTTAGAACAATTGGTACTTTTCAATCCTTATTGTGCTAGGTAAAATAGGACAATTAATTTGCTTGTGCCAGAGTTTTGGCATAATGACTTTTGATACTGTAGCGTGTACAGAGCAATGCTCGCCTCTCTTAGTGGTGGGATATTAGGATGGAAGAGTTGCTGTGGATCTACATGTTGGAGAATACAAGAGGAATCACCCTTGGACGATTATTCCGAGTCTTCTATTACCGCCAATAGTTCTTTCCCTCAATAGCTTTTGTGGGATTTGGAATTATATTTTCCAGTCGTTTTGGGAGTTCGCTTGTGTTACCTTGAATTACAACAGGACATCTATTTTAAGGCTTATGAGACAATAATATACCAAGAAGTTTCTCTACAATTGAAGGAGTGACAATTCTCGTCTTAGAAACGTACAAAATAGGTAGACTTCACCTTCACGTGGAGTGTTTTTTCCCCCTGATCCAAGCCATGTCTCTAACCTTGAGGGGTACGAAACTTCGTGGATGATCACGTGATAAGAATATGACATTTGCCGATTGGCTGAGAACCCTAGCACTCAATGTTCTTCCTCAGCTCTCCCGCAGACATCAATTGTCGGTTGAAAGCCTGAAAGGATAGCGTACATATTCAACGACGTTGCGCACAACACCACTGTAGTGCCGTCAGGCACACGCGTAGAAATCTGATCGCATTCATCAGCTGCTACTGATCAGCTTGGAAGTAAGTTCATTGAGGCAGAATTGGGGGTGCCAGCGCGTGGGGACCGTCATACCGTGCGTCAGCTCCATGTACTCGAGTACCGAGACCACCATGAATAGGTCGGTAGAAGTACTTTCAATATCAAAGCTAACACCCTTGCTAGGCGCACTTTGCGGTGCTTCTCCGATTTCCCTTCACTCCAGCCAAAAGCGGTAGGCGCGCTCGAGAAGCGATCGGGTCCTAGAAAATGTCGTCCTATTCCTCCCCAAATGCGCTGGGTACCGACGGCCCTACCACGTACAGCTACCCCAACAACAACCAGCAGCATCGCGATTCCGAATTGCCTAACGCCGAAGATCTCGACCTCGAAGCTCGGTTGACCCGCGGTCTTGAGCCAAATATGAGTACCGCTTCGCCTGGAGGAGTAATGACGGACGGTCAGGACGAACGAAGCCATGAGGCTATCGCGCAACAGCAGCAACAACAGCAGCATTATGGACAAGAGCAAGGAAGTCGTACACCGTTATTGCCACCGGCCCATTCCCCAATGTTGCAACCAGCACACTCGTCGATGGAGCAAATGGGAAGTCAGTACATGCCCCAAGAAGACCAGACTGCGCCCAGGAAAAGATCAAAGGTATCGAGAGCTTGTGATGAATGTCGGCGCAAGAAGGTCAAGTGCGATGCTTCAGAGGATGGCAACAACGAAGTATGCACAGGTTGTAAGCGTGTGGGTATGACTTGCAAGTTCAGTCGCGTGCCTATGAAGAGGGGTCCAAGTAAAGGGTATCTATATCCAAGTGAGAGTGCAGATCGATCAGAGCTAATGTTGGTATCAAAAAGATACATCAAGGAGCTCGCAGACAGACTTCATACCCTCGAGGGACATGTAGCGGCGAATGGAGGAGAGAATGCGCCGGCCAATTTTGTGGGTGATCACTTACAGCATAGGGAATCCGATGAATTTTCTCCGCCTCCGAACAGCGAGAATACACAAAGGAAAAGAACCTTTTCAAATCTCTCTACTGATTTCGGTCCTTCTTATCAGATTTATCGACAGACTGGGGGCCTTACAAGGCAAGAGAACTCGCGGCAGGCTCAGGCATTCCGGGAACCAAATTATCATCAGAATGGCCTTCATCCATCTGCACAGTGGAGCAAGGCACCTGAAACCTCGAGCCAGCAAAATTCTTTTGATGCTTCAGTTGACCTTGCCAAATCTCAACACAATTTCTGGAATGAGGAAGTTGTGACCACGTACGTGAATCTGTCCCTCGTTGTTCTGTACTTTGGCTGACAATAACTAGATATTATACCCTGATACATCCAACCTATCCGATACTACATCACTCCAAGGATAGATTAAGTACCGGACTTTCGTTATGCCCTAGTGTCTTCAGAGAAGCGTTTCACGAATCTCTCTTTGTAGCTGCGCAGGCATTTCAGACTTCTCCTGATCAAAACAATGCTCAACAGAGTCTAAAAAGAGCTTCCCAGCTTGTGGTCGCGCTTCAATATGAAAACAACCCATCGACTTCAACAACTCTTGTATATCTGCAGGCAACAATGCTCTTGGCGATCGCATCCGAAATTCTCATCGTGAGAGGTAAAGCTGGATCTTCTCGGTCATTTTGGCTATCTAGCGCTGTTTCGCTGTCATATGATTTTAAATTACATCAGTACAGAGGACAAGATAACAATGTTGCAAACGATGTCGACGCAGAAGAGAATGTCACACGAAGAATCTGGTGGATCTTGGTGATCATGGAAAGATGGCATGCTTCAAGTGTTTCGAGCCCGTCACAAATACCCGAGTCAAGTATTGTCGTTCGTCCAGAGGATCAACAGATTTTGGGCGACGCCCTCTACCACTTAGCTCGTAAGTCTGTTTCGTGCTATGCATGAGAATCTTGCTAACTATTTAGGGCTTTCTATTATCCTTGGTCACATTTCTATGGCTCATGTAACTACAAAAGACATTCCCCCTCTCGGTGTTCCGGTCATTCAATTGCTTGAAGATGTGCTTCGGGGTGAGGTGGAGCGCTGGCGTGAGACTCTTCCTGCTTCATTAAGTAGTTCACCCCTTGTCCTTTTGTGCTATTGGCATGTAAGAATATACTTGGAGCTTCGAAACGCCTGGCCCGATCCATCCGAGTTACTAATGGCCGCGAAACATATCGCCTCTTGTGTTGGTCAATCTCCGGTTCTCAATAGGCCCTTGGTATATTACCCCGCCTCTCTCGCTGCCTTGGTTCTTGTCGATTTGACCGCTTTCGAAGAGGGCACGAGAGAAGTAGCTGAGGAGGCACTGGATTCTCTTCCAGCCGGCTCCGTGCCTTCGGCCTTTGAGGGTACGCTGCGAGAGATGAGGAATAGTAAGCGAGCATCACAATTTGGCAATACTGATGCCATGACGATGATTGCGAACACGGGGCTCCAGCAGCTTGCGGCTGCGGCTACAGATGGGGGGAATGGAATCTTGACGGACATAACTCTTGATGTACCGAAAATGGGTGAGAATCGGACGTATTCTAGTCTGAGAGATGCGGTTCAGAGCGGGTTCTTTGGTGTTCTGAGAGGATTGAATTAAGGGGATCTTCGGGCGTTCTTTTTCCGACTTTGGCTTTGAATCGTAATGGAATACCCCTTCTACGTTGTTTTTGGTTAGTGTAGAATAGAAAGAAATTAAAATGGGAAAAGTTATAATAACTATATGTGTCTTTACTTCTTTGCTCGTAGGTTCTTAGTTACTAGTAGATTGAGCGCTTCATTAGGTTTGGATTACTATCCCTTCCAGAGTATCGAGCTCCCTTCCAGAGTATCGAGCCCCAGGTGCTCGATACTCTGGAAAGGATAGTACCTATGTTAGCTTTGGATACACTTGAGAAAACATCTTTTTACCGTAGAGATAAAGCGAAGTGATGTATGTACGAGTAAGTGGTAGATACGGCCAAAGGCTGCCTACCTTTTTATTACGTATTGTCTGGGGCTGTGAAATTTTACAAGTACAGAGCTGACATGGCGCAGTGGGGTACTGTACGTAAGCTCCCATCTATCTATCCCTGATGGTTTGTGTTACGCTAGTATGTAAGGGGAACTGAGTTTTAGTCGGTTCGCGCTTCTTGAGCTTACTCGCATTGGATTTCTTTTTTTTTAAGTGTGGCTGAGTATTACGGATGAATTGATTTGATGTGATGGGCGAAAGTTGAAGTTGGGGTTTTTCCTATGTGGAAAAGGAAAGAGAATCTTGTAATCTAGGAGTCACGTTAGCGATTTTTCTCGTCCGTTGGATTCTCTAGATACTCTTATATAGCTTTCCAGACTCTACTTTTAATACTTGATTTAGCTATATTAGTATTTTTAACAAAAGAAAAGATCTGATTTACTTTTATATAGATACGTGGAAATAATAATATACTCTCTAAAAGAATACGACCTTGTTAGTATATCTACTAAATACTAAGTATACCTCGCGGTAGATAGATAGAAAACCTTGAAAAGCATAGAGCTCGTACGTACCTCTAGAAAAGTGGTATACTTTGTACATCTGTATAGCTTAGGACAGTAGCGCTATCCCTTCCAGAGTATCGAGGGAGCGAAAAAACGTGTACGTAAAAGTAGAGTAAAAATAGAGTAAAGGTATCTACTTCTAGAATACCTTCCCCGTAAATTATATTAATTCGGCTAACTAGGTAGTATCTCCAAGTATTTAAGCCTTAATTCGACCTAGTTATTATCCACTTATACCTACTTTTACGTGCACGTTTTTTCGCTCCCTCGATACTCTAGAAGGGATAAAAATATTTGAAAAATACTAATAGGGTGATTTTGCCGTGGATTTTATAAATAATTTAGTGGTTAAGTTTATTCCAAGAGGTGGACAAAAGCCGTGCAACGACTATGCTAAAGGTATAAAGATACCTAACTTATAGGGCTTGGAGGGGACCGTGTTAGTTATTACTAACTACGCTTAGGTCGCGAGTTATCCTACAATTTAGTGCTTAATTAAGTCTGGTTCTATGTAATATTTAAGGCTATTTAGACTTCCCCTACGTAACCTACTTATATCCGCTAATAGAATAACTAGCTCGGACGATGTTAGCTGTTTGATATAAATCCTATACCTTATTCTACGATAATCCGTCACTAAAATCGCGTATTCGAAATCCCTCTACAAGTTATATACAAGTGATATGCGACGCTAATAAAGGTTGATTATAATAATAAAAATCGGCAACAAAATCCACCTAAATAAACAGAATTGTCTAAATAATATCTAAGATTTTTAGAGATTTTAAATTAAAGGTTATTGAATTTCGCTGAAAGTCTAGGTTACGATTTTATATTTACTTTCGGTTCCGCCACTCTTTTTGTCCACCGCGAGGTATACCTATCTAATTTCCCCTAAGCGAAGTGTTAACCCATATAACAGGGTTTATTAAGCTGCGAATGAAAAGCTTAGAGGCTTCACGAGCCTCTCCATTTTTGTTGAATCATATTCATAAGATTATGGAACCAAAGCAAAATACTCGTACGAAATGCTATTCTCATTCGATTTCGCTTACGTGTTGTGTCTATGTAATTTGAGGGAATGTAGCCAATACTGGACCCCTTGAATGCTGACAGAATTATATTAGACTCTACCGGGTTTCACTGCCACTGTCAGAGTAAGGCTGAAGCCAAGAACTCTGATTATAGAACTTTTCGTATACCGGCGCCGAATGCGAATGCCAGTAACCGAATCAAATCTAAGCGACGCGTACACAACGGATAGGTCGGAAGTTGTTCACGCCCCTAATCAACGAACACAGAACCACCAAAAGTCCACGTATTTTTGTTCCACAATATGGTAAAGAAAGGACTTTTAGAAGCTATCTGCACTTTATCGATTTCGTTTTTTATTTAGTGTCAACCGATGCTTCTTTAATAACTCATTAGCAAGTCACTCTTTTCTAATTATCCCCCCTAGAAGATACGACAAAAAAACCACAACCTCCGTAGCCTTCAATTTACTATTCTAATACTCGGCATTCTCTACGTTAAGAAATCCGAAGCTACAAAACCTCCCACTTTCCATAATTGGAATGGCTCCTTTCGATGATCGGATTAGAGCAGAGACATATGAATTACTGCCGAAAACGTCCCTGTCGTCGGAAAAGCCGGGACGAGACTATGATCACGAAGACGCTCTGTCATCGACCAAGTCACATCCGGGTTTAGCTTGGGAGCACCCTCTGCCCATCGGTTGGCCACCACGACCCGACTGTCTGGCTTTTCCCCGACGCTGGTGGTCGGGTGATGGTTACAAAACGTATAAATATCGACCTTCCAGTTCGTATCTCGACGAGGAATCAATATCATGGGGACGGGTACCCTTTCGGGGGGCTTCGAGGAGGTTGTTCCATTTTGTCGTTCCTAGTGATAGACGTTGTACCCCCAGACTTGTTTTGTGGGGACTTTGTAAGATAGTTTTGGGATTTTTGGGCGTTTGTGTTTTTATGATTGTGTTTACAGGTGTTTTCTTGCCGTCATATGCCAGGTTACCGGAACATTATCAGGCGTTGGAGAGGATATGTTTGAATTCTAAACGAGCTGGGAGAGGAAATATTCACGGCGAGAAAGTGTTTATTGCTGCAACTCTGAATGATCCTCATGGGTCTATAGTTGGTGGACAATGGGGAAGTGCTGTCAAGGAGTTGGTAGATTTATTGGGCCCGGAGAATGTCCATCTCAGTGTTTACGAGAATGATCCGGATCATCAAGCCAGAGAAGCATTGGAGTCTCTTGGTGGACAATTGAGCTGTGGGCACTTTGATGACCCAAGAAACCCCTTGTCGCTAATGACCTTACAGGCAACACCTCTCTGGTTATGAATCATATGTCCCATGATGAGCTCCCTCGTGTGAGTCTCCCAGATGGCGAGAAACGAATCAAGCGAATCGCTTTTCTTTCGGAAGTCAGAAATAGAGCTTTACGCCCTCTCCAAACGAATTCATCTACGAAATTCGATAAACTCCTATATCTTAATGATGTCGCCTTCAACCCCATCGATGCGTTGCACTTATTGTTTTCCACCAATTTGGATGCAACTGGAAATGCACAATATAGCGCTGCTTGTGCAGTCGACTTTATGAATCCCTTCAAGTTTTACGACAGATATGCCAGCAGGGATTTTGAGGGTCACGAAACTGGTTTGCCCTTCTACCCTTGGTTTACTACAGCCGGTAAAGGACAGAGCAGACAGGATGTCCTGGACCAGAGCGATGCAGTGCGAGTACGTTCGTGTTGGGGAGGCATGGTTGCCTTTGATGCATCTCCATTCCAGAACAACATAGAGAACCTTTCTAGCAGCACCACACTCGCTAAACCCTCTGAAGAAATCGAAGCATCGCCCTTAAGATTTCGGTACGAAACCGACCCATTTTGGGACGCATCAGAATGCTGCCTCGTCCACGCAGACCTGACATACCTTCGATATGGTCTCAACACTTCCATCTCTACTGGTATACTCATGAACCCCTACGTTCGAGTAGCCTACGACCCATACACATTGAGTTGGCTACCCTACACCCGACGAATCGAAAGTCTCTATCCACTTATCCACAACATTCTCAACCACGCACTCCACATGCCTGCTTTCAATCCTCGATCATGGGAACAACCAGGCGACCGTGTGTTGGAGAAATTATGGGATATCGAAAGTGCTTCTTGGAAGATGGTGAAGAAGACTATTGGACCTGGTCGCTTTTGTGGACGGAGGTCGATTTCAGTCCTCAATGAGTTTGCGGGGGAAGGAGAGAAAGCCTTTGTTACTTTGCCGCCGCCGCCGGGGCTCTAGAATATTGATAGGATTCCCTTGGATTTTCCTTATCTTCCTATAAGTTATTATGGGGCCAAATGAGACCGGCTTGCGTTTTGAAATTTCAATTCTATTAGCCACTTGAACAAGCAGACTCTAGTTCTAAGAGACCCGGCCATTATTCTGTACACATTACGAGGAACTATTGTACTAAGCATTTGGCACAATCAACTCTGTTGTCCCAGCATATCTCGGTTAATGAGAAGTGAAAGTGGCAATTATTCCAAACCATTCGCATAATCAGTATAGTTGTGCGAGACTTTTAGGTTAATATCGTTCTCACCTAGGTACATACAGATTATGAATCCCGTCTTATATGTTCCCGGCCAATCAGTTATGGTACATTTATCTTATTTGTCTCTTGCGTCATCAACTGCGCAGTTTCAAGTTCTTCTGTCTACATCCACAAGCCGTCGTCTGATCCGCTTGAAATTTCGCTGCCAAAGCTATATTTCTGTTCTGTCCATGCCCGTTCATCTGATTTCCATGAAATATCCTAACAAAGACAAGGCAAATGGATTGTTTGGTAATTGCTGCAAGATTTTCCACTTGGTGTATCACTTCCAGTTTGCAAGAACAGATCGTAATATCCACTCGTTGAAGAACTGCAAACTAGGAAGTTGAGTTCTGTTTCAATTATCAGCAAAATACCCCCTTTCTATTCCTCTCGCTGTACTATGAAAAAGGGAAAACTCACGTCGCCCATATGAACTTGATGTAGCAGTTATAATAGTATCTCCTTCCAACCCCCAAGCCGTGGTCGTAGCCGTTGGGCCAAAAGAAAGAGGTTTGTAAGACACGGAGCTGCTTCCAATATTGAGGAATTGAGAAGTGTTGGTGCTTTTAATCGTGGTACCGATGTCACTGTTTCATCTTGGTCAGAAACTGAAAATATGTGGACGCATGATGGCTGGAGTCAGCGGAGCTAAATAGAAACCTTGGAACATACAAGTACTCAGAGGTCGCTTCGGGTCCCATGACGGGAGCTGATTTATTCGAAGGAAGACCTTGGAGATACAAATGGTAGATCGGACTTTGGACGCCACGAACCTGATAGGGCTTCAAGCGTGGGAGCAGTTCAGCAGTGGGGGCTCCAAAGACTCCCGCGACGAAAGCAATCGCTACAAGAAAGGAAGAAAACATCTTGACGTCTATTTTGAAAGCACGAGCACGGGCAGTCTCAAACTAAATTGCGACAAATTACCTGTCTCTTAAGAGAAAATGGAACGACTAACGCCGAGTCAATGAATACTGTCATATGACAGCGGATAATAAAAGTTCCTCCAGCCGGGTTATGTGCCGCCATGTGGTAGTGTTTAGGAAAAGGCTGAATTGAGACTTAGACAAAATGAGTAATTAAGCGGAAACTTAGCATGGCCAGGAAGTAAATAAAGATTTTAAAGCCTAAAAGCGAACTAGTATACAATTACTTAGAGAACGTAATATACTCTTATCTTTGCCCGGTAAACTAACAATAGAGATCTACTTCTCGCTTAAGGGCGGAGATTACTTAGAATAGAAGCCTCCGATTAATAGGAAAGTTAGTAATTAATCTTAGTTTTTTGTTCTTTCTAGGTTAACAAAACAATTAAATTTAATTACCCTAAATTACTTAGAGAACCATTTTAATTGTACGAGACTTTTAGGATAATATATTTCTCAAACCTAGGTGTATATAGAATTTTACCCGACTATCTTACAAAGTCGCCTCTTTTTCAGTAAGAATTAACATGCTTTCCTTCACCTTTCCTCCTTACCTTCCCTCCTCACCTTCCCTCCTCACCTTTCCTGATCACCTTCATCAACCTTTACACCACTACTACAACCAAACATCAACACCATAATCAAACAATAACCAAACACCACAAACCTCTCCACGATAGCTAAGCCATATTGCTATAGCTCTCTTCGAATTTCTTTTATCATCTCGTATCGTGACCACTATTTCCGTCCGCAAAATTCAATTTCACTATACTTGCGAACTTCAGTTTAGGGAGAATCAATCTACACCTTCACCTTTCTCCACGCTTTATCCCGGTGTATGGTATATCCCCTCCTTTCTTCTCCTGGCCACTAGGAAAGGAGCAGGAGACCCTTTTTGATGACTAGGAGAAGGAGAGGGGAATGAGTCAATTATCTGGAAAGGAGTGGGCAAGGAGAGGTGGGATTCGGGAGAGGAGTAGGAAGGAGAGGCTGAAAATGAGGCTATTCGCAGGTACGCCAGGTCGCCAGGTTCGTCGAAAGTACGCTACAGGTCCATTTAAAACCCACAATACCAAGCCTCAGGAGTACTCCTGCCCTCTTCTATCCGGTGCAGCGCTCGGCAACTGGAATTCCATTCCATTCCATACCCCCCCTCTGGAATATTCCATTCCATACCCCCTATTCCACTGGAATTCCATGGAACCAAATCACATGACCCGGAGAAAAGTCCATCCGCTCCGTGGACCAATAGGAGACCTAGATTCCTGTAAATAGTATTAGAAGCAAGAAGGCACGGAAGGTTAGGTGAATTATGCCTTTAGAATCAAGGTATAGATTTGAAAGCGATTAAGCGACGAAGAGATTGGCTAGCTCAATATCTATAGGCTGAGTATAGCGGATTAAGGTTATCTTAGTATAGGTCTATACCTAGCTAATTAATATTCACTCCGCTTGAATTTAGTACTATTCTCTGATTAGTCAGAATATCCCCTGGAATTCCATTTTCCATGGAATTCCAGAGCCTTTTTGATAGAATATTCCATTCTATTTGCAAGGTGCTCTGGAAGGAATATTCCATTCCATTCCACCTGGAATTCCATGGAATAGGTTCCATTTACCGAGCGCTGATCCGGTGCCCTGGCAAGGAGAAGGAGTAGTCAGGATTAGAGTAGGAAGGAGAACTCGCAGATTTGTCCAGATAGGAACGGAGATCCCGGTGGGAAGGAGTGGCAGGGAGGACTTCGGAGGGGAGATACCATACACTTTATCCTGCTATAATAGTTAGGTTACCACAGTACCCAAGGGTGGTAAGTATAAGCTTAACCAAATTTACTTGATTATCTAACACCGTAAGCAGTAATTTCTTGATCTTTCATCGCTTACCGCTATACTGCGCAAGATCATTTTCGGTTTTTTCGGCGACCTTTACTTTTACTCTACTAAATATTTCTACGGCGTAACTCGAAAATCTCCTCCCTCGGTAAAAGCAACCAGTAAGTTCCGGTATTTTCAATGTCATTTATTTTCAATTAACTTACTATTCCTCCAGGGTGAATTTGAACTTCCAGAAGCCCAAAAAACCACGACTCCAAATTTTCAGCCGAAAAATATTCCTCACTACCGACTTTGTAAGCTTAAGTTTTTCCTATAACTTCTACTTCTACAAAGTACTAATCAGTTTTTTCCTAGTATGCCAAAACAACTACGTCTCAAGCAAACTCAGGCGATCTCAAAAGCTGCTACAGAAGCCAGTATCAAGGACAAAACAGGAGACTGTCAGAATAAGCAGTGAAGAAGTGGAATAAGGAGAGAAGAGCTAGCTAGAGGGCGAGCAGGGCTCTAATATAGGAGCTGTCTGTCGGCATGGAAGCGTCCGGAATAGGACTAGCGTCTTCCACAGAATATGCTAGTGCCAGACAGTAGAGCCAAGAGCGCTCGTGTCGTAACAGCCAGAGTTAACGATCTCGTTTCCCGCCTCAAGGTTTGTTGTGATCAGGGTGTCCTTGGACACTTTGAAAACTCCCAGTCAAACAGAGAGAGTCTCTCGCTTTTATCCCCGTGCAACTTGGGTGAATACTTGCATTGTTGGATACAAGCTACTCCAATCTTGCGGAAAACATCCCAATCATGTCCGAACAATATGTTTCTGATGAAGAAATGGACCCCCGAAACTCCTCCCCAATCCCAGGATCCGCCTATGAAGATTCGGGTGATGATGGCAAAAAGTCCTCAAGAAAAACCAAATCTAACGCCAAATCAAAGTCTAAGATATTTCCTGATAAAAAATCTACTGGCGAAAAAATTGTGTCGGTAAAATTAAATGGCGCTGAATATATTAATCTTTCCCTCCGTCACATCCGAGAGGCTTTCCAGGCTGGAACAAATCCTACTCAGTCAGACTTCCAATTTGTACAAGCATTTCACGGTAGCGTGCCTAAAGTTGTAATACAACAAAGGGCGTTTAGCGCTTAAAGGAATGAAAATCACACGGAACAACAAATGAAGGGATAGTCGTGAGATTCGTCAGTGTTTAGGAAAAGCTAATGTGAGGGTTGAAACCCATGATGGAGGCTCGGGCCATGCCCTCGCTAAGCACTGACCAAAGTCCCCGCTCAGCACTGGCCATTCCCCTACTGCCAAGCAAGTCTCTGCTGTTCCATACTTTTCTGTTCTATTCTTTTGACATCATGTATTCGTTAGGCAGCTTCCTGGAATATTCCAGAGACTCTTCCTCTCTCTATATATAGAGGAAGAGCTTGCAAGTATGTAGTCTTCACGCACTTCTTAATTGAATATTCGAAACCTCACCTTTGAGTTGTTCAAGGTCTGGCCTCTCACAGCTAACTAAATAGCGTATTACTAGCTATTACTTGTGGGATATATCAGAGTTCTATTTAGATCTTAATACAAACCACTATATAATTACCAAGAGACCGTAGTATACTCTTATAGTAGCTTCTCCCGAGAAACTAAGAATAGGGATCTACTTCTTACTAAAGAGTAGCTTTTACTGAGGATAATAGGTTCTAATTTGTCACGAATCACGTGTTGGCATGTGATAAGCAAAGACCAGGCGGCGTCCTGACAGGTTAAGCACCAGCAACACACTCTTATAGCAAATAGGGATGCTTAGGCTAGCTAAGCGATCCAGGGATTTCATCTGATAGAAGTCATGTGACCGTCATTGATCATTGGTGATCAACTGAGCAACGCTGAGCTGGATCAGTGGGATCAGGGTGATCATAATGATCAACGAGCAAGAAGGTTCTATATAAGACTGGCACGTCTGCCATTAGATAGGAGCTTCGTGCTCAACTTAGTTATCAATCTTATCATATTTGTTTGACATCTTTGATACAAGTAACGAGTTCACTCCCAAGTGAACAACCCGATAGTCTTCTTCTTATCATAGCATACCAACCAGCGAACACCCAGCCAAGTTTAGTTAGCCAGTTTGAGTATTCGTTACATAATTAATAGGAAAGTTAATAATAGTAGATAAATCTCAGTTTTACCTTCTTACTAGATTAAAATCATTAGATCTAGGTAATTAGTTTAAGAATTTTAAAGTAAATATTTCGATTTTTCTCTAAAGCTTAACTCTTAATTTACTATACTTAAGATATTTAAAGTAATAATATTTTATAAAGAACGTTATACTAAGAATAAAACTACCTACTACTAGAGTAGTAAAATATTCTCGATCTAAATATACAGCTTAATTTAGTTATCATATTCCTTCTAGATAATAAAGTATTAAAAAGAACGTATACTAAAAGTAGAGTAAAGGTAGAGTAAAATATCTACTTTTCTAATATCATCTTCACAAAACAAGGTCGTTTAGTTAACTAGGTTACGTTACTAAGTATTTAAGTCTTACTTTAACCTAGTAAACGTATCTATTTTAATTTACTTTAAGTATATATTTTTAGTTGTGAGGGTTAGAACCCATAGTGGGGCTCGGGCCAAGAGCCCTCGCTAAGCTAAGCGACCCCGCCTCTGGAACGCCATGGAATAAGATAGAATGCTATGACGCAGAAGATTGGTAATACTATGGAACAGTGTCGAATGCAATGGAAATGCTACATTTAGTATAAGAGTAGAGGAGGAACATGTATTTACAGACCACGTAGTTCTTAATTGAATATTGAACCCACACCTTTGAGTTGTTCGAGGTCTGGCCTCTCACATTAGTACTTTATTATCTAGAAGGGATACTTACTAAGTCTTACTTTATCAAATAATAAAGGCGGAGAATAATTGTATAATATTACTAGAAATATAGAAGGCTAGGGTACTAGAAAACTTATATTTAGATAATTAGGGAGCTAACAACTATAGGTAGGAGCCTAGCTTATATAGCCCTAGTATATACCCCTCTTTTATACCGACCTCTTCTATGTACCCCTTTTCCATTAATCCTACTTCGATACTATAAGAAATATTCCGAGATTCGTGGGGTAGGTAGGTATTAGTTAAGGAGTTAATTCTTGTGTTTTTGGCGAGGCTTAACTTTAGCGAGGCCTGACTTTGATTTTGAATTTAGCAAGACTTCAAGTCTTCGACAACTACGAATCCGCCTTGTTGATTTGGTGTTAGGTAAGCGGTGAAAATGACTCCCTAAACGTGTCCGATCCTGTATACCGCTCTGGCTCCTCCGCTCTGGCTAGCACACACTCTGGCATGAATCGGCTTAGGTCCTGGCTCATTGCTCTAGCGTTGCACTGGCTCTCTTGCTCTAGCGTATTAGACGGAAAAGGACGAACTGGTAGAGGATATTTAACTGGATAAACCTCTCCAGGAGTCAAATGAACTGCCGACGCCCTGAGCGTGCGACCGGAGCTTATAACCTATTGCTTGAAATATAGAAGGCCAGGGTGCCAGAAGAGTCATATTTAGATAACTAGGGAGCTGATAACCGTGTGCAGGAGCCTAGCTTATGTGGCCCTAGTATATACCACTCCTTTGTTATATACTCGTGTTCTAATACCTGCAGGTTCTATGCGGTGGAAACCGCTGGCTAGATTAATTAACAACATACAACAAGTTTTAGATATAATAAATCAAGGCTTTTATAATCGAAAAGGATTTTTTTATTCGTTGTGTTATATGACATATTATCTTATATTAAGATAGAACTCGATAATAGTCCCGTCCCGTCCTGTCTCGCTTAGAGAGAAAGAAAATTATATTAACATTTAGACGAAAAAGAACATCTAAAATTCAACGCTTACTTATATTAACTACCAAAAAAGCCGAAGAGTAAGTTAGAGAGCTAGAATTTAGCCTAGTTAACAGATCTAGATTATAGAAGTATATACGATATAAGGTCGTCCCTTTTTTAGTAAGAGGGCGATTTGTTTGTAAATAGCTTCTAAAAACCGCCAAAAAATCAAATCAAAGTTAAATTCAACGTTCAAAACGGCAAAAGAAATGATTACTGTCCTCGGTGAGGTTCGAACTCACGACCTTTGGATGGCCTAACTTGTGAACAAACTAATCATATAGAGTACATATGAGACCAACGCTCTAACCAACTGAGCCACGAAGACTTGTAGATATCATGTTTGATGTTGAGTGGCGGCTTATTCAGTTATATGTACATTTCAAAAGTGGGGTACTTGTCTCACCTTCATGCAGGTGAATGTAATTGGTGGGAATCTAGCGTTGGTGGGTTCTTCTCCGTGATATGTGGGATCTTTAGTGGGACGGGAACTATTCGGTATTTTTAGATGCCGAAGCAAGAACTCTATTAAGAAACAATGCTATGAGTATCAACGTTGATTGAATTTGAAAGGACTTGCAATAGCCTTTGATTGTCCACGATTAATTCCGACTGAGGACTTTGGACTTGTTTACACTCGCTTAATTCGAGGATTGATAATTAAGTAAAATGAACGTATACTCACTCCTTTCAGACTTTTCAAATAATTGTCCACATGTCCTAGATTTGTTTTTCACAGGCAAATCCTTACTTTAAAATGGGAGCTACATCTGGGGGAGTGGTGGGGTGAGATGCATCAATGATTCACCTACAAGTGCAATTTGATGCAAGAGCTGAGCGAGCCTTGCCATATAAGCAAAGTTGTCAGCAGCTAAATTCTGCTCTTCCAAAACTAATTCTCTATTATGGGATCTTTCCATGAATTTGTTTTCTCAGTGCTGCAGCTGCACGGATTATCTGATACATTTTGTACAGCATCACGGACTCGGAATTATCCTGGCCCGACCATTGCGCCAACAACTGCGTGTCAGTTATCACCAGTACAGTATTTGGACAACGACAACCTTCACCACGATTAGATCTCTACAAAAGCATTGCTTGCTTCATTCCCGTAATGTTTGCGCATGGCTTCGATCCTTCGTAATCATACACGCGACGGCGACTTCGACTATTAGGACATGGCCCGGAACGGCTATGGGGGCGGGGGCTACGAAGACCCTCCTTATACAAATGGCAATGGCAATGACTATGGAGCACCGGTAGGCTTTGGTCTTCCTCCCGGAGCAGAGGATTATGATCCATACGGCGCGCCATACGAAGAGCAATTCAGTACTCTAGTTGCGACGAACCCTTACCCTCCCCCGGCAGCACGATCCGCGCGTTCGCGACCTCAAAGAGCAGCACCAGAAAGCAGCGCGGAGAAGGAGATTGGGAAAGCTCTCGAACATATCAAGGAATCATGGCCAGCTATGTGTCAGAACGAATGTGTGCCGGTACATGTTGCACTACAACTGCTGGATACAAGCTCTGTTGGTAGGGCGCATGAGTATGCGGAATTCGAAAGCACCCATAGGTATCTCCAAGATTCCTTGAAGGCAATTGTGCACGAATACCACCAGGGCTTCAATAGTTCGATTGGTACTTTTCACAAGATCCAGTCCAGTATCCAAGCTTCGCAGAAAAGAGTTCGAACGCTGAAGGAGTCCCTGGCCCAGTCCAAGACAAGCCTTGCGACATCAGATCCGGAATTACGGAAGCTGGCATCTTCCTCGAATGAATACGACGAATTATTGCATACTTTAGCAGAAGTCGAGGAGCTGCGACTCGTGCCGGATCAACTGGAGGCACGGATATCAGAAAAGAGATTCTTAACTGCCGTTGATGTGTTGCAGACTGCGTTACGCCGGATACGAGCACCAGCGCTGGATGAAATCGGCGCATTGAGCGATTTGAGAAGCTATCTTGCAAATCAGGAAACGGCATTGTCTGACATTTTAATCGAAGAACTCCACGATCACTTATACCTCAAATCTCCCTACTGCCAAGAAAGATGGCAGATACTCGCCAAAGATCAAGCCGGGATTGGAAAAGCTCAATTGGATGCGAGGTCTTCTATACGGCCATTCTATGAGGTGCTGGATACGATGGACATGACACAGCCTATGGTTGAAGAGCCAGCCAGGAATCCAGAAGCAGACACTTTTTATTATATTGTCTTGCTGGTAGAGGCTTTGAACAAATTGGGCAACCTCGAAGCTGCTGTCAATACCATCAAACAGCGACTTCCGGTTGAGCTATTCGGTATTGTCAATGAAACGAATGTTGAAGTTGACCAGAAGCATCCAAGTTCCCTCAGAGGAGGCATATCGAATTCTCAGGGAAACCAGGCATATGGAAGCCGGGAGAATAGCATACGCGCTGATGTTATCCACGACCTTCTATGGACCTTGTACGCCAAATTTGAATCTATAGCTGAAAGTCACCGTGTTTTCCACGAATCCGTAAAAGCCGTCGTTCGTCGAGAAGGAGGGTCCAAAAACCAACCTGTCCTTTTGGGCGGCTTCAGAGAGCTTTGGAATTTATATCAAAACGAGATTCGGTCATTGCTACACAATTATGTCACGACTGATGCTGATATTTATCAGTTTGATTCTGCTCCAAAGACAGGAGCCTCAAAAACGAATTCGAACCGAGAACAGCTGTTCCAATTTTCTGATGCTGATTCGAAGTCTCTACAAATGACCACTGAATATCAAGACTTGGAAGGAATTATCCGAGCAGCAGTGCCTGGACTTATGTCTAAGCAGGGTACAGATGGGAAGAAGCTTCCTCAAAAGGACAGCATGATAGGCCGAAATGGATCGCGACAAGCAAATGCTTTCAACGACAAATCAGGAGGAATTGGAGCGCACAAATCGCTGGTGGGCCCCAGCGTGTTCAATATGAGTTTGCTATTGCCTCCAACGCTCGGCTTCTTACAAAGATTGAAGAACATTGTCCCCCCTGGTTCAGACCTTGTTACTAGCACTCTGACATCCTTTCTCGACAATTTTCTTGTCAACGTCTTTCTACCTCAGTTGGATGAGACATTAGGAAAACTTAGCGATTCCGTATTTGAAGAATCTGACTCATTTCAACAAGATCCGCAATGGACAAATGTTGCTAGAAGACCAATCTTCAAGGGTACCTCCGCGTTCTTTTCTCTTATTACAGCTTTTTGTAAGATGTTGGATACCATTCCTCACGATCAAGCTTTGAGTCAACTTATCATAACCCAAATGATGAGATACTACGACCGTTGCTGTGACTGGTTCAAATCTTTGGTATCTAGAGTTCAAGATACAGAAGGCCCTACAATGAAGCTATCTGCTTTGCTGGCAATTGGACCTGGTGAGATCCATGATACAATGAAAAAGATGTGGACGTCGGAAGGAGACGATGAACAATTACTAGAGAAGGAATCTGGGCTCCTTATCCTTCAAACCAATGAAAATCCGATGCGACTCGACGATATTATCTTGGACCGGGAAACTATTTCTTCTCTGTGCATACTTTACACAAGCATGAAATGGCTTGCGATCAAGGTAGACCAGCTTCGTCACATCACGCGTAACGATACAGATTCTTCTCGAACATCGGTACAGAAACCATCAAATAGGCGATGGACTCTTCTGAATGACTCTTCCACCCTGCAAGATAACCAAGAGCCAGTCTACCTGCCGATGACCCAGGAGACTGTAGTGTACGTTACTTCCAAGCAATTCCTATTTGCATTATACTGACTTTTCCAGGGCTTTTGATTCAATCGTGTCATCCTACCAAGAACTAGCAGGCACGGTCCTTTTGACACTACACATGGAAATACGCTGCCAAATCGTTCACGCGCTTACCATTGCACTTTCACCCGAATCAGCACCTTATTTACTAGAGCAAGTAGTCAACGATCCGGACCCTAAAATCCTCAGTCTCAATGCCGACCTGGCCTCTTACGAAGAGACAGTCGTCCGTTTCTTGCGTGATAAAGAAATCTCCTTCGTCCGTACTGGTCTAGGGCTCCTCATCGACAACTTCCTCGTCACCAATGCTGGAATGGTGAAAGCTATGAATGCCCATGGCTGCGGACGTATGCAACTCAATATCCTCGTCCTTCAACAGAATCTCAAGAATATCGAGGCGGATGTAAGCCTGGCTCGTAGTGCGAAATTCTTTGATTTATTCACAGAGGGGCCAGATGCAGTGATCAAGTATGCTAGTGCGGAAGAGGGTAAGACGGAGAAGTTTACTTATGATGATTTGAAGACGTTGGTGGAGTTGTGTTACAGTGAACAGATGAGTAGTCCAGAACGGGGGATTAGTACGGTGGCGAAGAGGGGAATGGGTGAACATCTTTTGTCACTGAGTGAGCATATGTGGCAGAGTTAGAGAGGGGCAGGGTAGGCCACTTGATCGATTAATGAACTTGTATGTTGATAATAGTTTACTTCGTTTTCGAACTCTATTTCTTTTGCTTGTGTTTCTGCTGAATTGGCATGGCATTTCTTTTTCGTATAAGTACACCAAAGTTCGAAGTCACTATTTGCATATTCTCATTCAAGTTTTTTCAATTCCATATCTATATACCAGCTTTTTACATTATTTTGTATGCGAAAAATTGTTAAGCACATTTGAAATCTCCAAATTCATCCCCCCACCAACTCCGTTCACCAATCATTGACCAGTGTTCACTCACACACAAGACCCATTTCTTTGGTCGTTCTCAATGGACCGCCAATCTCTCAATGTCCCTTCCTAGTCGCGGGCTTCTTGCCATTATCGCTGTCAATAGTGGGAGGTGTGCCAGGGCTGGTAACAAGTCTCTTGTTGTGCTTGCCGTTCGTGCAATCAATACAACCCGAAAAAGGAGGTGAGCCAGGGCTCTCCACTTTTCTTTTCTCGTTCTCTGTGTTCTTGGTCTTGCAATCAAGACAACCCGACAGAGGAGGCTCACCCTCGTGGGTCACTTTTATTTTCTCGTTCTCCGTATTCTTTTTCTTAAGTCTTTGAATAGAAGGTGGCCCTGGTAATGGGGGTGCCGGTGCAAGACTTCCATGTCTCTTGTTGTGCTTGTTAAGGCAAGGGGCATCAATACAAGTCAACAGAGGAGGCTCACTCTCGTGGGTTCCTCCTCTCTTGTTGTGCTTGTTAGGCTCGATAGGAAGTGCGCCCTCGTGGGTCACACGTCCATCTCTCTTGTTGTGCTTGTGCCCAGTGTCAATAGGAGGTGAACCATTGCTCTTAACAAGCCTCTTGTGTCCGCCTTTTTTTGGTGGAACTGGCCCATGATCTCCACTCTCCACGAGTCTCTTGTATCTTGTGCGGATTGACCCTGTCACGCCAGAGAATAGAGACTCGCCACGTGCTGAGATATCTTCATCTCTCTTGCCGATAGCATTCTCATTTTCTCGGCCTGTTGCAAGTTGTCTCTTCTGGTCCCCTTTGATTACTCTGGGTGGTGGTTCTGCGATGTATCCATATCTTTTGGCGTGCGCATTTCCCAGGTCTGGTTCGGGATCACCATCAATCTTTCCATGTCTCTTCACAACGACGGCTTCCGAATTGCAGTCATCAACGCATGGACTGTTGAGGATGGGAAGTTAGTAAAGAACAGAAAGGTTCATAAGAGGGGACCTACGAGCGAAGCTGGAGGGTCTTATCTTTATCAATCACAAGAGCCGTGACGAGGAGAACGGAAGTGAAAGCGAGGGTGACTGGGCAGTGAAGAAGTTTCATTTTGATGGTCAGTACTAAAGTACTCCCAAGATGTATACTCAAATATGATAGATCAGCTGTGTATGAAGATCGTGGTTGGAAAATAGTTGGTGGTCATGGATATCAAGGGGAAGGTATAGGGCACTTATATGCCCATCCCGCTCGCCACGATTGGGTTCGTTGTGTTTCTCATCGCTTCAAAATTGAGGCAATCGTATCGACAAAACCTTCATCGTTCTGGGATATTGGCAGGACACCTCGATTTTTGAGGCTGATCTCTAGGATATCCCCTAACATGATGTTGAGTATGTGGCAACCCGGTCACGTCTAGTACAAACTGAAATATAAATGTTGTCTTCGCTTGTTTCCATGACTCTACTCTGTATAATGCGTTGATGTTCAAAGAACATTAAATACCAGATGTTGGAGTCAATTTATGGTTGAAACCAAGCTTTCTTGCAAGATCGGCATCACTCGTACTCTATTTTGTTTTCTCTCTCTCTTACTTTGTATAAGTTCTGTATGCCCAACTGAAGATCTGACTGAGGCTTGAAAGAAGCCTCAGTTGTGGCTGTAAGGTGGCCCGTGTTGGCTTGCAGCGCTTGCAGCGGAAATTAAGGTTCTTTGGATATCCCTGTCATTTGCATGAAGAGACGGCCATTTTGAAGAGAAGGTGTTTGACTCTTACTCAAACAGTGGAACCATTGGGCGCAGGAATTGGTAATTTAACCAATGACTGACACCATTTTCTCAACGCAGCCTGAATGGTTCCTTGTTTTATTCCAAATGATACGAACAAATCAATCTTATGTGGATAGGTTCCAAAGCGTGGATATAATTGTAGATGACAGTTAGGAATGCGCTTTGTTGGTCTTGCGGCTCTGCAAACAAGCATTTATTTCATCGGGCAGAAGTGCATAAGCGGCGTAACAGCCACGTTTAGGACGGATGGCGAATTCATTCGAAAGTTGAGACTGGCTGATCGATAACGTTCGTGCGTTGATACTTGGGCCTCTATACTCTTATTCTGATGCTTCGGCTTGTGACATGTTGGAAGTCAGTTGATGGAGGAAGGGGTTGAGTTTCGGATATGCGGTTACCGGTACAGTAATAGGATGGAGAGGTTGACTCATCCTGCTTACAGCATGCTGTTCGATTTGCTTTTCGTCTCAGGCATAAAAACGTTAAAATCTATTCGATTGGACATGGGATATTTCAGTGGAATACAGAAATCGACTAAATTTAAACGTTTATTATACCTGGGAAGAAGTATACTCTCTTTCTAGTGTATACGCTACGTCTTTATACCATACCTAAGAGGTACGACCTCTAGGTACTACAACAGAAAATTCCATCCAGACGGTATCAAGTAAATTCCAATTCCGAGTTACGTTCAGTAAACGAATAGAGTTTTTGCAAGTTTTGTCAATCCCAGGGTACGCCTCCGAAAATCGTAACTCTACTTAACCGGAACCAAAAAGGCCGTAATGCTCTCTGTCCCCTTGCCACCGCCCTCGGTGACTTGTTGTTTCTACTTTAGTCGTGTCTTTGGGGGTAATTAGGAAACGAGTGTGCATCCCTTTCGGCGCCCCAAGGAAAGTTTCTATTGAGAAGGTTTGTTTTTGATGCTAGAGTATAGTATTCCCATCTACAGTCCTCCTGGCGGAATTTCTGGAAGAGGTGTATTTTCAGATGAAGGGCGTGAGTGTTTCACCAATATCTTTGGCTCTAAGACCCCAGCGTTTAGCGTATCAAAAGACTGTACTCGTACCATGAGTGAATTGAACCTTTGTATATCCGAGCTGGGTTTTCAAAGATTAGTCTATTCAGGCTTCTTCCAGAAGCGCCGCCGCAGGAATGTATCTTCACTACCAGTATCGCTCCCACACTTCCGCCCTCTGTTACCCTGGCCTGGCTCGCCTAACAATTGTACTTCAAACATCAACCCTTTTGTGACTCTGTAGTATACGTATCGAGGTATCCAAGAGTGTCGGTATCCCTAGCATGATTCTGTACAAGTAGAAGTACCTTCACGCACGGTGTACGTTTCAACAAGGCCACTTGGTTCTTCCAGGACGCCGGGACGTAGCGTACCAACTTCTCTTGTTCTGCTACTTAAAGCATTATACTTCTACATACAGTAGATCAAGAGTATTGCAGTATAGGATGAGTCGAGAAATTGGATGGGATTCAGACGGTTTTATGTGCCAAAAGGTGGGATCATGAGTCTGGCAGCTTGGAATCGTTTTGGGTTACACTTGGGACCACTTCTTCGTCGAACACCCGCTTTTTCTAGCGGCGCACTGACCTACTACCAGCCACAACTACCAAAAACTCACCCCAAATACATTGCAACACAACGTATTTTTAGGATATTATAAAACCTCTAGTCAAGGTATTAGAAATTTTCTAGCTACCCGCGAACCAGAGGGGTTAGGGTCAGGATTGAAGTCACGATTTGGGTTAAGCGTTAGGGTTAGTAAAACATTTCACCACGTTTACTATATTCTCTTCAGCGCAGGGGGAAGATACACTAATTATTATATAGCCCCTTCTTGAAAGTAGAAAGAAACAAGGGTTGTCTACTATTTTATTATAGGCTATTTGGCAAGGTACTTTCTATGTGAACTACTTTTTTCTAAAGGTTCTAGGATCGCGAAACATCTTGCTACTTTTGAGAATGGGCTGTACACGTAGCATTTAGGGGGGGTTTGGCTCGTGCAATTTAGAGATTTGCACCATATAAAAAGATTTGCATACATATGTTTTTAATTAAGATTTGCATGCAATTCTTAATTTGCACGCTTGTTTGGATAGCCGCAAAAGTTTTTACTAAAATAATCATAAATCCGTCACAAATCTAATTGCAAATCTTTTTAGATTTGCACCACCAAAAAAACTTTGTAAAAGAACTGAAGCCTCAACCCTTCAGTTCTTTTTGATTTGCACAAATCTCCGTGCAAATCTTTTAGTCCTCCTATACTGGCCCCCTATACTGTCCCCCTATACCGTCCCTTATTCTAACAGATAGTAACACTGGGCTAATTTATAGTCGCAAAGCGTAGGAGCAAAAAGAGCGCCTGGGGAGAGGGGGTGGGCACCGTGGGGGGGTATAGTGAAATTGTAGGAGGGATAATATAGGACTAAAGGGGTAATACTATAAGGGATGGGCGGGGGGTACAGATATATAAGATTTGCACCTGTAATAAAAACTTTTGCACCAGCCAAACGGTGGTGCATTTGTTTCGTGAGAATAGTCTAATTTGCATGCAATTCAGGAAACTTTTGCATGAGCCCTTGGGGTCCTCCAGCCCGTGCAAATCTTCGACTTTTGCACCTGTTTTGCATGGAGAGATTTGCGTAGCCAAACACCCCCTAAGTTAGCAAGAAGTACTCGAGTATAGCCCAAATGATCAATTCCGTAAGGTTCTAGTTCAAACATTGTCACTGTTTTTGAACTCCAGTCACTGAAAACTAAATGTCACTCTTGGTAAAATTATAGTAAATTTATGCTTAATGTGTTCATCGGATGCCTCCGCAATGGTGTCTGTAAATAGATCCCGAAGTCTTGGAAGAGGGGGGTCGGGAAGCTGCAGGATTCGAGGTTATTTCAATTTATTGAGGATGATTCGCCGCGCGATGTATTCATCCCATATTTTACATACGGTACGGGACGTAATTTACCATACAAGAATGAAATCTGCAGTAAGCGGAAGGAATTGTTTTGTTATGTGGTTAAAGGAGGATTGATGATTTTTCTCATACAGAAGAGATCAACCCAAACTTACCGTCGAAGTGTATGATTCCAGGATAAGGAGTACAACCGATAGGGTGGTATTATTAAAAAGGGCGGTGACGTCTGTTGAAAAGGGGTCGTTCCCTAGAATGCGGATGCAATGTAACGTGAGATAATGGTAGGTTGAGGTGGCAAATCCTTGACTGTAGCATGCTGCTTCTAAATGAACGACGTCAATGTTGTTTAAGCCTATTATTGTATCGCCATCCCTGCTTCATATTTGGGTGATTATGATCTGATGGTTGAGGTGAATGTTTCCTGCGAAGCGAAGACCACGCGATGAACCTTCGAGATACGGTACCTGTACGCATGGGCCTCAAGACGAGAGCTGCCAACCTGCTAAAAAAAAGGGGATCTAGATCTTATTGCTAGTATTATAGAGTCTATCTAAACGTTGGTCTCATGATCCTTCATCTATCCTAGAGGGCTGTGCAGTAAATATTCACCTATCAGGATAGCTACCTCGCCGCTTATGATACGATGGTTCCATCCAATCACGCTTACAGTAATTTTACTTGTATTATCTAGACACTCTAAGCGAATGTTGTATTCCAAAATCATCCCATTGTCAATGGCAGCATTTAGAGAGTCGTTATTCACTTTTTGTAACTGTACCATACATCACGGAATATTTGATTCTTACTTTGACTTTCCCTATAAGATTCGGATGCTCGGGCACGAATACAAGCAATTAAACCTCCACCTGATATATTGATATCTTTGCCCATCACAGCCAAACTAGCCTCGTCCTTACCCTTCCCAGCGCAGCGCCCTTCGTAACACCTCCAGGGATCCAAGTCGATAATCAGGCACAAGGACAACCAAAAAACATTGCCAAAACCTTGGTTTGGCATAGACACAGGCAAAGGCATCGCATAGTTGTACTACAGCATTTTCACAGCAATTGCTCACTGCCAAACACTGCTCAGCAGCTATAACGACTCGAGCACAGCTGCGATATCTGCATGTGGCCGTGGCCAAAACAGCCCAAGCAGAAGCGAATCCATCGCCAGACCTGCCCAGTGCCAGATAGATATTATACGATACCCACGCAAGGCCCGCCCAAGGACCTTTGCCGGCCAAACACCACAGGCGCAGGCGCAAAACCGCGCTTCTCCAGTGCTTCCTTCAGTGCTTCGCTATGGTACCAACACCAGTACAAGCTGTTGCAAGCACCAAGTATTCATAGGCTCCACACCAGCACCCAATCCACCTAATCTCGACTTTGCAGTGCACTGGGCGCTGCTGTGGCTGAACGGTGGTCGCGGTACCCGCAGAGCCACCCCTGAAAATCCTTGGCAACAAACCAAAGCCAGGCGAGCCTGCTGCAACAACCTTAACCTCGCAAAACACCAACCACCAACTACCAACCTCCAACCTCACACTCATTTGATCCTCATCCGCCAGCAGGTCGACCATCGCCAGCGCCGACAGACCTCTCCCTTCCCCCTCCCCACCGTCGCAGACGAGCCTTTACGGCAACTCCATCATCTTCATTCATTCACACTGTCTGCCGCAACTGTACCACCGCCAGATATGGCGAAGTAAGTACCCCTTTCTCAACTTCCGCTACTCGCTCCTGCGCCGCGCACGAGTCTCCAGTGTCGACCACCATTCGATCTTTGCTTGCTAACATTCTTGCTGCCAGTAATTTGGGCTCTGCCTTCAAGTCATTCTGGCATACGATGACCAGTTATGATCGACGTACGTTTGTTACATGTCCCGTCGAATTTTGGCGCCGTCTGACCAAGTAAACAGATTCTTCCTACGACTCTCCCTACCAAACCGGCCAACATGTACCACTTGCACAGAGTCGCCATGCCCCTTTGACCTCTGTAGCAACCACTGCATCCGAATCCCGCGCAGATGTGAGTTCTCCTTACTATGAAGACTCCGCCGGAAGACGTTCCACATCGGCATTGAACGGCGGCGGTTATCCGAGCTCCCCAGGCGCAATGCCACACAGTCCTGGGCCTTCGCCATACTCCCCTGGCATGAGGTCACAGACTGCTCTCCAAAGATCCAACACAAATGAGAATTTCGAGAATGTTACACCTGGCGAGATCCAATTGCAGGCATTTCAAGAAGGATTACCTCCACCGCCGCCTGTAAGCCATTCGTGGAAGCGAATCGATAGATGGGCCGAGGAAAATTATGAGGAGCTCTTTGACCAGCTATGTGAGGGATGCACAAATAATGATTTAAATGAATTGGAACATCAATTGGACTGCTCGCTTCCTATGGAGGTCAGAGAATCATTACAGCACCACGACGGACAAGAAAGAGGTGGTCTCCCAACTGGTATCATCTTTGGCTCTATGTTGTTGGATTGCGAAGAGATGGTCCAAGAATGGGAAAATTGGAAAAAGGTCAATCAGGAATACCTTAGTCAACCAGTCAACTTCAAGCCCGCTACACCATTAAAAGCCTTTGGCGGCAGCGCTTCTTCTTCTTCGAAACCACCACCTCAGCAACCTGGAAACCCCAATTGGAGACAAGAACTTCTCGCTCGTCAAGACTCACAACCTCCTAACGCTATCCAGAAGGTCTACGCTCATCCAGCCTGGATCCCCATGGTTCGCGATTGGGGTGGAAACAATCTCGCGGTCGATTTGGCGCCTGGACCTGCCGGGAAATGGGGACAGGTTATCCTCTTTGGGCGCGATTACGACTGCAAATATGTGGTCGCTCGCTCGTGGTCTGCCTTTCTGGCTACCGTTGCCGATGATCTAGGAAGTGGTAAATGGTTTGTGGATGAGGATACTAATGAGCTGAAATTGAGAGAATTCAAGAGTGGCAAGGTTGAACCTGGATACTTGGATATCTTGAGATGGAGAATGGACCAAAAATACGGACGCCGGGCAGTGAACAAACGTCGGTCTGTAGTACCACAAGGAGCCGGTCCATCAGCGGTATCGCCAGGTGGCTCGCCATATGCCAGCCCAACAGCTGAGGTAGGAGGAGAACCTCGTGGACGTTCCATGCAACGATTTGGCGGTGCCTCACCCGTCGCAAGTCCAAACCGTCCAAACTATGGGAAATCAAGTCCCCTAGCCAGAGTGACCGAAGAGAGCGCAGCGAGGCCTTCAAAGATCAAGTCGATGAACTTGCCTGCGGAGAAACTGGTCGAAGTAGAAACACCACGACCTAGCGAGGACCAGAAGGGGAACAAGACGACGGACACACTGCTCCCTGCTTCTCCAGCGCTAAGCTCCGACAAGGAAGATAGAAAAGCCAGCGAGGCTAGCCCTACTGGTCTTGGGGTTACAAGTGGCACTGCAAAGAAGCCCGAAGTCGACGATGATACTACGATGAAGACGATTGAGATATAAGAGTTTGGTCTTTGTTCCTACAGATAACGCGTTCAGCACATGGATCGAGGCGTTATCGGCGCGTATATTGAGGGAAGCGTTGTCTCCCAGCGAAAATCTGGCATAATGAAATGGCTCAACGCAATTGCATGGGTGGTTACTCTTGTCTATCTGTCATCTTTTTCAGCAACACGAATGACAACCATCATCTTTGTCTAGGAGATGAGGCGTAATTGAATTCCTATTAGCGCATATATCAAGGGAAGAGGGGGTTGAAACATGGCCAAGATGATTCCGAAGCCTTTCTATATGCTCAGATCTTTCTATTCTCGAAGCCGCAGGTTAAGCAGCATCCGCGTAGCTCGGCTCCTATTTTCACTTTCTTGCAGGTTCTTGCTTCATGGTGGTTTTTGCTGAGGAAGACCTCCATAATTGTACAATTAAATTCGTAAAGGGTGAGGCCCCGGGTTGTGTTTGTCTTTTTCCAGTTTTCCAATTCTTTTTTGTTTTCTATTTTGGAGAGACTGAGAGTGATGAGCAGCGATGGTGGAAGGTAAGTAGTTGAGGGAATGAAATGGGGACAAGTGTATGTACATGAGATGAAGAATGGGATCGTTTGGAGATGTAGGCTGAAGAGAATACCTACGCCTTCTTACTTTGTGTTAATCTTTTTCCTCATGGCACATTGGCATCTGTTTGAACTGTCGATTGGTGAGAGGTGTATATGGGGATTGCTAATGTAGAGATGAGTGGAGCGTGTGATGGCAGGTGGTAATGATAGTGGTAGATAGCTACCGAAATATAGGGCACATATTAAAAACTTTGATTTCTGTACTTTTAAATGTATTGTTGCAATCGACTTGAAGTCCCCTCATTGAATTTGACTGTCAGAAAGTGTCTAATAACTATTGGCGTATCAAACTAACTTTGCCCGGTGAACTTGAGACGGGAGGAGGCTGTGAACACGTGATATGAGACGCGGCCTGTCGGGAGTGATCGCCCAGCCTTCCCCAGACAGACAGCACAACAACAGCAACCAACTTGCGCCAACCATCATAATACAACTTGCGACCTTTCAGCTGGGCATCTGCAAGTCAGAGATTACGAGAAACTGATTCCGGAAGGGGACGAAAGCGAAACGAAGAGCACCACGATGTCAGAGGAACGCCTTTGGAAGTTTAGAAAGCCGGAATGGATGAATAGCTCCATGGCCAGGAGCGCAGGAGTTTACGGAGCTGGCGCTTTGGTAGGTTTCCTTCCTTTTTTTATTCCTTGGTCGATGGGAAGTTGAAGGTGATGCTGCGATGTGTTGCGATGTCGTGGCCGGTTGGAGGGGAAGGAAAGAGGACGGAGTTTCCCCCGCTACCTGTATCCTATCTCAACTCGCTACGGGCTACCTATTCCCATCACATCGCAAGAGCTCTACTAACACCCTCAACCCAGTTCTCCCTCGCGTTCTTCATCCTCCTCGATGCCTCAGTCTTCTCGCACTCGCCGCTCAATGGCTCCGATCCGCCTATCCACATCCGCTTCATCGACTGGCTGCCTCTGATCTTCTCGGCGCTGGGAATGCTGATCATCAATTCGATTGAGAAGACACGGCTCTCGGCGGATTCGTTCTCGTACTCGGGCTCTGGCGTGGCGTGGAAGGCGCGGGTGGTTCTCTTCCTCGGCTTTGCGAGTCTGGCGGGTGGTATGGCGGGGGGTGTCACGGTGTTGGTGTTGAAGTATATTGTTGCGGGGGCGGTGTGGCCGACGCTTTATATGGGGGTTGCGAATGTGTTGGCGAATGGGCTGGTTATGTTGAGGTGAGTTCTTGGTCGCGATGGTGGTTGGAGGTTAGGTTGGAATTGGAATTGGACTAATGTGTTTTGTAGCTCGGTTGTGCTTTGGGTTAGTCAGAATATGGAGGATGAGTATTCTTACAACTTGTCTCTATGAGGGGAATAGGACAAGTGGGTAAGGGTTGAGGGGTGTCTTGATAGGAGGAAAGTGGATACCTTGCTTTGGGAGGCTTTCGTGGATGCGCATCGGAGATAAGTATTCGTGCTAGGGAAACGGAGTGGAAGAATGATGCTTGGGATGGCATACGTGTAGTATAAGGTTCTCAGTTTTCTTTTGTGTTTGTTATATGGGAGCGGGTTTCCTTTGCAATGCAATTTTGGGTTTTTTGCAAGTCCCTGTTCCTGTTTTCAAGTTGTCCTGTACGTGCGAATGTGTATCAAGAACTTGTTGATATATACATCTCCGAGTTGCATTTGCGTTGTCTACAAGTAGTATTCTGCATCTTGTATTTATTTGGGACAAGCGTCCTGCTCCATCTACATCTTGTAGCAGCCAAAGATTGGAGTCAGGTGTCATTAAGTTATCCTCTGATTGGTCTAGTGCCCAAATTCAGCGACCAAGCACTTCTCCAAGTATCTAGATTGGAAGTATGCTTATGATGGGTATATGGGGAGATGTGTACGAGTGGTCTTTTTGTTGCATATCGCAATTCGGGGTTTTCAGAGAAGGTTCGTTTTTTCCCAACTTGGGTCTTTTGGTGGGGGGATTTTTCGGCGCAAGTCTTTTGGTGCTGGAAGGATGGAAATTACGGTTCTTTTGGTACTGTAGGTGCTTTTGTCCGGGGGGTTTTCTGGCAGGTCCGTTTCTTTTCTTTTAGAAATCTACGCTGGTTATTTCTAGGATCTTGGAAATTACTGAATTGCGATATGCAACAAAATCCGGATGCTGTGCAGTTTGAAAGTATGGGGTTTTGGATGATATATATATTGCTTTTTGATAAATAAGAGCGCTTAGCTTGAAGTGAGATAAGGTGTTGTGTATTGTTGAGTGAATTGGTCAATTACTTATTGGCCAGTTACATGCCATGTCATTAGCTTGAGTACCTATACTTATGATACATGCTAGCGTAGTAAACGCGTAGATATAAAGAGCCTCTTGATTACTTTTATGGTTGGAAAGGGTTGTTGTAAGCTTCTAATGGTTCGGACGGACTGTGTAGCTATATTGTGGTTCATGTGGGTTTTTCCATTCTGGGATTCCATATTCCAGGAGAAACGAAAAGGAATTCCAATTGCCCAACGTTGGTGAGGTTCGTTACTCGTGAGGGACGAAAGTGCTTTTCTTCGCCGCTTCGGTTATCAAGTGAGCTGGGAGGAATTCTGTTATATTCGCACCTTGCGGATGGAAAGGAAAAAGACGTTGGTGTTTTGTCCTTTGATACTCCTCCTAAGTTGTTGGTGTTAGTGTAGTAAGTCGTGTACTCGAGTAGGTTTCGTGTGAGGGCGCAGGTGCTCGCACGGGCCACTTTTACATCAAAACTCATAGAAAACACATTAGATTAATGCCACTTAACTACTATTAAAAATTGCTAAGACTCATAGGCATTAGTAATTCGAGTATTGCGCCTAGACGCATCTACTTTGTTTCTTATAGAGACCTAAATGTATAAAGTTATTAAGTAGTAAAGGTAGCGGGTACGTAATATAGGCGAAATTTGCCTAGAGAAACCAACTACTAGATATAGCCTAATACTACAAGACCATTCTTACTCATTATTATTAGACGTTTAGGACAGATACTTATAAGGTTCGAATCAATCTAATACTTTAGGTATAGACAAATTTATTTGTAGGGGAAAAAACTATAGATTATTGTAAAGTAGGTAAAAGTGCTGTTTTTGGTGAGGTTCGAACCCCCGTCTAGACCTGCGCCCTCACACGAAACCTACCCGAGTAGGATAGGGGAGAACGTGGTAATATTCTTGCATCGAGGGTAGGGGGGTAATTCGTGAGGTTGTTGCAAATCGCAGGAGAGATTTATACAATAGAGGTTCTTGCAGGGGATTAGTCAGTGGGAGAACTCTGGGGACGGTCGATTGAAGACGAGTGATAGAGTATAGGGTATATAGGACCAACTTTGTTGCATATCGCAGTTTGGGAATTTCTTTTTTGAAGAGGCGGGTAAATTCTCGAGTAGTAAGATTCTGGCGGTAAATTCTGGTGGTAAAATTCTGGTGGTTATTTGGTGGGAATATTTGGTGGGAATATCTGGTGGTAGTTTCGAAGGGTGAGTTTTCCAAAAAGCTGATTCAGTAATTTCCCAAGTTCCGATATGCGACAAAATCTGATCCATCATCAGGTTGTGAGGCTCTTGGTGTTCACATGACGAATAAGAACTCACTCGACATCGAAACACGACCTCTACGAGTCTGCGAGTCAGAATTCTTTATGCCACAAGTTCTTGTGGTGCTAATCCCGTGTAGCTCAAGAAAGAGTTACTATTTGGGGTTTAATTCTTACTCTTAAACGTGAAATCTAGCAGAGTTTTAATAAGAGTGTTTACTGATTTCAGTATGTCTAGACACCAGTTGTAACGCAAAAAGTCCTCTTAATCGCAGCTAAATGGGTAATTGACTTTTGAAATTTTTGATTTGATATTACAGACTTTCGAAAAGTCCAGTCAGCCATAGACCCTAGTATTCATAAGTCTTGCTCGAGTATGGATGGATTTAAGCGAGGGGAAGGTTACTAGCATGCCAACGTAGAAATACCGCGAATCTTAACTATATTCTGGCGAATCTAAGGATGTGTAAATTTGAATAATCTGCAATATAAATTATGTATCTATTATTTTAGAACACAGCCTAAGAGAGTCTTTTAGGACCATTTGCGTTGCACTAGAGCTTTGAATACAAAGATGGCACAACTCCAATACCGAATTAGCAAGCTTGCACTTATCTAAACCTCAAGTTACTTTGAACCAGGGCAACTTAAGTAGCTCAATCTGTAACCAAGTAACAGAGAACTTTCTTTAATAAATTGTAAATATGTAATCGAAAAAGGATCAAGAAGCATAGTAAATACTGAATAGAATTAGACCTACACCTTAGTAACAATTTCAACGAAAACAAATTTTGAGCAGTTCGCGAAACCGTACCGTCTACCTATATTGAATAACCTGATTGTTTTCGTTTCACTTCGGAAGTTATTCAGATCAGCGAGTCGGAATCAAGACATGTGAAGAAGAGGTCAACTAGATGTGTCTTAGTGGTTTTATTTGTCGAAGAGATTTTGTCATCTTCTCAGACAACAACAACTACTACTACCTAGGTACCTTGATCATAGGAGTTTCAATCTGTCTATACGAAATTCCATGGACTCCTTATCTTGGGTTTTGGAAATTAACGGAAATTTGAGCTTACATTATTCCAGATTCCCAAAATAATATCTTGGCGTGAGTGTAAACACAGCTGCACGACAACCAAACCCTCGGCAGGACATCGGAAACCAAGCCGCCGGAAACTGCATCGCGTCTCCCCATAGAAAACATTCGCGATACTCTTCTCGCCACGTTGTACAATTTTCCTATTCTTTACATACCTTAATTACTGTAAGTACTTTTTCGGGACGCTCCTTCGCACCTTTACAATCAAATATTCGTGTATTTCAAACGCAAACGGGCGTTGGGGATGAGTTTGTAGTAACTCATTACTCTTTTCCCCTACATGGGGCACTTTTAACTTCAGCGGCATTGAGCGAGGACGGAAGAGCAATTGAGATACCCAAAACCTTAGGGACATTCGGAATATATTAGGGCCCTCTATACCAGAGGAGGAATATTCGCAGATATTGGCGGAAGGGAACGACGTACACGAGCAAGATGGTGCAACCATCCGTTCCCAAACCGGCGCCAGGTCCGGACAGCTATAATTCTATTGCAGCGCAATATGCCAGAGCGAAGGCGGTCAAGGATAGAGAGGATAGGATCAGGGATTTCAAAAAGGGAATTGCGGATGCGAAGAAGGAAAAGGGGAGTTTGGAGGCACTCAGTGACAGGAAGAGAGACCGGTTTTTGGGGGAGTGGAATTGGGTCCTAGGCGTATTTGTGTGGTTCTTGTGAGTCGGAGTTGTTGCGCCTGTGAATTTGGTGATGGGAGAGGAGGAGATCTTGGAAGGAGTATGCTGATATTTGTGTAGCTTCATTCATGCCACCGGCCTTTACTATTTCACCAAAGGCTTTCTACTCACCCGTCTTGTTCTTGAGGAACATTCCTCCTGCGCGGTCCCTCCGATTGCCCTCGCTCCCTCTTTCAAAGGCGCCGGTACAATTGAAGGGGGATGCTGGCACCCAAAAAGCTTCGACAAGGCTGTAGTGGTTATTATTGATGCCCTACGCTACGATTTTACGATTCCATACAAGAATGAGAGTCAAGCACAAGCTTTCCATAACTCCCTACCAGTTCTATACGATACTGCCATTTCGCAGCCACAAAATGCGTTTCTGCTGCCTTTTATTGCGGATCCGCCTACTACAACTTTGCAGAGGCTGAAGGGTTTGACTACCGGAACACTACCCACATTTATTGATGCTGGGTCGAACTTCGCTGGGACAGCTATCGAGGAAGATAACTTGCTCATGCGACTTAAGGATGTGGGAAAGAAAATTGTTCATCTGGGAGACGATACATGGACCGCATTATTCCCCGGGTATTTCGAAGCGAACATAAGTAGGGCATATGACAGTTTAAATGTATGGGATTTACATACACTGGATAATGGAGTTCTGGAACATATCATGCCTCTACTGCAAGAAAAAGAGAAGAAAGCTCAATGGGATGTTATGTTTGCGCATTTCTTGGGAGTAGATCATGCTGGTCATAGATATGGACCTAATCATCCTGCTATGACTGCCAAATTACAGCAGATGGACACGGTGATTCGAGATCTGATGAAATCTCTGGATGATGATACTTTGTTGGTAATTATGGGTGATCATGGTATGGATTCCAAGGGAGATCATGGTGGAGAGAGTGACGATGAAGTTCAGGCGGCCTTGTGGATGTATTCCAAAAAGGGGATATTTGGCCGTACAGATCCTGCTTACGTCACCCCTCCTGCTGATGCAAAAATAAGACCCGTCAACCAGATTGATTTGGTTCCCACTCTTTCTCTCCTATTAGGACTGCCAATTCCATTCAATAATCTTGGTAAGCCAATTGAGGAGGCTTTTTCTGGAAAGAGGGGCAATGCTTGGGATAATCTTTCGGCAGTGGGAAGAATGGCAGCTGCAGGAATCAAGAGATATCAATCTGCTTATTATGCTGCTCGTGGTATCGACGAAAGCACCATTGACGGCTCACCACAAGCACTTTGGGCAACAGCAGAAAATGCACTTACTTCAAGCAAGAAGGAACAGATGTATAAAGAGGCGTATGCTTCTTTCTCTGCATATCAAGAGGAGATATCACGCATCTATCGAGGTCTTTGGGCTCGCTTTGATGTCCCAAGTATGATCTTAGGAGTTTTTATCTTGGCTTCTGGTTTACTTTCTTTAATGCTTTACGCAAACGCGAATGCTGAAGATGGTGAGGCTGTTGAGGATCCTGAACTTGATAAAGCTGAGCAGAAATTGGAATTGAACAATTTCGCAAAGGGGATCACAACATATGACCAAGAAACGACCAGTCGGTCAATGGTCAGAACTGCCTTCATTGGTACGGCACTTGGAGTTGCTTTTGGACCAGTACTCCGCACGGTGTTTGAAGGAGAATCTTTGCTGGCTTTTGGACTTGCACCTGGTGCTATTTCTGGACTAGTTGGTGTCCTGTTCCAAGAGGCTAGAAGAAGAATGAAGATTAGCAACCCTTTCCCTACGAGTTTCTGGGGCTGGCTCGCCGCCATCTTCACAATCAGCCAGTCTATTGGCTTTGCTTCCAACTCCTACACCATTTGGGAAGATTCCACATTGATGTTCTTCATCACCACTTTTGGAATAGCTTCAGCTGTGTCCTCTCTCAGACTGGAGAAGGTCGCGGACAGAGCTTTGGGTGTATATCACTCTCTAGCTTTTGTTATTCTGGGCTGTCTATCATCATACTCGAAGCTATGCAGAGAAGAACAGATGCCATATTGCATGTCAACATATTACGCTTCTTCCACGTCATCTACATCTGCTCCATGGCAACTACTCATTCCCTTTGTGGTTGCCGGCCTTCTCCCCGAGATCATAAAATCTTTCTACGTCGGGAGTCGCTCATATGAAGGTTTCGCATCCATCTGGATTGGCTGGATCCTCAGAGGAGGCCTCTTCTTAAGTGCCGTGTTCTGGACTCTTGATGCTGCCGACGATGCAGAGTGGTTTCCTAATCTACCCTCCGGACTGCTGAAAAATACACGCGTCCCTATTGCCCAGACCATATTAGCAATGACCCTCGGAGCAGGAACAACAGCATTTGTCTACGCCCCCCCTTGCATTGCAATCAGCACGGCTGCTGGTCCATCCGCTGGTTCCGAAGGGACTGCGCATCCAGCGAAGGCAACAATAACCATTCTTGGATTTGCCAATGCACATGGAACTCGATATCTTCTTCTGGTTCTCAACATCCTTCTTACTCTTCTCCTCGTACAAAAGCCCATGGGATTCGGTGCCCTCTCACTTATGGCATGGCAATGTCTATCCCTCCTTGAGGTCCTCGACCTCAATTCCCTCACTTCGTCACCAATCGGACCCATCATGTTGGCTGTCCTAGGAAGCCATCACTTCTTTAAAACAGGCCACCAAGCGACCCTTTCCAGCATCCAATGGGAATCCGCCTTCGTCCCACTGCACACAATCATGTACCCTTACTCCCCAATCCTCGTCGGTCTCAATACCTTTGGTGCCCAAATCCTGGCTGTTACATTCCTACCTCTCGTCGTCCTATGGAAGCAGAAGCCCAAACGCAAGGGTACTCTACGTGCTGTTGCCACAGCTTTGGCTTGGCACGTCGGGTATTTTGCCACGGTTGGACTGGCTACTACGATGTGGGCGGGGCATTTGAGGAGACATCTTATGCTTTACCGCATATTTTGCCCGAGGTTTATGATGGGTGCAATGACGCTTTTGGTTGCTGATGCGGTCGGAGTTTTGGTTGCGTTGTTTGGGTTCAGGGCCAATATGAAGGGCGTAGGAGAGATATTTGGTTGGGCTTAGAGGAAGCAGGATTAAAAAAAGTTGTTTTGTATGTATGAGCCAAGATGGCAGGCGGTTTAATTGTCACTAAACATAGGCTTCTTCTTCCAATACATTTCTTTTGTGTTTTGTTCCTTTTGATACTACCATTACTCTCATTTTGGTACTAGGTTTCCGGTTCTGTGCCACTTTTACTGAAAAGACGAAACAAAGCGATGTGTAAGTTTGAGAAGGAAGTTGTTTGCTTTCATTTTCATTTTGATGCTAGGTCTTCTCCAGGCTCTCCTCCTCAAATTCCTGTCCCTCCAAAAATCTCAGCCAGCTCTTTCAAAATATCACTCAGCTCCTCAGGTCGACTCAAGAACGGACTATGACCAGCATCTATGTCCCTCACAACCCATTCCACCCCACTATCCTTTATCATTAGATCCTGCATGGACGCTGGGATGGCTCTGTCTTGCATACACCTTATGTATAATAGTCTGCCTGCGAACTCCGGGTCTTTCCAGGCGGGTGCCGGAGAGGGGGAATTGAAAGAGAGGATCGAATGGGGGAGGAGCGAGGAGGAGAGTGCGACTGCAGTCTCGGGGGGTACGTCTTGGTAGAATACTGGGATTGGGAAGGGGACTGTGCAGAGGCCTGAGGAGGGCTGGTGTGTACAGGTTAGTACTAACATTGGATATGGTACGGACCTGAGATAGGGAAGGAGATAATTACATCATCTTCTTTAATCCAAGCAGCATTCTCCTCACCCGCGAGCAAACTCTGCCCCTCGGGAACGATAAAAGCCGCCATGTTAATGACCCCTATCACACCACCTGGTTTCCCGGCTTGGACGTAGGTTTGCTTGCTCAGACCGTGGGCTGCTGCGTGGCCGGGGATGCCGCCGTAGGAGTGGGTGAGGAGTATTACTTCTTTTCCTGCTTCGAGGAGGGAGAGGAGGGTGGAGCGGAGGGCGTCGGTGTCGGCGGAGCAGGTTGCTGTTTGGGGATCGGAGGGGTTGAGACTTGGGTGGGTGATTGCTTTTACGGGGAAGGAGGAGGAGAGAGTTGTGATGAGGGGTTGGTAGCAAGAGGGTGGGTGCCATGCTCCGTGGACGATGAGGAAGGTTGGCTTTTCGGTTGTCATTTTTAAGAGTCTTTTATATGGTAGAATTTTGAGAAGGTTGTTCCTTCTAAGTGAGTATTTATATATGGATATTGAGAGGGCCTGGATTCCTGCAGAAACCCCCAAGAATTAGCCTCCCCGTTTGAGCAACTATGCCAATCTTCGCGTAGTGGGATGCAAGTGCACAGTCAGATCAAGGGGGGCGTTACTCTATTGCAGGGTGGTCTATCTTGCTTCGTCAAATTTTTACGAGGTGGCTTGTTTTGCTTCGTGAGACTTTACGAGGCGGCCAGTACAAGTACGCCGTTTCGCTTAACCTCAAGATCCGACTCTGGTGGACTCATTAGTAAGTACACTTGGAATGGATAACATGCCAGGCAATAGTAATATTGCCGAGCCAACTCGGGGTGATTTTGGTGCAGACAGCGTGACAACAAACTAATCAATTGATTGATTGGTAATCAACTAGTTTTGATTTGATTTAATTTGATTAAGAGTCTTTTAATTAATCAGGCTGATTGGACTAGGAGATCAAAGTGATAAAAGTGCATAGCAATTAATTATAGACTAGCTCGTACTGTTGAAAAAGGCACCATCCAACTGATACGCTTGTTATGGTGTCGCTTATGCCGTATGTAGGTGGAGATAGGACCAAGCATTCGCACCAGAGGAGATGATACAACTGAAGAATCTTTTCATCAACACTTCATCAGTTATATACTGCTTGGGTATAAAATACTCTTCTGTCTTTGCCTTGAAGTTATTGGAGAAAACCATACGAAGTGTTCTTCTCGAGCAAAAGTGAAGGTCTAATCGTCATCCAAATTTGGGTGCGCGGATCAGCTGGCTTAGTATTGAACAACCTTCTTGAACGAGTCGTTCAACCATTGATGAATACTCTATTGCGTAAGATCAACGTCCAATTGTACTATACTCCATGGGATCTCTGACTCCGCCAATATCTCGATGCTCTTCTATATCCTTACTGAGACCTGACAGTAATGCAAGGTCGCTCTTTCGAAATCATTTTAAATAGCATATTTTCTTTTCTACGAACGCAGCGCACTTGGAAGCCCGCTACATGACTACTCAATTCATATACAATGCGGCCTTGACATAGAAAATTGCAGGAGTTCTTATACTCGTCGTAGCTTAAAACTAGATCTACACTATTACATCCATAATATCATGGATATGAGCCACCGAGATCCGGTAAGAACAATTTTAGGTACCAAGTTGTGTTTCCCCAAGTCCTTAGACCACACACATCTCAAAGCTTGACTCGGTCGCTCAGAGGCAAGTCATTCTTTCAAGAAGACAGTTATTATATCCTCATGGAATTATGTCTTGAGACCCGAGATCTAAAATAAAAAAAAAGATTTTTTTGGACAGCCAATGTCTACACAATGAAGCCTGTGCTGTACAGTTATATTCTATTTAAGCTTTAAAAGTTTAAATTTTTTTAAAAAAGTTTGTAAAAGTCCGTGCTTAGAACTACCCCTTTTTACTACCTTAGATAAGTGATTATTTGTATTTACTACGCTATATACCTAAGAATATTCGCTAACTACTTGTAAGTTATTTCCTTTATATACTACTACTACCTAGTCCTAAGAATATCTACTAACTAACTACCTACTAACCGCTTCTCTACTTTGTAATATAGCGCTACGTATTACCCCTTAAGAATAAAACAAAATTATCGTAGTTTCCTAGATAGCGATAACCTAGACCTTTAGGAAATCGTAGATAGGTTTTCGAGAAGTAAGGAGTATATCTGCCTTATATTTAACGCGTACCTTACAAGCCGTAGAATTATATACTAAGAGTTCCTTAAGGAATTGGAGCTCTATAGGCTATAATAAGAGCAACGAAGGTAAAAGGAGGTGTTGTGCTGGGTCTACTTTCTCTTTTGCTCCACTTCCTTATTTGATCCACTTGTAGTTCTGCTACCTAAATGCTTCATGTCTGCCTAAACCTTACACTCTTTATATAAACACCTTAGATAGCTACCTTTTACAATGCAATCAATTCTCCATGACCTTCAGTACCCAATACCCTTTCAACCCAATAGGAGGTATAAGAGAAGGTATAGGAGGAGGAGGCAGAAGAGAAGCGGTAGTATAAGGAGGTAGAGGAGGAGAGAGCTAGGGAGAGGGAACGTAAGAGGGTAAAAGAAACGGCTCGAGTAAAGAATAGAGAGTAGCAAGAGGAGTAGATTTAATAAGTTAAGAAGAGAAGAGTAATAAGGAAGAAGGACAGGAGACTCTAAAGAGAGTATAAAGTATATACATACAAGGAGTTAGCTTATAACGTATATAATATAGATAGTACACCTAATTACAGGGGGGAAATCTAATTTATAGACGATTCCGAGGTAAAATACTAAGTATAGACTTTTATAACCTTTTTAAACTTTTTTAAACTTTTAAAGCTTAAATCGAATGTGACTGTAATGTATATAAGCGCGTGTAGCACATAACTGGAAAATAGTGGCTCTTAGCTAGCGAAGGGTCTCTCAAGTGTTCTTGAGTTAGGGTAAGCCTTAATGAATCAGTTTTCCCAGGTTCTTCAGAGGTGTGACTAATGCGCGAGATTGTATAATACGATCTGCATAGAATCTGGAGGAGGGAATTTAACAGGTTACATAGAGAAGACGCCTAGAACAAGGCACCAAAATGCTTAAGGAGAGTGAAAAACATTATTTTGCTAATACTCAGGTTCGCGTAGGAGGTGGAGGATATATTATTTGGGTCAAACAGCCCCTGGGGCACTTATGAGGCTATTCGCACCTCAACAAGTGGAGCCCAGGCTGCCAAGCGCTCAATTTAAGGCCTATCTCACTAACTAAATCTGGTGGCTAGCTTGGGGATGGTGGAGGGATAATTATAAACTGCTCTTTGCGAGCTTACAACAACAATCAGTGGATTTGTTGTTGTGGACAAGTGATCGAATGGATCAAGAGATATATGCAAGCTTGCTTAGTCACCCTCGAAACGCAAAACACATCCGAAAAGAACATAACGCTTGGGACTTGAGTTTGAGGCCCTAGTAGAAGAGTTACTGTATTATTTGACGACAAAGACAAGGAAGAAAGTTGGATTATTTCTACGACTACAGGAGATATCTGATTTCTTCTAGAACGCACGCCAACATTTTACCAACATTCGTACTTGAACCTCTGAAGCGTAGTAACCCATCTGCATTAGGAAGTTGGACACCGAAGGGGAAAGAAGGCAGAAATGGTATTTTTACAACAGCAGAATCACTTGAACCGCACTGCTTACATATGATTAGAACAATCTGTACATTAACGTCAAAAGTATCTCGTCAATGAAGAGACTTGAACAGGATAGATTCGAAGCTAGCTCTTGCCGGTATAAGCTGAAAATGCTTGGATCCAAGTATGAGTAAAGCAAACAGACAAACAAACAAACGATTGCTAGATTGCACGTTTGTTTCATCCATACTAAGCATCAAGCCGCGGATGCACTACGCATCGTGCACGCAACCGCTGGCTTTGTGTCATCTGCTTATTGGTATTATTACATTTGCATAAGATACGGTTTAAATTATTAATTCACCAGCTTCCGTACTTTTTCTTTATGAAAGTATGAAATCGGCGAACTCGCTTTCGTCAAATTCCAACCACGCTCATCTGGGTGATTTCGGTAGAAGAGAGCAGCCATGGGAATCGACGCCGGTTTCGATATGGTTCCTCCTCTATCTAAAGGAGCCACAGACAGACTAAGCTGGGGACAATTCATCGACCACATCAAGGAGCATTACAAAGATGACAACCAGGTTGAGATAAAGCCGAATTACATTCTTTTTAAGGCCGGCGAACATCCCAAGCTTCCCTTCGAGGGCCACAAACTTCTTCGTTTCAGTTCGAAGGTATCGGGATCTATCGACGCAGACACCAATATAGAAAGCTATATTGACACTGTGAGGCGTATTGCACAGACGCAATTTGGCTCTCGTATCCGGTGTTGGAATGAGGGTGCTGATCAATATGGTACCTACAAGTGGGATGAAGTCAATGAATCCCTCAGGTCTTACGAGGAGGTAGTTTGCCCTCTTCCTCCCAAATATGATCCTATGCTCGATAAACAATCTTTGACATTTCGCTCGTAGCCAGATGACGTTGAGACTCTGACCAGCATCGGCCAGCCACTTATTGGAAACGATCCCATTCAAGAGACGGGCGCTGCGCTTTTCGAGATCAAGCACATCCCAGGAAACGGCAGAGGCCTGGTTGCTCGATTCGACATACCTAAAGGCACTCAAATCATTTGTGAGAAGCCGCTTTTTACAGCTGGTCCCATGCCCCCCAGTGAGCTAGAGGGGTTTCTTGCAACAAAATTGAAGGGCTTGCCCAAAGAGTCACAGCGGCAGTTTCTGTCTCTTCACAATAACTTTCCTGGAAAGAAGCCATTCAGCGGCATCTTTAAAACGAATGCTCTGCCTTGTGGATTTGGATCGCTCATCAGCGGCGTCTACCCCACAATTTGCTCAATCAACCACAGCTGCATGCCAAATGCTCATAAAAGCTGGAACAGCTTAGAGGAGCACGAAACAATCCACGCTGTACGATCGATTAAGAGTGGAGTTGAGATCATAACATCGTATTACCGTGGTGGTACGTCAAGTGAACGGCAGGCAGAACTGAAAGAAAAGTTTGGTTTCTCCTGTACCTGCAGCGGTTGCACTCTTCCCCCTTCCTCACTCCAAGCTAGTGACAATCGGCGCACAAGGATCCGGAATCTTGATAAAGCTGTTGGAGATGGCGTTCGCATGATGAATAATCCACAAGAGAGCTTGAAGGACTGCTACTCACTGCTTCAAGTCCTTGAAGAAGAGTTCGAAGGGTGCGCTCAGGCACTGACTGCTAGAACCTACTACGACGCCTTCCAGATCTGCATCATGCATGGGGACCAAGCGCGAGCGAGCGTATTTGCGGAGAGGGCCTATAAAGCTAGGGTGATCTGCGAGGGTGAAGATAGCCCCAATACGCAGAGAGCGAAGTCTCTTGTGTTGAAACCAGAACTGCATAACAACTTTGAAGCGTATTCTAAGATGCGGAAGAGTACGAGGATTATGTTACCACAGGGTTTGGATACTACGGAGTTCAACAAGTGGTTGTTTAAGCTGGAGAATTAAGCGACAATCCTCCTCAACCCCCTTGGTAGTGTCAATGTGAAGATAGTCGGGCTTGGAATGAATATGGAATACTCAAAAACTTTTACACATTGCCAGCAACTGAGTGAGGCGCACTTTGAGCAACGCTAAACTGGATCCGTTGACTTGGATAAGATCTATTATCTTTGGTGGATAAGCCTGTAATCTTCTAATATCGCTTTATAGTTTCATGGACAGGACATCATCAGATTACCAGTCTTTGTCAAACAGAAACTTAACTCAATTATGGCATGATCAAGCGCTGGTCATTTTAAAAAGACAGTTGTATAAAATGGCTGAGATCATCTAATAAAGCGTATAAAGCTACGATGACCACCAAACTTCTGGAGACCAAAACCAAAATCCTACTCAGGACCCTCTGCCCAATCTCTTCCTACCTACATGCTTCAAGCCTAAGCATACGCGTACAACCTTATCTCCTTCTTTAACTCCTCAACAGACGCCCTTAACCACCTGCCACCATTTTTAGCCAGCGCAACAGCAAGTATTTCAGCATCCCCCATCTTCTCTATATTCCAAGTACTTGTTGCCCAAATCTATAAAGCCAAACGCATCATACGTGCTTCGTCAATTCGAAAGACGAAGGGCACCCATTTCAGCAACGCTGACGAACAAGCGAAGTGCAGAGAGTGATATGTCGTCAAATAGGACATAATCTCTTTCGCACCCTTCTTCCACGATGTCCATTTCCTCGGGCGACAGTAAAGAGACGAGTGCTATTCTTTCTTCTGATCACGATGATAACTCCGTGTGTATTGATGAGTCTTTCTCTTCTGCGTCTATTCAATATTAGTACCAGTAGCGTAGCTACAATGAACACTAGCGCGGAAAAGATGAAATCCTACATCTCATCTCTGCATACATGACTTTTCGCATCGCCCTCTCCTCTTCTTCTCTTTCTTCTTGCGCCATTTCGATATCTATTTGCAATCAGCATAATCTCTCTGTCCCATTCTATGTTGAGTAGACAGCGAAGAATCGCCGACGGAAGAGGGGCTTACAAATAAGTATTCCAAACATGATAAGTAAAAACACTATTATGAAGAATACAACCCCTGGCAATAGGAAGGGAGCATCGATATTGTTGTCCTTTGATTCATTCTGTGGATTTGTAGACTGTGGTGTGTAGTTTGAAAGGAGGGCCATGGGCTTTTGGGCGAGGAGGGCAGGGAGCGTATAGTTGAGGGAAAGACTTCGGTTTGTGAGTATGGGCGCCATGGTGAAGTTTGAGTGAGTTCTATGTATATATAAAAAGGATAACGAGACGTGGAATAAAAGTGAAGAAGAGAATGGGAAGATAGGAGGAATGCATCGTTCAAGTATCTTGCTTTCTGACCTAAGAATTTGCAAGTGCCAGTCTAGTAATAGGTAACTAGAGGTTTATGAGGTCATCTACAAAGAATTTTCTGGTCTTCGCATACCGATCCCACGCCTACTGACACAAAAACACACCCATATCTTTAAAGACCCAAGCAAGCAACTCATCGTCAATCATTTGTACGCTTCTCCGGAATATCGTCTATCTGGTTCAGTGGTAACATTGGGTCAACGGCCGTACACACTGAAGTATAGTGCCTGTTAGCTAAAAACGGAAGAGCGCAGGAATGATAGCCCAATAGAAAAACTCAGTACGTCTGGTTTACGCTCCCTGGCGGCACCTAAAAGGTGTTAGGATTTTTTTGCAGTTTTTTTGGTCGATTTAGAGGGTCTCTTGGACACTTTAGGAAATGTTTGTAGCGAGATCGTGGTGGCCGCGAGTGAGTGGTGGGCGGTGTGCTAGGTAAGCGAGGATCGAGCGACGTGGAAAGGTCGCGGTCGGGCTATTCCTTTTACAGGTACGAGTACCCCAAAGGTCCCCTCGGTCCCCTCCCCGCATTCGACGGGAGAGCTTCAGCTAGGGTGACCCCCACTCCGTACTTGTACCTGCCAGTCAAAGAAACCTCGACTCCCAGTGATACACGATTCCTCGATACACATTGAAACTTTCGAACTCCAAAACTCTCTACTGCTATTCTGCAGCAGGCAGACGAGTTCGATGTAGTACGCCAGCAACCAGCACATTGCGTGTCAAGCTCACCTTCGACTCTTCCCAACTCCAACTACTCACACGCCGCCATCGACACATCGCAAAGACAGTCACAGTACAGCCACTGGGAGAAGATCAGAATGTGTTGCTACAGCCAATACCGATTCTCCTGCGAGGATCTTCAAACCGGACCACTCTTTCGCCACTGCGACGAGTACGACTGCAACAACGGAGCAGGATGTCCGGGTACCACCAACGAAGACACGCCGTGCAAAGACACCGCAACCTGCGAACGTGCAATTCTCACCAACATGCTCCCCAGATCTGATCAATGTCGAACCTGTCGGAAAGTCCTAATCAAAGATGAGATTCGCATCCGCGAGGACATCAACCTTCGTTACTATTGCATTGATGTGGCCGAAGACAGCCTTCTGCGACACCGAAGACGAATGATTCGCAGGCTAAGAGCTTCGAGCGTGCATCAGTATGAATATATCAGCTACCAGGAGGCGAATATCAAGAGGTTAGAGGAGGCCATTTTGTTTCTGGCTTCGGGATCGGCTCAGAAGGATGTCTATACAGCCAATTTCTTGAAGAATTGTGCTCAGAGACAAGTTGATCGGGAGATTGGTCTTCTGGATGCGCAGTGGGATCTTCTGTCGAGGAAACGGACGGAATATTGGAATGATATGACCACGATCCTGGACTCGTGAGGTTTGGGGGGAAGGGATGTCCAATACCCGTCTCTGGCAGAACAACGGTTGAACTCGATTTCAAACACCTGAATCGCCTCAATGACGTCATTGCATCAAAACACTGGCCTTTTTGGATCTTCCTCAAGTACTCAACAAGTACTTTTAGAACAATTTTATACACCAGATTCCCCTTTCTGGCCCGGCACAAAAGACGCGGCGGTCAACGTTGGGCTAGGTGTTGTGGTGTGGTGTGGCTGAGAGCCACGAATCATTGGTGGGGCCAGGGGCGAACTCGTCAGGTTTTTCTTGCCCAACCACTCTTCGTGGGCAACCACGTCACCAGATCACATTCGCATCTCCCCATTGCTACAGCTTACCTGCATCCAATCGTGTCTTCTGAAACTTTATTTCTCAGCCACCCTCCTTCTCCTGTTTGACTGGCTGATGCTGGGGGTTTTCAGCCAGGACGACTTGCAATGACGCATTCACGGCATTCTATATATTGCCTTGTCTTGGGAGACCTATAATCCTTTCTTTGTTCTTCCAGTTCATCTGCGCCTATTTTAAAACAAGTCAGCCACAAAGACCGTTGGACTACCAACATTCCTCAACTGCCACCGGGCCAACTGCCATAAGTTTGATAAACCAGCATCCAGTCAACTTTCGCGAAACATTATAAATACTTGTACACGAGAAAATTATCACTTAATCACCATGGTCAATACGCAAGCTTTCACCCTGCCTTTGCGCATCTTGCAGGCCGTTTTTGGTGTCATTGAACTTGGCCTCACTGCTTATAGTATGCTTATTGCCCAAAACTATGCGTGCCATCTAACAAACTTTAGTTGTAAGCCGCTATTATGGAAATTGGTCACCATCACAGGTCGATTTCCTGCTCTTTTGCAGTATTTGGACCCTCTTGATACTCATTTATCTCGTCCTCGCACCCATACGATTCGCGCGATTCGCTCACAAATATGCTATTCTCGGCGCTGAATTTGTTACCATGATATTCTGGTTTGCAGGGTTTATCGCGTTTGCAGTCTTGTTGAATGATTGGGGATGTGACAGTCGATGGTCATATTGCAAATCGAGTCAAGCAGCTGCAGTATTTGGTGCATTCGAGTGGTATGTTATGGTATCGTTTAAGCTCGTGGGTAATGCTTACAAGTTGCAGGTTGCTATTCCTTGTGTCGACTGTTTTTTCTGCTATGCATTGCTGGTCTACCCGCGGTTCATACTCGAAAAATAATCCTAATGTCGAGATGCAAGTTTGATTTTCGATTCTTCACGGCGATATGATATGAAACGAGATACCCGGTGTTTGGCGCAAAGTGACGGAAAATATGCCATGGAAAGGACAAGGGCTTGGATGCGTTGAATTCGATGTGGCCAGCGAGTAGTCTACCTAATATAATACCATTCTTCTCATAAAGCTACTGTTTGGCCCGTCGCTGTGTGAGACTTTCTTGGACAATCGTAGTCACTAATCGAAAAGATTTAGGAAAACTAGCAAACCATGCTTTCAATTGCTGTAGGCTGTTTTGAACAATGACTTTGATTAACCCAAGAGTTCGGGTCAATTGGGAGACCTTGATCAAGGCCTTTAGGACAATGGCCCGTCGCTCTGGAAAGTCGAGACAGCGAAAGATACCTACCTAGGTACTTACTGGCGCTATTAGTCTGAGTCTGCTTGGCTCCTTCCCATCGCAAGTGAGAAGTCTTGTGCAGGTATGATGATATACACAACGATCCCACCTTCCCCACGATATCCATCACAAATCAGAACTTTGCTTCGTGTCGTCCTGAACCTGAACTCACCATCATCTTCATATACTTTGCCTGCAGCGCAATTCCCCAGCCCGCTCTTTCGCTGGGCTCTGGTTGTGTGTTATCTGGGGCTCTCATGATATTTTCCTAAGTATTTTCCCTAATGTCTTCGCATTCGAGTTCTCCATTGCCCGCTCCTGAACTTCCGGCTTCGCCGTCAGAACCGTTTCCTCTTCTCACGCCTGAACCCGCGCATAGAGTCTGGGATCCGACTCCAAACTCCAAACAAAATGGCAAATTCGTTACCGCAAAAACTTCGAGTCTTACCCCCGCATCAAACACTACATCAATTAACTGCCATCTTCCTATGAATCCTACCATACCGGCTCCACAGAGCATCCTTCAAACTCCATTTGGATCTGAGGTTCCACCCAGTCAAGATCCGTGTTACGTTTCTCTACCAACAGGCGAACCTCCATCCACGCCGGGTCGACAAACACAATCAGATAAATTATCGTCCCCTGGTCACCTCAGCCCAGAGCCAGCATCTGCTGGATCATGCCAATCATGTCCCACTCCATGTAGTCGGAGCAGCAACAGCAGTGGCGGGTACCTCTCACCACCGCTTCCACAAGCTGATTGTGAACAACCTCCTCACAAGCCACGAAGCGGTTCAGATGGGCTGAAGATGATGCCAAAGCCCAAGAGAGCAAGGACTATGCCGTTAGGTGGACTGTTTGCAAGAAGGCATGAAGGAACGAAAAAGCGTCGCCATCATCATAGGCGACTTCACAACTCTGACAAGTCTTATAATCGCTTGAGGGCATACTCTCAAGAACGGCAAACTATCCGAGACGGATACGATGACCGGATGAGAATCATACAAAGTCGAGATATGGAGTTCAGATTACAGAACACGCCAAATAGCGCGGTATCCTCCGAACACGAATGGCCGAATTACATTGTCACTCCGCCAGCAGATCATTCAAGTAGAAGATGGAGTTCAGCCTACACCAGAATCGTAGGTTCAAAGGCGCCACAATCATCGTATCTTCCACTGCCGGGTATCTTCACAGACGCTTTAATAAGCACGCCTGGTAGGTATGCCGAAGCAGGTAATAAAGCTTCTCCGGATGGATGTCCAGGCGCGCCACCAAACACAACCGAAGAACTCGACGTCCACGTCGACAATGTCATTCATACGATTCGTGATATTTTGACTGAAAGGAAGGTGAAACCAGTTCAGTTGAACCCGCCCTCGAGCATCACCTTAACCAAACCAAGCTCAGATGATCATGGAGTTTCTTCCCCTGGGGTGACTGTTCCGGTGGTAGACATCCACCCTCTCGAACTCACTGACAAAGCTCCTGACAACAAATCCTGCGGAACAGAATGCTCGAAAAGGCTGTTTCAGAGACGGCCTACTGGGACTTTCTTGATCACTAGCAAAGATATCCAAGCCATTGCTGACCTAGTGGAGGCAGAAATCAATAGTCGTGAACCTCCTGGCCCGCTCATCAAACATTCCGTCGAGAAATTATCACCCTTAATGTCGACGGTTAGACCCTCGGGTACTACCGTTCAAGCTACCAACTTACGGAAGAAGTGCCTTCGAAAACATATGACGGCCGAAGATTATTTTGAAGCCGGTGCTATGATGAGAAGAAAAAAGAAGCTGTCAGCGCAATCAGGAGCTAGTGTACACGCTCTCATTTGGGGAATGACAGGGTCAGATCACAGCAATGGGTCGGGCGATGAAATGCCTACTCATTTCGATAATTTCTACCGCGGCTTCTTCGGCAAGAGATCTGATACAACGACCACTACAAAACGCATCAAAGGAGGCCCACGACAAGAAAAACAAGAAATTATTTGGAAATCTGACAAATCTCCCCTTTCTACACCCACCGCCTGCACCCTTCCAAAAGATGATTATTTTCTTTCTGAACCCAACACCCCTATACCAGGCAGCCCTGCCGAATCGATCATCCTAATGCCAAGCGACTTGCTTCAAGTTGACAAAGTAAAAGTTGACAAAGAAACTGCTAAATCGGCCATACCATTCGACTCAAGCCAATTGATCACTACTTTCTTCCCCGGCGCACGGGAGTGGGCGTGGGATCCCCCAAATACGAATCCTTCACGGGCCACAATATCTACCCAACAGCCTGTTTCTGATAATGACACAAGGAAACTCTCAAAAGACAGCCAATCTCAATCAGCTTCAGAGAGCTGTAAATCAACCAAAAGAAAAAAGCAAGTAACGGCTCGTCGTCGACCCGGACTGACCACTACGGCCTCTCAACTCGCGGATGTTGTTTCTTTCCCTCCTCTCGCTTCGCGAAAAACGACCAATGACTGGTACTCACCATTACCAAATATAGAGATCGAACATACAGGCCGCCAGTGTCAATCTCTTTATGATATCGGACTCGATATGACTTGTGGGCCATCGGGCTCTATAACGGTCACAACGAGAAGTCAATCCCTGGTACGACCCGGAGAAATCGTCATTCGACCTCCTATGATGAGATCCGATGCATATTCAGAACCAAGACAATTCAAGAAACCGCTTACCCTGCCTCATATTGTCAAATCGGAGGGCTCTATCAAACTCCAACCAAAAGCCGAGCCCAAGACGGGAGTTTCTGATGAAACTGGTTCACGACTTGATGTATCTGTCGCATCGGAATCGCGTACGCTTGGTGGTGGAGAAAGTACGGTGATAAAAAGAGTAAGGACTATTGATAGTCCTGACAAAGGGAAGAGAGCGGGAATGTGGTCGCAGAGACGGCCGCCTTCTGTTTGCCCGCCACCTCGACCGCCTTCACCCACTGAGATTGAAGCGCTTGCCATTGAGGATGCGGAAACTTGTTTGAGGCCGGCGATTGCTACTAGTTTTGATGTTGGCATGAATCTGAGAGATAGAGCGCCTACTATTGAGAGGACTGCGCTTTTGAAGGAGAAGAGTCCACAAGGGCCAGAGGATGATTGTGCTGTGATTTATAGGACGCTGACTGGGACTCTTGGGAGTGAGAGGGGTGGAAATGCAAATGGGGTGGAGGGAGAGTGTAGGGATGGGGTTCAGGTGAAGAGAGATTTGGGAAAGGGCTTGGAAGTTGAAGTGGGGCAGGAAGAGAGGAACCCTAGTGTTGATTGGATTGCTTGAGGGATGTGGAGTTGAAGTTTTCGAGTAGAAAGGATATGGGTGTTTATGGTAGGTGAGGATTGTGCGTTGATTCTGATACGTTGTCGTGAAGTGTGTTGAGGGTGGATTGGAGTTGAATAGATTGTACTGTACGTAGACTGATGGCTGAGATTGGGAATTGAGTGGTGTTAATATGAGATACGTTTCATCCATTGTAAGAAGCAGTTTTTTGGTTAATGCTACTGCCTTGAGATCTCTTGTGGTGAGTACGTTTATATTTTTGGAATAGATGGATTGTTGGAGGTTCTGGGGTCTTGTGTTTTGCTGTTGGGGAAAGTACAGTGGTTGTTGGGGATTATAAGATAATAGGAGTGGGTGGGGGTGGAAGGCACTTGGAATATGAAGTTTGTAAGGTTGGGTTTGTACGGAACCCCATGTCCAGTAAGATTACATTTCATGAGTGTATGGGTTAGGTGTAGATGGTAGGTATTATGATCAGGTAGATAGGTTCCGCAGCGGATGGTGATGAAATTTTGGGATTAAATAATTATCTAACAATAAATATAGTTATCTCATGGAAGAGATGTCGTTCTTGGAATGCGGGATGGATTGTGAATAGTTTGTTGTCAGGGAGGAGAATGGGGTCACGTGACCCACCTACCTGGACCTCTTGTTTTGAGACTTTCCAGCGCGTGGAAATTAGCCGCTGATTAACTTAACCACTGGAATCTCTTAGATTGTATAAGAAATTTTAGGGAAGAGGGTTTGGGCGAAGGCGTTTGGGATTCTTTGGTAATAGGAGGGTCTAGGGATAGGAGGGGTTTGAGATATATTTGTTGGGGAGTCGGGGTATAAGGTTTCGTGAATGTAGTCTCCATATAGGATTTAATTTGTCTTTTCTCTGACGTCTTTTTACTAATGCTTTTGGGGTCATGGAAGTCCTGTTGTTCTGATTACTGGAAAGGGATTTGGTGGTTTCTACTAGGGTTTGCTGTGAACTTAGAGGGGGAACGTACCTTACTTCACCTGGTGGGGCTTGTGATCATTGAGGGCATTTTTTGTGGTTCTTATGAAGGGGATTTACGCCGAGAAGGATGGTTTTGTAGTGACAAAGCTCATTCATGGATCACAGTTCAGATGGCATGTTTCAAGCTTTTGAAGAGTATGAGATTAGGTACTGCTTATGGAGAAATATTGCATTGAGCTTCTTGAGACCATTGATGGCGTGTAGTTAAGTTGGTGATGTTTGAAGGATAGAGAGATGAATAGTAGATCCTTAGAGAGTGAGTGCAGGGGGGTTTCTTCTCCTTTTTGGGTGGGAAGAGGGGTGTAGATAACTGCAAGTTGTACCTCCACGGAGTTCCTGGTATGCTATAAGACGATTCCTGTCTTTTGAGGAGATATCTGTCATATGTTAGTCATAAAACCCTTCTTTTCGAAGACAGGATGAACACTTACCACAAAGTATTGGCATACTTCACGATATCGCGCGCAACTTCATCAAAGAGCTTTTTAATAGCATTTTCCTTGGTATCTCTGGTGAATTTGGAATCCTCCTTGAGATGGTCCAAATGGCTTTTGTATGCCATGAACAAAACCTTTTCAATGGCTTTATTCTTGTTGCGATCTGTAATATCTCTATTGCCAGCACAAACAGCTCCCATCAGCCGAGCAACGGTGAGATCACTGTGTCGGGCATTGTCCTCAAGAGCAGCAATATTTGCATCTTTCCTGACTAGTTCTTCTCGTTTCTTTGCTAGATCCGTTGCTCGATCCTCCAGCATCTTCACCTTCTCCCTCTCTCTTTCAGAAATCGTAGCTTCATGTTGTCGCACACTCTCCTCAAGAGCAGCAATGCGTTCATCCTTATTGACGAGACTTTCTTGCATCTTCACTTTCTCCTTCTCGTCCTCATCAACTCTTGCCTGGTGTTAGGCTGGAGTCTCCATCTCGATCTCAACTTTGAAGCCATTGTTGAGAAGAGTTACGTTGTGATTGTCATTGCTTTCGAAGTCGGAAATCTTGATGATTGTCATTCGTCTTTGTGGTATATGTTAGCTAGAAAACCATATGATGAGATATGAACATACTTGGGCTTCTTGTCGGCGGGCGAGGTTGCGTTGGCTCCGCAGGCTTTTCTTTTTGCTGACATTTGGAGGATGGCTTTGTTGGCTTTGGATATTATGTCTGATGGATATGTGGAGGAGTTGTATTGAGTATATGTGAGGATTGAATAAAGCGAGATCTCCTTGATTGAGTTGGTTGATGGTGAAAGTTAAGAGGGAAGGTCGCAAGTATGGTTGTTGAAAGGAGGAATGTTTGCTTCCAGAGAGTTTGCGTTTTGGGTGAAGCTGTGGTTGAGCGAGTAAGCGAGAAATTGTCAAAGGTGAAGACACCGAGACGCTTAGGAAAAATCCGGCTATCACCTTTATATGTTTCCCGCTTAACTGTCAACCCATACACAATCTGTGGATTTGTATAATCGTGAGTGAATGATATGAGTGGATAGGTCATACAGTAAGATTAGGTCTGATTGTACTAGATTCCCCAATAACCATTCTCAGTAGTCTGATAATTCTCTCTTCTCCGCTTAAGAGTATTTACCGTACTTCAGTCCGGAAACCTAGGGACAAGAGGTATCTTATTGTCGGAGAATCTTAGGGATCAAGAAGCCACTATATAGGACAAAAATATTATAACCATCTTTTGATAACATGCTTGATTCATTGCACCTAGTTGGATGTAATGGCCAAAGAAAATGTTGTCTTGTATGTTACATGGAAAGCCTTCCACATCATTCTCTACACTTTTCATTTCAAGAACTTGGAGGGAGAATGTAGTTAAGATAGTAAGCTCTAACTATATTCGAACATAGTACTACTTATACAATTTATGTTTGACAGATCGACTCTCGGATCACATGATGATCATTTCCCAGGATTCCCCAATGATTGTAGTGCTTTACCAACCAGACTTAGGACTTACAGATAGCAATTTGCCGACAGGCCTTAAGTATTAAGAATAGCGTGTCATACTATCAGTCTCTCCAGGCTATGGGGCAAGTTCATTTTACGTGACCTGCAATTATGAACACTCAATGGCTTTGGCAATGCTCCTTTCGCAAAGGGTGTTTATTAATCGCGAAGTTTCTGAGTAAGAATATACGAGGTGAGCCCTTAGCAACTTATAGATAGAACAAGTTAGCTACTCCTACCTTTTTTATTAGTACAAAGTATAAAGCACGGCGACAAAGGCGAGCCGTTCGCGAGGGGTACGTGGGTAGGACAAAAGAGCTCACACTAGTGTAGCTAACGATATAGTAGAGGTGGATATTATGGTGGTATTAAAGGCATGTGGCAGTAGTAAGGTGGGATATATATCCCACAATAGCTTACTAAACCTTCATCCTTATTCACTATAAATACTGCTATTTATCTTCACCTAATTACTATTTAAACAATTTATAAAAATCTATACTCTTTATATAACCTCTTAAAAGAGGGACAAATAACACCCTGTTTTCTAGTGTCTTACTAAGGTAATAGTCGGATCGTATAGGGGAAACTGGTATCGACATAATACAAGTTAGAATAGTGTTAAGTTACGCTCGTGGGGACGAAAGAGTGGTAATAAATAACAGGAAGGATTCTACCGTTATAATAGGCGCTATTGGTCTTTGCTTAGGTAGAAGGTTATTTTTATGATTTATTTAATAGACTGTCACGAGTATAACGTATTTCAATAGAATCACGCTTCATATATCTGATTTACAATTATGTCTATGAAAGACCTTACACAACTAAATCAATTATACGACTAGTTTAGAACAATTAATACTTTTTACTCCTGATTGACCTAGGTAAAGTGGGACAATTGATTTACTTGTACCAGACTTCTGGCATAATGACTTTGGATAGCGTTTACAGAGCAATGCTTGCCTCTCTTACATCTTACATACTATGGCTGTCTGCCCTTTTTCTGCCCCCCCTTGAACACGATACGCTAAAGTCGTCCCTTCCTCACAACCACCTCATGTCCATAGCACCCCCCCATCTAAATCAAATCCCCTCAACTTTCTTCCTCACCTTCATTATCCTTCGTATTCCTCCATCTACAGCATATCTCTTTCTGATCCTGACCTCCATATCATCCTACCTTCATCCTACACGCCTTGTCTCATTGGCGTCTCCTGTAATTTTCTTAACAGGCATTCAAGTTCACGCTCATCATGGACCATGAATACACGTCTCCTACCAAGACCCAACTTCTCTTCCCTTCCGCCTCTGCCCTATTACCCACAATCAGCTCTTCAATCCGATTACTTCCGACAATGAAGACGCGGAGATGTTAGATATTAACTCAAACCCCAGACCGTGTAAGTTTCCCAAAAACCCGGATATTATTCAGCTAGCTGATATACATCAGAAACCACCAGCAGCCTATTCCAGAAGTCGTACTACTCTCAATAATGTACAATCCCAATACCTCTTTGAAATTCCACCCAGTGATGAAGAGAGTGCAGACGAAGCAGGTGATGAAGAGAGCGAAGAAGAGAGTGTTAAAGAGAGTGTTGAAGAGAGTGATGAAGAGAGTGTTGAAGAGAGTGATGAAGAGAGCGTTGAAGAGAGTGATGAAGAGAGTGTTGAAGAGAGTGATGAAGAGAGTGTTGAAGAGAGTGATGAAGAGAGTGTTGAAGAGAGTGATGAAGAGAGTGTTGAAGAGAGTGAGGGGATCCACTCAATGCTTCCTTCGCATTCCAGAGAACAGAGCGATGAAGAAATGGAGTGTTCATCTATGACACCACTTTCCGACCTTGAACAATACAGCGACGAAGAAGGTGAAATCTCCGATTCCGATACAGATGAACAAGCCTTCCATCCGCGGAACATTGTAAGCCTATACCACTTGTTCCCTTATTTAACTACTTAGCTGATTGATAGTCAGGTTGATGTTGAGAACCTCAGAAGACAGCTCGAATCCCCTATCCCATCTGACTTTAAAGCTGTGTTCCGCCGGTTCTTGCAAGAACTTGATAACAAGGTCTCACACCCGCAACCCCAAAACCCACACCCAGATGTCCAATCTACACTATGGAAAGAAATAGGAGCGGTCTTAGACCCTATTTGGACACGCCTCGTTGACAAGGTTGAAAACCTTGGAATAAAACCCAACTTAATAGTACAACCTTCGGGAAACAATAGCGCAAAGTTAGCTATCCTCCTCCACTATCCAATATTACATTCCTCGAATTTAGATTATAGCGAGGTGGATGATCATACGAATCAATGTACTAGATTTGTGAGAAAAAAACTGTTGTCTGAGCGCCATCATTACATTTTATACAACTCTTTCCTATATCGAATGACTATACCTGACTAGAATTGACAAGCGTCAAAGGAAAGAAGCGAGTCATGGTAAGTGGAACGGAAAATAGGAATACTGTGCTATGTAATGAATAATGATTTTGTAATGTCTTTTCGTTCTTCATTCTTTTTCCTCTTCGTTGTTTTCTTTCCATAAAGTTTGTTCCCACCGCCATCTCAATGATGGTAGCCCCACTCATTCACTTCACAGGAGCTCTGCCAAGCTGTGGCCAACGATCAACAAAAGAAAATCCAGCAGATAATACTCTATGCTTACCACCCAATGTTTTTCTTGATGGGCGCTCAAGGATCGCTAACACCCACAACTCAGCGATTACGTCTGGAACCTAGCCGCAGCACTCTTAGGATCAAACATGTGAACCACGAATACCTGTAATATCTCACCAATTGTAAGAATGATACTCTCGCCCTTAGTATCGTAAGCAAGGAAGTTAGCAGGCAGTAAAAAGTACTTAAGAGTATTGTTTATCCTCGCAAGGTAAAATCGTCTCCCTGCAATAAATCCCTTAAATTACTAGTTTTATTCTTTTCTATAGTACACTGTAATTAATACAAAAACTAGCCGCCTATATAACAAGATACTAGCTACTAAAGACAGTTACTTAGTCTACAAAAGATGATTCTATTACTCCCTTAACGTAAAAACACATTATATAAATACAAATCCTTCTACCTAACAACCGTATAACCTAAATTTCCTAATTCAAATACTTTCTATACCTACCTTAGAGGGGCAGGCGAAGTTTTTTAGACTATTAAGAGACTCTTACTAGAGTATCTTATATAGAATCTAGTCCTAGGAAAAAAATCCGCTAGATAATAGGAGAAGGGTAGTTTAAATATAAAGATAGTTTTATAATATTAGATAGTTATATTAATAACATAGTTAAGAATAGTTTTATTATTAGTTTAACTCTAAGTTAATAGAGCTAAAAAGATAATAAGGAAAGTATAATTAATATAAGGCTAATAGTTTAGTATCGAATATATCGTATTATAAAGTATATTAGTTATATACACCGAAGGACCCCCCTCTGGACCCCTCTACTCTGTACGGCCACGCTTTAGAGAGAGGTAAAGGAACTAGGGATCAGGCTAGCAAGAAACCTCTGGAATACTACACTCCCAGTTCTATATAAGGACCTAGGCCTCTGTACCTGGTTCTTGAAGCCCAAGTCTCTCCAGTTACCAAGAGAGGTCCTCGCTCGCTTAATCGCTGCTTGTTCTGGACACGGAGACTTTACTGCCTACCATCTTCGCCTCTTTTACTTCGACGCGCTACTCAATTCAGGGAACTGTAAGTGTAGGGAGGCCAAGACCCAGTTCCACCTACTCTTTTGCAAGCTAGCAAACAACAAAGCCCCTAAGCTATTAGCAAAGGCTGAGAAGAACCCACAACTACTCTTTGGATCTCACTGCGAGGAGCTATTTAGCCAGGTCTACTTTAAGACCGGATTCTACACTAAAATCTGTCTCTCTAGATAGACAGGCCTTCTTTTATTTCTCTTTTCTTTTTTCCTTTTATTAAATATCTCCTTTGTTGTTACACTGGTTCTAGAACTAATTAAGGATAAGAGCTGTTCCGAAAGTGGAGCTTCTCTCTAAACTGTCTCTTGTAAATTAGCTCTTTCCGTTTACACCCCCTGTAGCCTAGGGCACCCCCCTAGCGTCATTTGCCCTATTTTGGGACTCTTTAGGACCTAGCCCACGCGAGCTAGAATCCGCTTGACGTTAAATAGAAATAAATAAATAAACAAATATACACCGAAGGAAGTGTAGCTAGCTAAGTCCCTGCGTACTTATAGGTACTAGAGTACGCTAGTCCTAAAGGAGCCGCTACGCTCGGAGAGTCGGAACTAGCTAATAACTATTTACTAATATAAACCGACATGTATAAATATAAAATAGTCGCTAAATACTTATAAGACCGTTCTCGGACGCTCCTAGAACACTTTTAGAATAGTCTTAAAATACTTTTAAGATAGTCCTAGGATAGTCCTAGAACGGTTCTAAATCCTACTCCTAGGTATATATATTATTATATAAGTAGTATACGTAAGGTACTCCCGGCCGGCGCTTGTACTTAGGCGTCACGAACCACGTGTTGTCACGTGAGAAGTGAAGACCGGGCGGCGTCCTGACAAGTCAAGCACTATTGAAGGCTCTTATAGCAAATGGGATCGCTTGGGCTAGCTAAGCGATCCAGGGATTTCCTTCGTATCTTATCACGTGACTAGTTGGATCGACTGACTGGAACGACAGGACCGGCCAGCCGTCCTGGCAAATTACAGGAAAGTGAAGGGTCTATATAAGACTGGCATGTCTGCCATTAGATAGGAGCTTCGTGCTCAACTTAGTTATCAATCTTATCATATTAGTTTGACATCTTTGATACAAGTAACGAGTTCGCTTCCAAGTGAACAACCCGATAGTCTTCTTCTTATCATAGCATACCAACCAGCGAACACCCAGCCAAGTTTAGTTAGCCAGTTTGAGTATTCGTTACATTAGGCGCCTACTATAAGTATATTATCTATATATAGTAATCTACCCCTTAATACCTACTACTAATATTATATATTATACCGCTTATAATATACGCCTATTAAATTTCGCTAAATCGACTAAATTTAATACTTATATTTTTATAGTATTAAAGTTAAGTATATAAGAGTAGTACTAAGTATATAATATAGCTTATACGTAGTAGCTCTATACTCTATATATAGCTCTATAAAGTACTTTTCTATACTATTCTAGAAGTATCTTAAGAGCGTCTAAAAAGTATTTAAGAATTATTTAAGAATAATTTTAAGACTATTTATAAATTAGACTATTAATATAAAAGATAGTTATAAATCTAAGACTATTTATAGCTAAAATAGTCTAAAAACTATTTAATATTTAAATTATTATAACTTACTTATAAATAGTCTTAAGACTATTCTTTATTTAAATAGTTATAAATTAAAGACTATTTAGCTTTTAAATTATCTTATATTAGTTTAAAATATAAAATAGTTTTATAAGTTAATAGTTTTACTTTTATAAACTATTCTATAACTATCTAAAAAACTCCGCTTTCCCCTCTAAGGTACTTTTATATTACTACTACTAACAAAGTATTAGTATTCGATAATAGACCTAACTATCAGTAAACCTTACGATATAACGCTAAAAATCTAATATTTCCTTAACTAATATTATAAGGACGTATATAATAAATCGAGCTACCTAAAAGGTATAAATCTAATAAAGTCCTTGAAACCTATTATACTTTAAAACAGTTTCGCTTCCTTCTCTACGGTATAGAGGGTTTCCTATATAAGGTATATTTTCTTCTTAAAAATCTATTAAGTTATAGTTAACCTATATATAGTATTAGGAAAAGGATCTAGTAACGGGTTAACATTATAAAAAAGTTTTAAAGAACGAATATTTCCTTAACAAGTACTAAAATACTGTTTATATTATTAGTGATTACCTAAGAAAGGTACGTTTATTTCCCTACTCTTGTTTTCTAACTGCTAAGTAATTCATATAGTGTTAGAAAATTAATAAAACTACAGGGAACCCTTGAAATCTAATCTTTACAACTTTACAACAGTATCGAGTACATCACGCCTCTGCTTATAGCAAAGGATCTTACCCAAGAACGGTATACCCTCTTACCTAGCACACCCTACCAATCACTGTATACCAATTTAATTAGTGTACGAGAACAAAGCCGCAAACCAACAAACTCTGCAACGCAATTCTCAAAACCTCTTCCGCGTTCTCGAAGTATAATAAAATCTCCACACCCAAAAACCTGTTCCCCAAAGCTCGAAAAAGCCCAGCCAATCTACTATCGATGACTGAATTTTTTCAGAGAGAGTATTTAACCCATTGCAATGTTACAAAAAAAAGAAGATATATCTTAGCTACGATTGCTTGTACTATTGCCAGAAAAGGGAAAAGATGTATTTTAGCTATCTTCGCTTATGTTTCGAGAAAGCAGAAAACAGATGCATTTTAGCTACAGTACAATCGGATAAAAGGGAAAAACCAACATATAGCTTGATGAATTGGCAATATTAATAGCTTATAACATAAACGTACAAGATGCTCGGAATGACCGTGGGGACGGGCCGAGTATATCAAAGATCCGAGCAGTGTTTGTGTTTAATTGCCCAGGCAACGACCTGTTTTCTAATTTACGGTCTAGACATATAGTTTTTATTTCTACCTCAAGCAAACCCTACACATTTCCCTACTCAAGCCCTGACCATCGCCTCCACTATCCCATCCGCATCATGATCCCCTTCCGGAGTCCAAATCTTCACAACTTCAAAGCCGGCCTTCTCAAGCAGAGTCGTGAACTGACTCGCTGTTCTTTCCATTCCAGCATTAAACACCATCATCGTAAGATCAAGCATGGAATGAAAGCCTGAAGCTTTTGTCTCGGGGATGATCATCTCGTGCAAAAGAAGCTTGGAGTAGCCGGGCTTCATGGCGGGTTTGAGACCTGCCAGTATCTCGAGACATTTAGTGTCCGCCCAGTCGTGGAGGATATGATGGTAGAAGTAGACGCGCGCATCTGGGTCTACTGTTAGATTCGGTTCGTTGAAGAGGGGCTAGGTATGAGCGAATAGAACAAACTTACTCTTCAACGGCTGTTCAGTAAAGAAATCATAAACAACACTCTCAAAAACTTGTTCGGAATCCCTTAAATTTTCGACAACTTGAGGTATTTCCTCCAAAACAAGTTTGTTCCCAGGAAACTTCTCATGGAATTGGATGAGATCATGGCCCTTCCCACCTCCAACATCAACAAGTAACGTCCCATCACTCTCAGCACCATCCAAAATCTGTTTCTGGACTGGATACCAATCAACCCAGTAATTCCTCGCACCCATAGTATTTCCCATAAAGGTCGTGAAATCTTTGAGAAGTTCAGGATCAGCTGAGATAAAGTCGAAGCATTGGAGTTTAGTCTGGAACGCGTATTGGACGAGTCCGTCATGGGGTTCCGTTGGGCATTTGTAGCCGGATTCTTTGAGGTACTTAGGTGTCTTTGATGCGGCTTGGACGATTAAATTCCAACTATTCTTGTTAGATTCCGAATACCTTGGGGAAATTGGCTCAAGATAACTCACATCATTCTATGGCCTGAGGCGATCTCATTAGATGCCATGGCAAAACTGACGGGAGATGCTATCCATGATTTCGAATCGACTTCTGTCACGAAACCTGTCGCTGCTAGTGGTCTCAAAACCCTTACTGGAAAAACCTTTAGCTTTTATAAGATTCTGAACTAGAACCTACAACGTACTAATCAACAATTCCTCTGCTCCAGATAGCGTAGCAAGCTCGCTAGCCGAGATCGGTGTCTCCTGCGCAGTGATATACTCAAAAAGATGCAAATCAACCGCAATTTTCGCACCCATTGCTATGAAAGGCTTCACATAATGATGATCAGCTTTGGTACGTATAGAACAGCGAGGAAATACTTACACCGAACGCGAGTTCCACAGCAGTATTGGCTGGTGGGTTCAAACTGACGCCAAGCATTCGGCTCAGCATCAAAGCTTCTTTCTGTGCATCTTCGTCTCCGGACTTTAGTCCTGGCTTGAGGCTCTCGAGCCGCGCGATGAGATCTAATGAGTTTGTAGAAGACATGATGAGAGGAAATTGAATGAATTCTTTTCTTGAAGAATGAGAGAGAGCGCGGACAGAACTGGATTTTATATTCCGGAAAGTAACTTATTTTGGATTTGATGTGGTGCGTAAGCCAATCGCGACTCGTTGCTGGAACCAACTAACCGTGTACCAACTAAGCAACATTAGGACCAACCAACTTCATGTAAGACGAAGACGAACCAGTTTGAGAGGTCTTCGAAGGTGATATTGTTATCTCATTGAACATTTCAGGTACCTTTCCCGTTCAAATTTGATAAGCGAGAACTCAAATTTGGTTACTTCTGGTAAACATATTGGGGGGCCGCAATTAAGTTTAACGTCTCTTGAGTAAAATAATCTATGTCAATGTTATAAAGTCCCAAGGACAAAAAAGCTATCTCGGTCCAATTTATTCTTCTTGTCATTCTTCCTAGTAAAGGTTCGCTGGCAAATAGAATACTGGCATATCTCAAAGGGGATTCAAGATTACCGGATGAAGGTTACTTAAATTACCTGAGAGAATTATACTTAGTGTCAAAAAGGCAACATTGGTTTGATCAAACAAGAAGGCAGTAATGCAGGGAAAGACACCCGAAAGAGTAAGGATTATTACCCAAAGGAAACGGCTACTTAATCCTATTTGAAGGTCATATGGTAGGACCAAAGTAGGCTCAGTTAAGTAGGTGTTCACATTGATTTCATGGGAAAGGCAGGTAGTAATTTAGTGGCTAACCGTTGAAGCAGTGAGATGGTATCGATATCACCCGATACTCGGCCCGATCTTATTTGGGGTGAGACAGAGCTGTCGGTCCTGTCCACCAGGGTAAGCACGATAGAAGCCTTCTATCCGACACTTCCACTTTCGTTTGTATCTTAGAATACGCTTCTCACTTCAATTCTAGACATCACAAACAAATCTCATCTCACAATAAGAGCTAAATCCCCCATCACTGCAAAAAATGTCCTCATCTCCAACCCCCAACCCATGGTCAACCAACCCAACACACACCGGCTTCATCCCCGTAACAAAAATCCACTCCCTCCACGCCACCATCTCCGGACCCCTCCGGACCCCAAAAACCTCCCTCACAATCATCATTCCCGGCGTCGGCGCAACAGCCACAGAATGGAGTGCAGTCCAGCGACAGCTCTCCCAAGAAACGCGGTGTCTCTTATACTCCCGATCAGGCCACGGGCCAAGCTCCTCGCTTGCAGGTCCAATAACAGCCGTCTCCATCGCCTCCGAACTCATTGCTCTCTTAGAAGCCGCAGATCTACCGGGTCCTTATATATTGATCGCACACTCCTGGGGCGGCATCATCGCGCGGGAGTTTTTGCATTTGCGGAATGAGGAGGTAGGGGGGATAGTATTCGTCGACGCGAACCAGGAGTTGAATACCACGCTCGATCAATGGTGTTCACCATTCGTGTTCGCGATGTGGAAAGACGTTGGTATCTACGACGTCACAGGTATCCGCTCGCATACCTCCCTCTTAGCATCCGAATGGGACGCCTTCCAATCTGAGGTTCAAACGCCCAAGTATGCCCTCGTGACGGCGCAGGAGATGGCAGCTTACCGTCCCAGCGGACCTGTTCTCGCTGCGAAGAGGCAATTGGAAGCTGAAGAGCCGGTTATGGGAAATAGACCCGTTAGTGTAGTTAAGGGGAACTCGTTGAGGGATTTTAAAGTTGTTTATGAGGCGGGGTTGGCGCGGGGGAATGGGACGGTGGAGGAGAGGAGGTTGTATGAGGAGTTTATTGAGCCGGTTAGCAGGGAGGTGAGGGATCAGGGGTGGCAGAGGGGGAATTTGAGGTTAAGTGGGAATGGGAGGTTTGTGAGGACGAGGGGACAATGGACGGGGCATAATGTTCATTTGACGGAGCCTGAGATTATTGTTGAGGAGGTGAGGTGGTTATTGGGGGAGTTGACGGATGTTTTGAGTGGGAGTAATGGGAGTAAGGTATTGGGTTAGTTTGGTGACTTAATATGTAGCACTGAGAATAAGCTTGCGTTGAGATATGAAATTCAGATTCTCGCTTATTTTACTGAAGAGGAAAATTGCTTTCGGAGATATATATCAAGTCTACATTAGGCCTTTTCTTCTTAGTGAAGTACGAATACCAGATAAAGTGAGATCATCGAGAGATTTGGGACTGCAGACTACAGTGTATCAAGAGAAAGATTCAAGAGGAATGATTGTATTTATACCTGTCCATAGCAATGTACATCACTTATTCTTAAGTAGATCTGCCGAGCTGCCTTCGTGCGAGAACCCCTCAAAGTTAAGCAAGTCTTGTATCATAGGAACGAAGAGCAAAAAAACAAGTCAACAACTAGTCTAATCAGAAACGATGAAATTACTACTCTATATTACCCTCATGGCCGAACCCATTGTATTATGAGACACTCTCTATCCTGACTCCATCGCTATGCAAATCAAACCAATCATCTATATGCAACGCTCACCCATAACCCTTTAAAAGACTCGCAAATCTAGTTATCTTCCCGGCGCCCAGTTCTGCAACCACTGTCTCGTAGCGTCAAGATTCCCTGCTTCCGCCTCACAAGCCGCAACACACCACTCCAAATCATATGCCTCTTCAGCAGCAAGCATCTCCGCCAAGCTCCTTCTCTTTTGACTCACATCATCAACGCAGAAATACATAGGAGAAGAATGATCAGGGTAGCTATCCATCAAAGGTCTGACCAAAGGCAATGCTTCTTGAGTAGATAAAGATGCATTTCCTTTTCCCCCTTTTGCTTGCGCTGTTTTGCAATACTGGTTGGTACACCAGACATGTCCACATCCCTTGATCATTTGACCGATGTATCTTCGCTCGACGCGTCGCTTCAATGCTTTGCCTTCGGGATCATACATACTGACGTAGAGAGGACCGAAGCAGATACTGCAGATACCGAGATCGTTGCCAGGACCTTGACCCATTCTGACACCAGCGCCTATCTCCCCGTTTTTACCAACGCCGTAAAGTGTTCTTCCGCAATTGGCGTTCCGGCAGATATCGGGCTTAGAACGAGATGACTTTTCTAATTCATGGTGTCGTAAATGGGTTGCCATGTCTCGTAAACGGACAATTTTTGAGCAGAGATGACACTCTGTAGTTCGTGCTCCATCGGCCAATTCGTGTGCCGTTAATCCTGATATCAATGATTCAGGAGAAGGATCGAATGGGTCTCCTTCTTGTGGCACCTCGAGATGACAGAACTGGCACAGTATGATTTTGCCAGGGCATATAGAGGTCCTATGAGCAGCGAGGTCTTTCAGATTGGCGGCTTCGTAAGGACAACTTGGACACGATTGTGCTTTGTGGCAGACTTCATCGTGTCTTAACTTGCTTGCTGGAGTATTTCCATATGCCGAGTCGTGCTCACAATGCCAGTGATTTTCCCATTCTTGTGATTTCTTCTGGAAGACGTTTTTACAGTGTGGGCATAGGATATTGTTCCGAAGACAGAAATTTTCGTGCAACATCATGGTCCGCTTTGGCACCCATTGCGTGCAATTTTTACACTGCTCCTCGTCAGGTCCATGCATCTCGGTATCTTCGTCTAAGAAGACTGGATTGGTTGAAGATCCAAAAGCATCTCTGGAAATCATCTTCACACTCAAGGAAAATTGATGCATCTTTGGCAGTTCACCCTCTGAGACTGGTTGTGTATGCAGCGATATCAATAACGCTTCAGCATTTTCAAGAGCAATATCCGAGGGTTGAAGAATGATCTTTTTCGAATTCTCTCCACTAAAGTCACCAAAGACGTGTTCCGATTCTCGGGGTTGAGCTCTCTGATGCGGCGATAGCGGACTCATGAAAATATCTACAGCTTCACCATCATCAAGGGTTAGCTCGATTTCGACAGCTTGAGAGCGATCCCATGAGGGAAGTCGATAGTCTATATCGTCACCATCAAGAATTTGCCCAGTTGAAGGTTTCCAAATGTTCAAATCACCGCCAACAGAGCTTCCTTCTGCTGTTCCGGGGGCTCTCTGTGCCTTGGCCATAATTTGTTTCAGGGTTTCCCTGGCCTGTTCCTCGTTCAACGCTTCAATATCCGCTTCCAAATCTGTGTCTACTACACATATTCCGTCACCTTCTGGGAGAAACTTGTCGATAAGAAAGCGAAATTCTTCCGACTTCGAACCTCGAACTGTCAATATTTCACCGTTTGTAAGTGTGGTGAAGTTTTCCCGCATATGTCGTTCCAACAAGGACTTCCAATCCTCTGGATTGTACCCGGCCTCTAAAGGCCGAAGTCGTACATATGTCCCCTTTGGCAATTGCTTCGCATGTACCGTGATTTGAATTGGCGCTTCATCCTCCTCCGTCAGATCAATAAGATCTTTGCCACGAGCATCCTCATCCTCAGTTAAATCAATCGCTCCGACGGGTAATTCCTCCAGACCCGGAGCAGAAGCTTGGGTTTTGGCTTTACGCTGTGGTACTGTCACACCAAGAGCCCCCAGTAAGAATGGACTTAACTCAACCTCCCCCTCCTCAGCAGAAAACTCGCGGATTCCCGCGTGGACTACATTTCCGTTTTGTGGATTTACTAGTCGGAATGTGAGAGGGTGGGGAAGTTGTTGCTGAGTGTCTCGCCACTGTGACTGTTCTACTCTGGCAGCAGCCAGCGAATATGGATTGAATGGGTCGAAATTTGAAGGGGGCGGTCGGGTGGAAGTCGTGGTAACGGTCGAGGCAGCTAGGAGTTGCTCGAGTGCTGATTGCGGTAGTAATATCTTGTCACCAGGCATATTTTTGTTGCTCTTTGGGGCAATCGTAAATACGGCAGACCATTCTAGAGATATTTCGGGGGCAGATGGCGGAGGAGGGCTCGACATATCGTACTTGTGGGGGGAGTAGAGGGGTGTTATCGTAAGGGAGGGTGAGTCGCGATGCGTTTGCAGGAACTTTGCAGGAAGATATAAGAATGCGGGTGGCTAATGGTCAGCATGTCTGGAGAAATTCGAGTCGCGAAAGTGAATTATATAAACATGGTTGTCGTCAGCATGGTTTCCTGAATACCTACGAGTAATAAGAAGTGAATGTTCTCAGTAATCAAATCTTCGAGAAGATGCGATGATTCCCAGATGTGGCTGTGTGGCGTCACATCTTGATAAGATAAGATATTCCAGCCTGAGGCATTCAATCGAGGTTACTCGAGTATGGCTCTATGGCTCGACCATAGTCCTCGACTTGCTAGCCACGCTAGCGCTGTCGACCTATCATATCCGAGCTAGGCACAACGTCATTCACCCATGCTCGAAGTACAAGTGCAACTTGCGCAAAGGACGAGGAGAGAGATACCTTCAAATCCTTGCCATGGCAATCGAAGGTTCATGTCCATCTCTACTTGAACTCCTCTCTGTCTCTGTCGTTCTCGACCAAACCTCCCCCTATCTTCCTATCACGTCTCTTCTCGCTCTTGCCGCAACCTCCAAGTCATTCCGGTCCTTGATCCACCACACACCGGGTGTTTTTAGACGTCTCGACTTAACCCAGTGCAAACGCGCCAAATTTGAAATTGCTGCTATCGACAATGGCGGGCAAAGATGGCGGAATGTGCAAATGGACGAGAACGTCACCGAAGAAGAGTCCGTCGCTCGCCCCGGAAGCCCGGAATTGCGTGTTAATCAAGTTGCAGCTTTTACGGCGGGCCTCTAATGGCCATACTCAACGCTCTTCGACGACAGAATATACTGCAAGACGTTCAAACATTGATATTGGATGGGCTGTCGGTGACTTCAGATATGGTTCACGACATAATCTGTGGGGACTCGACGAACGTTCGCATTCTATCCATTCGAGAAGTTCGACATCTGAACGAAAGGAAGCTTCAACAAGCGTTGCAGTATGCAGTTCGAGCGAGCAGGCCTCCACATACTCCAAAACTTGAGGCTTTGTACATCTTTGGACCCAAAGATCCTGTACCGCATCTTCGAACTTCCGTTGAAAGGATCCCAAGTGGTGTACCATCCACCAACTCTTCATCTGCCATGGGAGGGGTCATGCACTCCGAAGGTGCGCAGATTGGAGCGAGGTGGAATCACATTTCAGAAGGTGCTCTCACAGAAGAGCTCAAAAGAGGCGACAGATGGTATCAAAGACGTGGGAAGGTATTAGTGAAACCCCAATCCCATGAATGGGCGAGCACAATCATGGCCTGCCAAGGCATTATAAGTTTCGACGCCGTTCTTTGCAATGGTCCTCGTCATTCTCTGACTACTACAGGCGGAGGAGACGAAATATCTCTTCCTTGGTATAAACAACAAAGCGTGTATATCCCACCTCGCATCGCCACATACAGTTTGGACGGCTGTTGCAAGTGCAGCAGTGCCCCCGAAGCATTCTCGAACTTTGGAATATCTCCCATGGACCACTTCCCCCTACTGTCGCCTCCACCTCTCCATTCCTTCACAACAAAATCAGCCAAAGCCCCTTCACTTGAGGATAGCCCTGACAAAAAGCTGCTACTTCGCTGCATTGACTGCATGCAAAGCCGGCGTTGTGATAGCTGTGAAAAGTGGTGGTGCGAGGATTGTTATGACATGCCTTACGCAACATTGCAACCTGCTGCTGAATCTGGGAAGCATGGTGCTTCTACATTGAATGAAGTCAAGGTACATATGGGTCTCTGCGTTGAAAACTGTCTGGTGGCAGAAATGATGTCGGGTGCTGGGAGCAATGGGATGTGGGGTTGAATATTGTCAATCTCGCAGTGGAAACGTATGATATGGATTGGTCTCTTTTCTTGCTTTCTCTTTTTTAGTGATTTATACTGATCTTTGGCTATTCTCTTAGCCTGGCGTCCGAAGATCCTGCTTTGAGTGTGGCTTCACCGTGGGTATTCAAGCCTTGTGCAATTTGAGTATGCTCACTTTGAGATTTAGTGCGGAACATGCGAAAGGGACACACATCTCATGTGTGGACAGTGTAGTGGTGGTTATTGCATAACGCATAATGAGGGTTCTACTCGGGCAAATGTGAAACGTCACACCACCAACATTTATGGATGCCGATGCTAACAAGTTTTGGATAGTGCGATTGTATGAATGACTATTATTCATATTGCTTTGTGCTTCAAATGTGTCATGTTGAAATCCAGCTAACGAGACTTCAGGGTGCTCGAGAAGCGGCCGCCGGACGGCAGAATTGTACTGAGGAGCAATACTTTCGAGAAATGCAACAAGTGTAACTCAGTTGAGTCTTCGCGAATTTGAGATGCTTCAACTCCAGTCTCTCTATTCGTCCCAGCCAAGATATTATTACAAACAGTCTTAGTTGATGTTGATGTTGATCACGTGCATCACTTGACACTTGGGCTTCCCTGGGGGTGCTTTGTGAAAAGGGCTTAGACGAGGACATTGGCGTGCGATGAAACAAGACATACTGTACGTTTGGCAGACATGTACTGATTCCGTATAGGAGATGAAGGGGAAATGCAAGCATCTCACAGAAGGGCTAGTCATAGCTATGTGTGAAGCTAGTTCTAGGCACAAGGCGATTGACTGACGTATGACTCTTGTAATAGAGCGAGTTGAGACTTTGATTCCGTAGGACGTAGTCTTTATTACTGAACCAACCATTACCTACTATTTTCCAATATTTTATTGGATAGGAGCTGTCTGCCGATCCCCACTGCCCTTTTCTTTTTTTCGTCGGTGTTACGCCACTTTCACTTGCTTGTCCATGTAACATGACTGACCGGCGTAATTCGACCTCTTTAGATGTGTGTCCGCGGTCGTCCAAATCCCGTCATTCAGCTAGGCAACGTCGATACATCCGTAGCCCTCGTTCTCTGCGATGCCGAAAAATCCAGAGGTGGCTGTGGTTCTCATACCGCTTTTTAGGTACGGTCTTCTAGACCTGCATTCTTTGATAGGTGTATTCAGCTGTGGGTAGTAGAAGCAATTTCATAAATAATCATGAGCTTGGTATGAGGTCTGCTTTCCTTGGGGTCAGGACTCAAAACAGTCTCTCTCTTGGCGGTGGAAGGGACACGTCACCCAAGTATCCAAGCAGGACATGTTCGCGTCGTTATCTTCAGGTGGGCAAAGAAAACCCAAGATAATAGATTTTGATTTAGACTATGGGGTGGGAGACTTTAAGCTTAATTTGAAGTGTTTGTAATTACCGCGCTCGGTAGATTAAGCGAGGTTCAAAAAGTGTAGTGGGGGCTGAAAGAGAGACGCAATTCAAGACTTGCCTTTGAATACAATCTTATATTCTTTTAAGCTCGCCATATAATTTAAGCGAGTCTAAATTATTATAATACAACGTCTTTAACTCTTGTAGCCTAGTTGTAAATATAGACACAAAAATGAACTTTTGTTACAAATTATGATACTATTGCAATTCTCTTTGCCTCCTCTCTCGCATGTCAGCATCCCTTTCTCTCTCCACATCTTCTGTTTCGTGTTCAGCCTCCTGATTGGCGATGATCGGGGAATCGTGCTCGAATGGGTGTGCCGGCAGCTCACCTGGACCTGAAATGGCGGCCATCTCTGTCATCTCATGGTGTCCTCCTTGGGAGAGCCCTGCGCCTGGACGTGATAACGCAAGTTCCGGTATCTCATGGTGGCCACCTTGTGGGAGTTCCACCTCTCTCGAGACTGATGGCAAAACTCCATTGTTCTTGTTCCTTTTCTGGAGGAATATTGCCGTACCGATGAAAAGTGCGAGGAGTGGAATGCCAATGGAAATCCCGATCCCCACCTCAGCTGCTGTAGAAAGAGACGAGGATTTGTGGTCCGATGCTGGGGTGGGTGCTGCATCAGCGGCTGTGTTTTTGGTGGACTTTGATGCAGAACATGTATAAGGGGCTCTGATATGCAATGAGTAGAAGTCGTCGAATGTCGAACAGGTGAATAAATTGTCTGTCATATTGATGCTGAAGCCTTTTGTGGCGCGTTCGAGGATTGGGAATTGGAGACTGTGTTTGTAATCAATGAGTCGATCGTACGAAGTACTACACGGGTTGCATGACTTACTCGGAGAAGTTGCCTTCAATTTGTGATGGTCCGGAAATTGTCTGAAGACTGGGAAAGCTCACGGTCTTTAGATTGGAGTTGTTGGTGATATTGAAGTCTTCGCTGATAACTTGTAATGCTGGCATGGAGATATTGTTGAGAACTGGGCAATCAGAGAGGATGAATGAACCTCCAATATTCTTGGTATCTTGTAGAGAAACACTATTCAATGAGACACAATTTGTGAAGCGTATGGAACCCATAGAACCTACGGAGACCATGTCGTCAAAGGGGCTAGGAGCTTCTTTGAAGACCTCGAGGCTTTTCAACGAAGGGCAATTTGTGATATTGATGGTACCACTATGGATAGGTTCCGATCTGTTTGGATACAAGGATGGTCGCAGCTTAAGATTGGAAATTCGTGAGTCGTTGGTAATTGCTAATTCGCCATCGACAGGTAGGGGGAGAACATCCGGAGAAGTTGTGCTGGAATCGCGGATACTATAATCAAAGCCTTGATACACATGAAATCCCGACGGAGTATATTCTTGACAACTGGGGATATCCAATCTATCAGAAACACGGATATTGGCGTCCACCCAGCTTCCGCCTAGAAAGTTGATGTGAGTGACATTGGAAATCGTAAGACTACCGACGGTGTTGAACGTCAAAGTGAGATTGGCCAAATTGCTGTTGCTCTCGATCCATATATACTGAATTATCCCACTAAACTGCATAAACATTGTGGTTATATTAGTATGTATGATTGCCAGACTTCGTGTCGCATAGATATCACTGATGCTGGGGGATGTTGTTGGCAAAGACAAATTAAATGTAGAAAGATTTGTAAGTGATGGGAGCTCGGTCAACATAATGCCTTGGGTGTAGTTTGACAGTTTTGGTAGCCAAATTGTTCGAAGCTTCGATAGGCCCGTCACCATTAGAGAATCGAGAGTTGTGAGGCGGGGAAATATCAATGCGGTCAAATTGCTGTCACCAGGACTATCATTATTGGCATGGATAGCCCCAACCAAGCTTTCAAGCTTAGGTAAGTAGAGTTCTCCGGGAAAACTGCCGTTCACATAAATACTCCCGTTGAAGGAGAGGCATTCCGATATAGCCTCTACGTCCTCCTGAGTGTAAAGAGTGATATGAGGCCACCTATCACTATTTATAACGGGGTAAATCAATATCCTTGGAAGGCCATCAGAGGTATGATCAATATCTGCTTTACATGGAGCAGAAGAGTTGATTCTGGATCTGAGGAAGGCCTGCCCTACATTTCAAAACAGTCAGTATTGGGATAAAATTGAAAACTGCGTGGATGATTTTACACCTGAAACGAAGGCGGTATATAGTATAATGAGTAACAGCCAAACAATATTGGCGAGCATAGTTTCGTTTGAATGGTCTTCGAATATTATGTCCCAGTAACCGGCGTAAAAGTTGAGAAGACGACTTTCTGTTCAATGGAAAGGAAGAGGAAAGGGGGTCAACAGAAAGAGAATAAAACTGCGTCAATGAAAATAAGATTGGGACGAGCCGAGCAGACCAAAAAGATTGTGCCTTGTGCGAATCGCTCCACGTAGCACTACCCAACTGCCCCTACATAATTGGCTATTGGAGATCACCCTACATCTGAAACAGGCTCAGAATAGAAGGTGTAGAATAGGGAGTACTCGGCGAGGCTGAAACCTGGGAGGTAATCTCCCATAGATTGCTGGGCACCCGCATCGTTCGTTGCATTAGCCCCCATTAACTCGCTTAGCACTCCCAAACTTTTGCCCCCAATTACTAGCGGGTTCATACACGTGAGTAGTAGAGGGATTGGCATGCATGCTTTATTGATATTAGCTATGAATATCTCAGACAATTTACTTAGATACATCTTCATGTTTCCTTCGGAGTAATTTAATCGTACAAACGCACTACATGAATATAGGACTTCTCACAAAGTATTCGATGTACTGAACAAGCTATTGCGATACTTCCTTCAACCATCTTGAAACAGCATTATTTCGCTCTTAATCTTCTCGGGATTTTAGGCAACCATCTTATATATTCGATACTAGAACCCGGAAAAGCCCTCTGAAGTGAGATACAAACAATGATGAGCTGTTGATCTCTTCCCGTTTCTGCATTAGTTCTTCGACATTCATATTGTCCAAACAAATCTTTCTTCGAAGAAAGAGGCTTCGGGGCTTGTAAGCCAGACTGTGAAGTTTACCGCTATTTAGGCTTAGTTTAAACATGTTAGCGAGATGCATTACGACCATGCCAAAGACAATATTGTGAGAAAGGAAAAAAAACCATCGTCAACGCATCCGTCACGAATGTTTATCAGCTTATCTCTTTCTACCCCATCCGGGAACATCATCGCCTTCCTAGCCATCTCTGTCTCGGTCACCAATCTTGGATGTAGATCGACAACCCGCATCCCCGGATACGCAGCCTGAATCTACTCCATCAGTTTCGAGGCCGTTAACTTGGTTGCTGCATAGGAAGAGAATCCCGCAATTGGGGTGACATGCACAGTGACGGTGGAGATGTTGATTATGTTTGCGGTCTTAGAAGCTATTACTAAGAACGCGTGAGTGAGAAGTTAGAGACTCCTTTGATGTTTATATTGAATATGGTTTGCCATTCGTCTACGGTCTTGTCCCGAGGGGTATCGGACCTGCCAAAAGGCTGTGTTTATAACCAGAGCATCCAGCGATCTTTCTTCAAGTTCTGACTTGATCCGGGAGAATGCCATATCTATAGATTCTGGACTTGAGATATTGGCTGTGTTGGTATATTCAGGTCCTAGGGTGGGAAGGAGGGGAAGTCACGTGGTACTGTCTAAGACAGTCTATAACACCACTATCCCTTCCGGAGTATCCAGACACAAAAAACCCGTGCACTCAAAGTGGAGTAAAGAGTGGAGTAAAAGCATCCACTTTTACTATATCTCCCCCGTAGAGCACAAGTCATTTGGCCAACCAGGCAACATTCCCAAGCATTTGAGCCTCAATTGACCCATTTATCGCATCCACTTCTATCCACTTTGAGTGCACGATTTTTTTGTGTCTCGATAATCTGGAAGGGATATTATTAGCCAGCACCTACACTCTCTTAGAACAATATACGAATATATAAAGATTATATTTAGTGTCCGGGCCCAAGAAGCCAAACCAACAGGCTGGGATGATGAAGATTTGGATGCTCAAATTGAGGTATTTCAGGGTGGGTTTTGCCCCTGAGAGGACGTTTGAACGTCGACTTAGGTGTGAGGCGGAGGCGAGGACGATTGAGTTGACGACATCGAGGCTAGTTCATGTTCCGTATCCTAAGAGGAGGTGTCTCTTTTTGGCGAGGGAGAGTTCGGGACGGAGGGGAGGGATAGCTGGGTGGGTTGATGTGTGCCAGGTTGGGGTGAGGAATGGGAAGGGAGGTGTCATTGTAAGTAATATATTCATTATGGGACTTTGGTTAAGGTTTAGGTTGTTAGTGATGGCTTTGAGATTTCGTTGATGAAGAGAGGTTCTTCCTTATTTGTACTATCTTTTTCTATGGGTTCAATCAGTATTACGAGAACACAATGTATGGTCACGTTCTTACTGACCAGAATCCGCTCTGAAACCCATCAAAATACTCTTAGGCTGATTGTTAGAATATTTTCTCACCTTCGCTGAACTGCTTTTGTTGACAGGTTTGAAGCCTACCTGCAATGCTCGGACTGAAAATAGTACGCCAGCTTACTTCTTACCATAATTCACGAATATTGTCTTTTGACCCGGCTTGCAAATGTAGAATAGCGATCTCACTTCTGATTCCGCTCAATAGTATCCTCAGGTGAAAGACGATGGCAGATCTTTGCTTGACTGGTGTTTCAAATCCCACAGGCATAGTTATTGCTTTTCTTTTTAAACTAATAGGGTTTTGGAAGTAGAAGAGAGTCCAATGTAGATTTGCGCTATATAATTGAGTAGCATCAGCGTCCGTCTTAGAAATTACATGAGTATCGACCTAAGCACAATATTATTTTGGGGAAAATGCTAGTTGTGGGAGCAGATTGACACCGGATCCGATTATCCGAGATAAGAATTTACTCTTTTGGTTCTGTACCGGACTCTCGTGTACCAACAAAGTAAGGCGTTTCATATAGAGAAAGTTGGGAAGTACGAAGATGCTGCGATTTTAAGAACAAATGACCAGATCCTTCTATCGCCCAACGCAGCCAGAAGTTATTGGCTTCCAACGAGGTTGTATGATCTTTGGAATGTGTAGTCAAAATAGCATACAGAACGATTTGACGGAGAAAAATCGTCGTCTATGTTTGTAGTTTGAGTACAAGGTACCTGTTTCTCACATAGCTGTCAAAAGAAAGAGTATTGAGGAGGCCAAAACTAGAATTCTGTGGCATTTAACTTCCCTTCCAAGTGTTGGAGATGAGAATTTGTAGATAAGTCAATGAGTGTCGCGACGCGAATAACCCAAGTAACTATCAGTGTAAGAATTCGAGGATATCGACTGCAACGAGCGAAAGAGACCTCAAAACAGAAAGGCTGTTCAGCTAGATAACAGCATAGGAGCATTTACGTGCATTACCTTCAAAAACTCGAATACCGTAGTGTTTGCCAGTCATATACTGAGATATGGTGGTTGTCTTAGCCAATTGCTAAGCGAGAGGCGTTTTTAACAAACAGGGGGTTTCCTCTACCAGGAGATGCCCTGGTGTTTGGAGCATCGGATGAGTTTGAGACTCCGGAAACATAATTGATTGATAAAAACATACCTGTACAAATCTTCCCGGGCGACCACCGCCGTTGTGCCGGTAGCAGAATTTAATACTTGAAGAATTGGGTTATTTTTTGCACGCTTTGTGTGTCCAAAATACCTCGAGACTGCCAATTATAACCTCAAAACCGTGCCACCAAAACAGCAAACCATTGACTAGAACTTTCTCCAAAATTTTGGATAAACCCATTAGCAATTATGTGAACTCAGAGAGGAGAGCACGATACTACCGAAAGGGACCACACCCTTAAGTCCCCAAGCGCAGCCCCAAAGTCCCAACCCCTTGCTTAGAAAGGAAGGCAATTAGAACCGGTCAAAAACTCAAAAACTCTTCTGAGAATCCATGTTTCAATGTTCGGACGTTAAAGAGAACAGTGCAGGGAACCTGGAAGGTTTCGGGGGAAAGTTCCGTAATCATCGGCTTTTGCTGAAAATCTCCGGGTGCAAAACACCCACAATTGATATGAGAGTGAGACATGGTAAACTGATCGAGAGAGAGGTCTCGATTGTTCGGCATAACATCTTGAGCAAAGATATGAAAATTACGAAGAAAGAAGAGACTGACACTTGCCAAATCCTCACCTCAGCTTCCCTCGTCGTCCAAAGAGGAGAAACTTAATGCACGTAAACCCCCTGCAAAGACCAAAAACACACCCTAAGTTATTCCAACGTTAATTGGTTTATTAATATTAAGATTAACTATTTTATGTTTCGGCCGTTATGAATATACCACGCAATTCCAAGTCGGACTCGGTTCAACTCCATTATTAACAAGCCAAGTTGTAGAGAGGGTTGTAGTTCGCATCGAGGACACCGAAGTTTGGAGTGGCAGCGAAATCTTGGAGGGTGTACCAGAAGGTGTGGCCAGCAGCGAAAGCGGCACAGGCGACTTCAGACCAGTATCGTTGAGCGTTTTCGACATTTGCAACGGCTTGGTTCTCAGTTGGGCCAGCAGAGGGCCATCCAGACTAGAAAGGGATGTTAGATTATGGTTTGAAAGAAAAAGTTTACCAGGATTATAACATACCTCAGTGATCCAGACCCACGCTCCTGGCTTAACTCTGTTGACTACATCACGAACAGCTTGAGTGGATTCCCAGAACAAGTTGGATCCTTGATCAATTGGGTTGCTCATAGTGCTCTGGAAGTATGGGTATCCATCAGTTCCGACGAAATCACAAGCCCGGATAACATCCTCGTTTGCGCCATCAACCCAGGCAGTCCAGGTATCAACGTGTCCGATTTCGATGGATGATCCTCCATTGACGGTAGTCATCATTCCACGAACATCGTAAATTTTCTGTGCCAAAGTGCTGGCCGATGTCTCCTTTCTGTATAAATCCTCGCTTCCAACTGTGATAGCCACCAGCCACCCAACACCGTATTGTTGCACAGCAGCAAGGAGGGCTTGCTTCTCGCGGTCGAAGTGAGCATCATCTTGGGTCCAAACGGATGCGAGAATGGTTCCTCCAGTGGCGATAGCTGCTGGGACTGCGTTCGCAAGGGTGTTGCAATCAGAAGAGGCGTAAACTCGGATGCTGCTGAATCCACCTGGAAGTGCCTTCATGACATTGAAATCCTTCTCCCAATCTGCTTGGGTCTTGCAGGCACCATTTCCCATGGTTGCTTGGGAGTTGAAACCCTTCCAGTAAGCATTTGCACCGGTGAAAGAGGCAGCGAGTGCCAATGCGTATGTGGTAGTCTTCATGTTGACGGAAAAATAAAATTAAGGTATTAATTAAGGTTAAATAGGTAACGAGTGTGGTGGTGTTTTTAGGACTCAAGGGAATATGCGGGTTAGAATAGGGAGAGAGTGTGTGAGTGAGAAGGGTAAAAATTGCTCTGGGTAAGCAGTTCTACTTAACCATCAATGGATTGGTCTGGGCCGTCCCCTTTTTCTTGTGAATTGATCCAATCGCAGTTGCATTCGGAAGAAATTTCTCGTGTTCAGGTAGGACAACGTCATCCAAAGGCAGTGGAAGTTTCCTTACGAGAGGAAGGTGGGCAAAAGCCAGGGAAAAACAGGACGCGGAACTATTTTTAGTCCGTTCCGGTCACTTTTTGTGGATACTCCAATCTCCATGGAGAACAACTCACCTCTTTAGGAAGGTAAGACCCATTTAATCCGGGTTAACAATCAAATGATATGCAGAATCTTTATGCATCGTATAACGGTTGTGTATATTCCAGGTTGCGTGGCGGCGAATGAGAGCATTACCTGGAATACAAAAATACAAAAGTTCAGATATTTGAAAGAATTGAATACAAAGTACATAATCATCAAGTCAGATGTTGATGATACGAGATAACACTTGCCACGAAATTTTGAAGCTCACAAAAATAGCAGCATTAAGCCATTTCCTTGCGAGTCTTCTGTTCTAGTAATCTATACCAGAAGTGATTAACTGAAACCTGTTTGAACCATTATTGTCCCAATTATCTTTCGGGGGTTGTCTAATGGTTCCAAGTGGTCATATACTTTGAATGATTAATGCCTCGCTAAGTTACACTATAGTCATGCAAAAGGATCCTGTCACTTTTTCTGGTTGTGACCTATGTACTGCACGGCTGTATTCTTCCGCCTTACCTCTCTTTTATCTTCAACACCACGGTCTACACTCAATGAAATTTGTTTGCGAAAAATTGCAAAAGACAAGAGTTGAATAGGTATACAACAATGACAGCTCTCGACGCTGCGTGGAATACGGCATCCCAAGAATTACTCTCCTTCACTTCATGATGTCCATCTACCTCAACCTCAACGCCTCGTCGCCAATTGTGGAAAAAGCGCCAAATGGGCTCCAAGCGACATGTCCCTTATTTGGCGAGGACCTCATTCATCATCATAGAGGCAGGCGGCGAAAAGACGTTCTCTACTGTAGTAGATAAAAAGAGAAGAAAGAGTGTGAATTTCTCGACTACACATTGGGCCATTGCAAAATACATTTCAAAGACGACGATGGAAGAATTGGTCGAGCTGCACTTCGAATAACTCGACTATTATCGACGTCGACAGTCTGCCTGTGTTATGGGGCATCTGATAACGAAAATTGTTGTGATCATCTCTTTCACGCATCGAATGTCATGGTCGTACGAGGAGGAGATGAAATATCGAATAGCAGAACTTGGAGCGCACCCTACTCGTTTGTAGACAGTTTGTTTGTCTTTTCGATTTCGTGCGACGCCCGCGCAAGAATCTCATCAGCCCGTCTTTCTCAAGTTTATCGTTCTGCTTTGTGATTATGGTCCGACTTCTGAATACCGAACACGATTCAATCCCAAAGAGCAGTCGAATCTTTCCTCCAATATTTACACATTCGCGACCGTCACAAGGATTTAAGTGAGTCAGTACATTTTGGAATGGGAACATTTGAGGTCATTTTTGAGGGTGGGATTTGCAGATTATAACAAGGAAATGTCCTGCAAATCATGATTTTACCGTCTGCAGCTGGTACAGTACTTGATTCAAACCGAGGTGAAAAACAAGAGTTGTGCTTGGTGAAAATCCGATCTTGTTTTCCCGCCGCCGGCGCTCAGTCCAAGCGCTCGCGGCGGGTAGAAAAGTTTCTACCTACTTCGTAAGAATGAACCCTTTCAACATTTTTACACCAATGATGGCTCGTGGCATTGAATTTTCAGGGTCCAAAACTCTGAGAGCGACTCGAAACATGACTGTCTGCTTTGGCGGTGAAGATATGCCGTAGGGAAGCGAACTTACCTCGAAGTAAGAAGGATGCTGGAGTGTGTGGGTGGAGTACCTAGGAGTTGACGAGACTACTTGTCGGGCCATACAGAGAACAGCTCTCTACGGGTCCCTCGCTTATCACAATCTTCTGCGCATAAGAAAGACTTCTAGCGAGTAGGAGCCTCCAGTCTGCTCCAGTTCACACTGCGCTGTACTCCACCCACACACCCCAGCATACTTCTTATCGATTTACTACGATATCAGAAACACTCTAACATACCGAAGCTAGAAGTGTGTTTGTTGAGTTTCTCTGCACAGTACTACAGGATAGCAAGATCCACTATGATTTTCTGTCCTTATCTTTGCGCCTTTTTTTTTTCACGAATCTCCTTCATGAAGTTGGCGCAGATACCACGAAAAGCTCTCATCTATAGAGTCTTGTCACGAGGGTTCTCATCATAAAGAGAGTTTCATAAAAAAAACTCTTCAAGTTTCTGACCCGTCTTCAGGGTTGAGTCACTACGCTAAGCTTACAGGTATATCCTGCATTGCGTTACTTTCTTTTCGAATCATCGTTATCCCATGTATCGGTATTCCACCGTCAGCGCCCAAGGGAGATGTTTTTCAAGTTCTTTGTAAATTCCATGTCATCGGAATATAGTTCCCGTCTGATCTGCAATACTGTTGTAGAAGTACAAATTTATACTTCGAGAAAGAGTTCGTCGAGCAATATTTACCGAGAATCGTGCTGAGGTTAGTTGGTGATGAGTGTCGATCATACTTGCAACTGCATATGCATGTTTCTTTTGACGTCTTTGTGGCCCGCATGAGGTAGTCGTGGAGGCATAGAGAGACAATTGCCAAGTAGCACCGTTTTCAAGATCAACTACCGGCGGTGGATTACCGTTATGTGAATCTGAGAATCTGATTTTGAGTGCCCAGATTCAAGGGGACTTCAGTCAAAGCGCTCAATGAATTTCTTCATCTCACTCTAATGATCAAATGTGCTGGCCAATCATTACTACACGAAATGATTGTTTTCAGGGGCCAGTTCCATATGGAAAATTCCCGCCAGCCAACAGAAAAGGATGCACGTATCAGAAAGTGGCCTGATGCCCGCTATTGCTCCCAGCAAATTGTAATGCGGGAGCAGGGGGGGACCTTGGGGTATGGGGAAATCAGCTGACTGCAAAGCTGGGGCATGCAGGAAAACTGGTACCAATAATGGGCAACCCCGTTTCCCCTCAAACTTTCTTGATATGGAATGAATGCGCACTGTGGATGCGAAATTCAACGAGATACGTATGCACCTGTTTGTGAGACCACTCTTTGCAATGGTTTGTGTGGTTCTTGATGTTCTTTGGCTTGACTTGTGCCAGTTGATTTTTTGCTCAAGTTGTTCTATTCCCTGGAAAATAAGACTTTCAAGTGGAGCTCCTATTATTGGCAAAGGTTATCAAGCTCACCGTTCTCTCTAAGACTATCATTGAAGCTCATTGAAGCTCACTTGGCTACGCTTCTTTCTCTTTGCGGGTCTGATAAATCTCCGATCGCTTTTTCTTCTCCTTACGGAGTATATCCCTCACAATATGGTCTCACATATCATCCAGTCAAGAGGTCGAAACACAATCATAGTGCCAGTTTCTCCAGAGGAAGAAGCTATCATCCCGCTTTCTCGCTCGTGTAAACGGTGGCATTTGGCAACATAACATAGGCTCTCTTGCAGGGAAACTGCACTAGAGTCTAGAATACTCTATCTCTATCAGATCCTTCTAAGTACTCCCGCTAATGTTTTTTGGAAGCAGATAAAGCTCCAGGTTAGGCACCCACTCAGCGCGAGAGTCTATAGGAGCGAAAATGATAAACCTTAGCGTGATGATTCTGAAAACTTGAAGATGGTAAGTAGTCCCGAGTCACGGGTGGATGCCATTGTCAGGGTTGTCGAAGCGAAGCTTCCCTAGTCGCTCTTCCTGAACTCGGACCTTTTCCAAATCCAAAGTAAGCTTCTACCGTGGGTCCAGGCCCCCCGCACACACTTGTTTATCATGAGTGGGAATTTAATTGGGTATGGGGGACGGGGGCACACAAAATTCAAGGTGCAAGCTTACGCGACATGTTACAATGCCACCTTGGCTATCCGAATAAACGAGCTTGGCCGGCTTGGCTGCGTACAAACCAGAGCAACCTCTCAGAGTAGAGTTTCATTCACCTCACGACGGGGACGCCGAGGACTTTCCGGAGGGTCACACATAAAAGCTTGAGATGCCCTTTCCTTAGATTTGTCCGGATAGTCTGCTTGGTATACAAGTCAATTGCCTTGGAATCACCGCGACCTCAAGCCGCCCAGAACGTCAAGCCTTCAACATCATATATTGTTCGCACCCAAGACATAGGCATCGACATTAGCCGGCACTAACATGTCTACCTCTACCACTTCCTACGAAGCCGCAGACCCCATTGCAGTCGGCATTTTGCCCACTGCTAAGCAAAGCTTGAAGGACTTGTTTATCTGGAAACAGAGAGTCGTTGTTACTAATGACTTCGGAGAAGAGCACACAGAATGGCAGAGCCCAGAACCGCTCCGAAACCCAATCTCGTTAATGGCACAGCTGAGTGCTCGTGATGTGAGTTACCACACCTTTTAAGCCAAGAACACAGCACATCCCGCCACAACCACAATTCTCTGGACCACAAGGCTTTCCTGTGCATATCAAAACAGAATACTAATATGTTATAGTGGGTCTTCTTTATAGTAGGCTTTGGAAGTTGGACTGCAGATGCGTTCGATTTTCGTAAGTGGACGATCTAGAAATGCAAATCTTGGTCTAATGTTTTATGCAGACGCCCTTTCAATCCAGACCACAAAATTCGCGAAATACTACCACCAATCTAATACCAACATTACAACTGCAATCACCCTTACGCTTCTTCTCCGATCAATTGGTGCTGCCGCGTTTGGTCTCGCAGGAGACAAATTTGGACGAAAATGGCCTATGGTTATCAACATGATTGTTCTTGGTCTTCTTCAAATCGCCACAATTTACAGCCACACATTCCAGCAGTTTTTGGCTGTTCGTAGTCTGTTTGGTCTCTTTATGGGCGGTGTTTATGGCAATGCTATTGCCATGGCTCTTGAGCACTGCCCCACCAATGCTAGAGGCCTTATGTCCGGTATATTGCAACAAGGTTACGCATTTGGATATGTGTTGGCTGCTTGTGCCAATTTGGCTGTTGGAGGTGAAACTGACTCTTGGAAGGTGGGTTTCAAAATACGATCCAGTGAAGAAAATTGACTGATTTGGATGTTAGACTGTTTTCTGGGCTGCAGCTGGAGCTTCCATTGGGTAAGTTGAGAAAAAGACTTAAGCGATGACCGACCTCTAACAAGTAATAGATTAGGGCTTATTCGAATCTGCTTCCCTGAATCTCAACAATTCCTCGATGCCAAGAAGAATGGTCACAAGAACGTCACTGCTGGAGCTTTCCTGAGAGAAACCAAGACTATGCTCGCTAGTCAGTGGAAGATGTGTGTTTACTGTGTCATTCTCATGACTTGGTTCAACTTTTATAGGTGAGGAAAATTCCTAGAGTACTTTGTAGGGACGACTGACTAACAATTTCTAGTCACACTTCCCAAGATTCTTACACAACATTCATGAAAGATTCCAAGGGACTTAACAACGGCGCTGCCTCCAGAGCTTCTATCTGGATGAAAGTCGGTGCCTGTAAGTACTCCTTTCGCTCTCTGTATTTATATAACTAACTTGTTAGGCGTTGGGGGTACAATCTTGGGGTACACTTCCCAATTTATTGGTCGTCGCCGTGCCATGATCGGTTCCGCATTCATGTCCGCATTGATGATACCAGCATGGATTCTTCCCAACGGCGAGCACGCTTTGTCTGCAACTGGATTCCTCATCCAATTCTTCGTCCAAGGTGCATGGGGTGTCATTCCAATTCACTTGAATGAACTTGCCCCACCTGCGTTCAGATCTTCATTCCCAGGTATCACTTACCAACTTGGTAACATGATTTCCTCCCCATCAGCACAGATTGTCAACGCTCTTGCTGAGATGATCCATGTTAAAGATGAGGGTGGACCAAGTGTTCCTGCCTATGGTCCAGTTATGGCTATTGCCACAGCTATTATTGCCGTTGGTATCATGGTCACTGTCGCGCTTGGACCCGAAAAGAAGGGACGCAAGTTTGAAGAGGCCACTGTTGCTGGTGCTGGAGAGGTCATTCCAAAAGACATTGAGAATGACGATAAGGCAGTTCCTCAGCAAATTGAGCATGCTGAGGTTGTCAAGGGGGATGAGAAAGTCGAGATCGCTGCAGTCAAGAGCTAAGTGACATAATATGATAGACATGATAGATACCCGTTAATGTGTGGGATGACTTGGGGGTAATTCTGGGAATCTAGCTCAGACTAGCTGGGCTTTGGTAATTTTGCTTCGCCCCAGTGGGGTTCCTTTTTGTTGAACCATTTTTATGCGGAACAGTTTAGACAGCTGCTTTAGGCTCGATGATTGATTTAATGAGCTTATTACGAAAGAAATATTATTATTGTTATTGAATATTACTCCTTGGCTCGTTACTTTTTCTGTCTCGTTTGAATGTGCTGTCCAACTTATCCCTTTTAGGAATTCCAACTCCGTGTAGGGTCACATCGCGTTCACAGCTTCCCCATACCCCAGATTCCAACCGCGAGCCGCTCGCTTGGAAACCCCCGTATTTGGCTTCTTGGTTGTTGGGACGGTACAGTCATTTCAAACGTCTCTCGTAGCCTATTGTGTGAGTCAGGCGATCATTAGTGATGGTTGGGGTATCCGAGTACCTTGTGGAAATTGAAATGCCAGGAAAGACTTTTTTTCTTATTGTAACTTTGTAACAAGACTATTCTAGGTAGGTATCTATGTTAGATCCTCTTACTTGATTACTATGATTCTCTTGTCACGTTCGGCTAATTTCATTATTTTTAGAAATAAATAGGATAGTAAAGAGGTAGAAATAAAGCTACGCCAAGACAAGAAGAGGGGATTCACCAACCTTTTCCATCCACGAGTCGCCAAGGACACACTATATGTATTCCTGCATGACAGCTTTGCAACTGATAAGCAGCTGTAGTGATCAGAGCATTCATTGAGTTTTTGTGATAAAGGTCACGTGTAACAAGACGGCCTCCTTATAGGAAGAAGCTGACACAAGTAGACCCTCGGGAGAGCCTCGGTCGAGGGTCAAAATCGTTTAACCCTCGAAATAGTTATTTTCCTAAAGGGGCGCATAGTAAATTTCTGATTATTAAGCAGTATTCAACCCTTAAGTCCGATTGCGCCTTAGTAAACATTTACAGAGCTTAAATAAAAAACGCTAACCCTCGCTAAAAATCCTTAATGCTCGTATACGTCTATTTAAAGTCCTATGTGCATTGTGTATCCGTCATCTTACTCGACCTGCTAGGTGTACCGACGTATTTACCTAGGTATGTAGCACCTAACTTGCGGCATTAATTCTTGCGGAATTCACGTCTTTTCCCTCAATTCTCCGACCAGTTTGGGCCTTTTTATCGAGTTTGGTACCCCTCGCTGGGAGCTGGCCGGCATGCGCGCAGGTAAACTTTGCCCGAATCGAGCGGTTCTGAAACTTATATTTGTACTGCGTTGTGGTCTGTCGTATATAGGTAATACCGAGTCTTTCGAGTACCCCTGTGGGGTGTAGCGCAGCTACTTTTAGCTCAATGCAGCTCTAAGTAAACCCTTAGATACGAAGTATATTTTGTTCCAACCCTCTGGGAGCTCCGGAGCAGGTACTACGGTACCTGCTCCCGTTAGGGAATACCTGCTCCCGTCTAAATTAGGTATAAAGAAGCGGGGATAGGGTACTCTAGAAAACATTATACTTTTGGGACCGATAATAGATAATAGATTGTACTTCGTAGGTACAGTGTCTATTCTTGACCACTGCGCTACCTAGTCCCGAAGGACGTGTGGAATTTGCTTAATCTACTACAAAGTGCCCTGCTGGATTCCGCATCTGACCTTCCTTCTAGAACAGCCTACGAAGTACAAGTAACTTTTAAGAGAGTTTAAGCGTAACCCGAGCGTTCCGCAAGCTATCTGTCCAAATTATAGAGCCTTTCACCCTCCATTTACCTCTACAAACAACGCGTAAGTACTTAGTCGTTTTACTTGTTCCTCTCCCCTCCCTACCTGTAAGTACTTTCCTACTATTCTGTCTTGTAAGTCCCTACTTCTACTATACTCCTTCCCTCCCCCCTCTGTGGCTTCCTTGCCTATAAATAAGTAAATAAGGAACTATATCTTTAGTAGGATTTAAGGTTTCGCGCCTACCGTGGGGAGCAGGAAATACTTGTCTACCGGGAGGCTGCTTTCAGGAAGGTTTTATACCCCGGGCCGTCCCGCGCGGGAGGGGTAGGTATTTCCTAACACGGTTCCCAGAGGGCCAAGCGATAGCGCCGTAGGAAGAGCACTGACTATTAGAGATTCTTCGGTCGATTTAGATAGGCCAGCAATGTAGTGTCGCGCGGCCACCAATCCAAAAGAAACCCCGCCCATATTAAGATACCAAACATCCCTCTAGTGAATAGCTGGGACTTAGCTAGATATTCTACATCTCTAAAAACACTCTCAATTCTGCCCACTCTATGGACCACTTTATATTTTCTCCTCTGACAAAATACAATCTTAAACAAATCCATGATAGATATGCCAATTTAGTACAAGTACCACTCGATAGACTAATAAACCTTACCTTGCTCGAAACCTGCTGGCGGTGATTTACCTGAGTATGTTCCTATGGGCAAAGACTGTTGGTCTGGTTATCGCTATGCAACTACAGATACAAAAGTTGGACACTTGCGGTACACTCGCCACAAGGTTTCCACGTGTTACCCACTGTAGCCGTGACTGTGTGTTCCTTTTCGGGGCTGTCTGCATTGGTTGTCTTACGTCAAATGAAATAAACCCCGTTTGGGCCAATAGCAATCAATTGCCTACCTGAACCTTCCTTTCTCACCGCCAATATTTGTAGCGAGAATTCCACTACCTAAAGAAAACTGTGAGATGAATTGCATACAGTCCATGTTAAGTGGTCTGATAAGAGTGACCAATAATGTCGTGGATTGTAAAGGAGGTGGACAGCTCGGGTCTCCCCCCCCTTGTCACTTTCTGATATACCTCCACATGAATCGGACAATTCCATTGGCTTAGAGGGCTATATTGTGGAGTTATACCCTGCCTATAACAACTCGTATACAGGGGGGGAGACCCGAGCTGTCCAGACCCTTTACCTCGAGAATAATGTGTAGCCATATAGATGAATATACATCCACGTGGACAAGGTTTTCGGTGCTCATTAATGATAATTCGGAGGGATACCGTAGTCCAATGGGTGTCAACTGTGTCCATTTCCTCTTGTATTTGTACTTGAAATTCCAACTAAGGTACAGTGAATCTTGTTTTTTCAGGGCACTGTGAAATATTTGGTGTCAATTCCAGGCACTCTCAAAAGACTTTTCTTGCGAATGAAATGAGAAAAATGGTTTCCCCTCACAACGGAAGATTAATTTACAGTACAAGTAAAGATCTCGGTAACTACCTGTTCCTGATCAATTTAACTCTTGCGTTGTCTTGAATTTTCGGAAATAATATTGTTACCAAACAGATTCTCAAGAAAGCATTAGAATGGATTTTGATTCGTCAAACAAGCTCGCCTCAGGTGCAGTAAGTCTGGAATATCTTCATCGAAGTGGTTCGTCAGTTAAAATGTTTTGCCTGAGCTGAAGTAACAATTTCTCTCTACCATCTTGGTTGTTGGTAAATCCGATATTGTCTCAACGAAAACTATTGGTACAGTTAAAACTGATTGTTTTCGTTATATTTATTGTGCTTCATGCTTGGTCGTGACTACGAATTGCCCTGTTAGCGTGTCTAGTACTGATCATCATTATCTCGTATACAGAATGATGTTGGTCTTGTTTATGCAAGTTATGCACAGATCCTCTGCTTCAATTTTCAGCATGCCGAAGGTTGTTATACTACTCGCTGCTCTTGTCGCCAGAGGATTCGCTCAGGCTGAGTTCAAAGGATCATTGCCAATTGAGCAATGCTCTGCCGTTCCAAAATGCTTGGGAGAACTGCCTGTAGAGTCTTTTCCTCAGACTCCAGACACTGCAGACACTACTAAACCTCAACCTCTCATTATAGGTAGAACACACCCCCCCTTCACAAAGCTGGTTTAATTATTCAAGTGCGTACTTATGATTGATTCTATTCCTATTCTAGGGGTAATTGTCGATCCCACTCGCTTAGCGGATTCTAGCGATCCAAGCTGTACTTCTGGGCGCTGCATCATTGTGGATTCCAACGAGGTTTGCGACGGCACCCAGCCAAATTGTCTACCTTTCGCAAACGTGGGACAACCAACTCTTCCTTGCGACCAGAGCCTCCTTAAATGCCCTCTAGGTGGTATTCTACTTGACCCAAGCCTCTCTTGCCATCTACTTGATAACAAATGTCCTCCAGGTGGTGTGTACGTTCCCGTTTTGCCAAGGGACCAAAAAGCACCAAACTGGATCACTTCTTGCGTTCTCGATATGATCAACTGTGCCAAAGGTTATAATCTTACGGGCGTTCCAAAATGGCCGCCTCCACAAGAGGACCCCAACAAGCCGATTCCCGGACATCCCTTCAATCCTGTAGGTCTTTGCAGTAAAACAACACCTGGATGTGATCCGCGGACAGGTCTGGTAGTTCCATATGACCCAAACAACAAATGCAATGCTCGATATCCTGGATGTCTTGCTGATGATATCCCATCCGACCTTGTAGATGCTGGAAACGACCCGGCTTGCCCCAAAGGGTCAGTTTGTAAGATTATCAATGCAGTGCCATGCTATCCAAACCAAGCGAGTCTTCCAATTTCATGTATGAAGGTCGATCCCATACCCTGCGTCATTGGAACTCTCGGATGTAGCTCGGGAACCAAACTAACAGATCCTGTTCAGCCATGCGTACCAAATAGCGTTGGTTGCTCCCAATATGGAATTCGTCTGCCCCCACCACCGAATACTCAGCCGAACGATCCAGTCATTCCTCCAGGAAATCAAGCTCTCGTTATTGCCCCCCAGGGTGCGTTTATACTCCCTGGAAAGTCAGATGCTGCAAATTGCTGACATGATGCCTTTTCTTTCGTTAGGTACGCTTGCTTGCGCTTTTACAATTGTACCATCCGACCTTCCACAAAGCGTGCCTCCGCCATGCCCAACCCCCGAGACCATTACAGTACAGAGTCATGTCACAATAACTTTAAGCCCACCAACATCAACTGTTACATATACGCCCGCTCCACAGACACCAGAACCCCAACCAGATACTGCAGGCACATCATCTACGTCTGAAACCCCTGAACCATCACCCTAAACTCAACAAACCGTGACGGAAACAGTTATAGCATCCTCGCCAACAACTCCTGTCCCTACGACCTGGGTTGAGCCAAAGCCTTCTACTAAGTTTCCCTGTTCATCCGACGATAACAAGCCTTGTTTGGGCGGTTTGGCTAGGCCAAATGGGAATCATTGGGTTGAGGTTCCTGGGTATATGAGCGCCAATGGGCCAATTCCAGCTTACTCTATAGTGAACAATCCTACTAATGAAAACATTATTATGACTGTGACAGACTTGTATAAAAAGATGCAAGTCTTCAGTGTATAGTATGATGATTTTTTTATTGGGAACACCAGCGAACTTATTCCTGACTATTGGGCGCCCTCTTGCGGAAAGGCAGATGAATGCATCGAACAGGGGTTCTCACATGGATACTTCAGCATTCCTCCAGGTAAGTTTGTTACTTCTTGCTGGAGTGACTATTTCTGAAAGAACATAGGAGAACATATGTTGAAGTTCGAATGGTCAGGAGGATACCAGCAGAGTATTGCGTGGTGACAGAAAGTGGAGACCAGGTTTTTCAATCGAAAGTGCCATACAAGCAGCAAAATTGTCGTCGGGGTTAATAACCTTCCAAATTGAAAACGATGTGAGTGACCGAGAACCTGTTTTAGCAAGACCGTAGCCAACAGCAGTTGCAGAATTATAGTTTGTGAGGTGAACTAAGACCTTTTCAAAGTCAGCTCAGTAACATGCTATTGCGAGAGGCAGCATGCCTCCGCAAGCCTCATCACACGAGGCAGCAAGCTGCTATCGGCCACGACACATGCTGCTACATTATCACATAGAGTCGACCACCCTCTACCTAGAGTCCTGAGACGTTCGCTCTCAGGATTGAGAATGTCCTCAAGGGAGATCTGTCGAAATATCTTAGCAACAGAGCCGGTATTTGACTCCGCAAAATCCTCGGGCTTAGCAAGGGAGTCCAAAAAAGAGAAGTCGATTGAAAGTGGGCAGTCCCAATCTATATCAGTTGCTACGAAGATAGTTTGTTTGAACCTTTCAGCTAGCATTGCCAGTAGCTTCAGCGTTGGGATGAGATTGCGGTCTTGAGTCGTGAAGACTTACCAGATTAGATCGAATAAGAGACAGAGTGCGTCCCCAGGATAGGGCAAAGTTTCGTAGTAACATAAGCTGGCAGAGATCATCCAACGCGCTAAAGGATGTTAAAGTTCTTGTACCTACAACTGACTTTAGTGATATGCTTTTCCTCTAAAGTAGTAGAGACTTACCTCGCATAGTGATTTGCATTTATCCTTCAGCTAATTAGGCTCTCGAAGGTGTTGAGCAAGGTTATTTCTAGAGCTAGATAATCCGTCGAGGAACGTTGAAACAATTGCATCTTAGTAGCCAAGTATACATCTCACCCAGGAGTAGAAAGGGACCTTGCAAAAATCCGAGCAAATATCGTTATCGAGTTTCTAGGCGATTTCAGCTACACCCATTGTCGATGCCATATCTTGTGAGATCCATTTCCAATCCCGAGCAGGAGGTGGTGATATATTTGTATGTCTCGAAATAGCAACAATTTTTTTCGCTATAATTGAATTGTTTTCATTCTCGTCCGGGATCCCGCAAAGCACATTCAAAAAGTTATTGAGTCAGCCTGTCTGTCGCTCGTCCAACATCTTCCAGGGAATGTCTTGATCCTGGAAAAGGGAAGACTTGCAGACGAGTTGAACGTCGTCAAAGTTTTGTGAATTTTTGAGTATATCGCAGCCTTCTTTTTCCCACCATCGCGAAGTGATACTGCCGGTGGCATCAGTTTGGCTACCCAGCAGTTGGGGAGTTTCATGCATCATGCGGAGCGGGGGTGGGCGAGTTGTTGCCTCGTCTCAGTGAAGAAAGAATATAATCAGAATGATTGAAGTGAGGCAGACAGCTAGATGAGCTGTGAGCAATTCATTTCTCGTTTCACAAGCTTCTTATACACATCTCTTAGCTGGCCCAGATCGTATTGTTTCTGGGGATTCAAATGAGAAGACTCCTGACCAGCATCTCTGACGCAGGAATGAAATGAAATGGATGAAATGAATTGGGTTGAAACTTACCCTGTCTGACAAGGGACATGGTGGCTTCTGCCAAGAACATTATTAAATGAATATTAATGTACATCACCCCCCTGGCGGCTTCCATGGCAAATACGAAGATCTTCCCTTGATTTTACAATTTGATTGGATGATCTTGCTAACCCAAGTGCTGATACTTGATGACAGGCTGGGCCCAACACCATTCACCTGGTTATTGACTCCCTTGCGATTATGAGACCCTTCCCTGACCTGGGCAACAGGTGGGGAGCCCCACTAGCGAACCAATCCCTATGTAACACGACTGTGAATTAGAGGCGCTCCACCCTCCGAGCGTTTATCCTATTTGGTTCTATTCTGTTGCATTTCATTTCGTTCATTCATTCATTCAATTATTCATTCAAGCAGTTGTACTTTCTCCTATCTTTACATATCACAATGTCACAACTCGCAACTTCTCATTCCAACTGATGTCTGAGATATCAGCGACCGCAAACTCCACTATGAAGAGGTTAGTAACAGGCATATGAAAAGATAGAAGCACAATACTTACGCCATAAATGGTCTTTTAGACTAAAACCCAGCACAGTAGGACTGCATATCAGAAGGTCTTCGGCATCTAGCCTGTCAAGGTCTACACTCCTCTTGAGAGCAGATTCATCTAGCTGTGTGCTAGGATCGTCGTCGAGCATTAATTCCCATATATCGATACTCCCAGAGCTCTTAAAGACGCTTGGTCTAGCATAGTTGGGATTGAGTTCCTGAAACATGGCTGGATCCACTACAATCCTGCTGTTCACGGAGATCTCGACCGCCTTCCCTTTCTTCATCTGAAAAGCTCTCCCTTTATACTCACGATGCGAAACTCCAACCAAAGAACAGAATTTCCGGCCGCACTCCGTAAGCTCTTCCTGGACAGTCTCTCGTGTTGGGTGGTGAAGGAGTGGAAAAGCCTCGAGTGTGCTAATGGACTTCGATCCGCGGAAACTCAAGATCGCTGTCTGTACTGGAACCTTTCCAAGAACCTTCCCGTCAAATTCGACATAGTTTCCTTTGATATGGAAGTATTCCAATCCATTTGCGGTAGTCTCCGCTTCGCCAGACTCGTATCTGATGCACAAACTATCCAGGAGCACAAGCAGGAACATTCTCTCTCGTTCTACAGGCACCGTCAGATATCGTATATAACTGGAACGGCGAGAAACCAGCGATTCCCGTAGCATTTGGCTACACCAGACCACGCAAAGGCCAAGGCGAAATACTTGTATCTAAAGTGAAGCTTGCTCTTCTACCTCACTCAGGAGAGTACGATTATGCTCAATCTCTCTTGAAAGATACTTCCGACACCCTCAAATTGGGATCTCCGCAACAAATCACAGAGGACTTCCTCAAATTTGCAATCGAGCACGCTACGAAGGAATGTGGTGGACAGCCTACGAAAGGTTGGGTCGTCTCAGTACCTCAATCTTACGAGATTGATGAGGTACAGAGCTTTCGAGCAATGATCCAGAGAGCGGGCGGCCTTGGTGACATTTATATCCATGGCGAAAGTGACTGCGTTACTTATGCTCATCTAACATCGATAGAGGAGAACATTAGGCTGGTAAAGAAGGAGACCTTTAGGAAGAGACAGGACTTGACAGTTGCGGTAGGAATTATCGACCTCGGCGCTGGCACCGCGGTATGTAATTCCTGTTATATAGGAGGTGGACTAACGTTCTATAACTAGGATGTGACGACTTCCGAAATATGTTTTAAAATAGACGGCTCCGCTCCCACAATCAACGAATTAAGAGCACCACTAGGTATTTTATGATGTTCAAGCGTATAGGACTCAAGCTGACAATCTCTATAGGTTTTACAATTGGAGGGGATTTGTTTGATGACCGATTTATTGAAGTCTTGCGTGCTAAGCTTGGGATCCAGCTATCTACGGAGGCGGAAAAGGCTATCTTCGAGCCGTTTACTGACTACTTTCACAAGCGCTCAAAGCCGCAGTGGTCCCTACTCAACTACGACGAGGAGGAGTGATCCGTTCCTTGTGCGAGAAGGTGCGCCCCGCTTCGTGCTAACAGTGTGAGTCTTTGCTATGACGATTTGTAGTCTCAACCTAACACTGCCACAGGGAGGATATGGCTTACATTATGAAATCGCCAATTAACGAAACTTGCCGACGAATTAGCAATTATCTCGGTGAACTACACCACTCTTTACAGCTTGTTGTTGTCTCGGGCGGAAATTCTGAAGTGGCTGGGATGATGCCTCTTATGAGAGTCGTGCTAAAGACGAAGAATATTGTCAGCTCTGACGAACAAATCATCCACTTAGTTGGACAGTCGTCGTAAGTACCATCCAACTAAGCCTTATATCAAGACTGACAGAGTTCTTATAGAAATGCCGTAGTACGTGGTCTCCACTTCTGGATCACCCATCCCGATCTCGTTAGAGGGAAGTACGCTCGGATTACTTTGGCTCGAGAGGTGCAGCGACCTCGCAAGCACCTGGATAGTGGAACAGAGCTTCTTGAGCAAGACATCATAGATGCAGACTTCTTCAACTGCGCCGAGATGATTATGAAAGAGGTAAGACTATCCTTTGCACAGGAATATTAGCTCATCATATTCCAGGGTGAATTCGTGCCAGAGGGCGTTCGGACTGTAGCCATATACTTCGACATAGATGCTGACGCTGAAATTTTTGATGCGAGCCCTATTGTGATATGCGTGCCGAACAAAGATGCCAACAAAGATGCCGCTGAATATATTTCCGGCACTGCGATCTGGTGTTTTGCATCTGAGAGCCGTCCCGTTGGCGTTGTAGATATAGCACCAGCCCTGGCGGGTATTAAATTCAGTGACCTTCGACGTGTGGGAGACGCGCGCCGGTTCTGGCTCCGTCTGGGGGTACAAATAGGCGCAGAAATCACAATGACGGCATCGTGGAGACCCGATGGGCGCAAGGCTAAAGAAGCAGACACTGGCCTTCAATCAGCTACATTTGTTCTAAACAACCTCGAACTGCCTGACAAGGCCTTGTTGAATGAATTTCGCGCTCCAGTACAGCAACGTGAAGGCTCTGATTCAAGCATACCCGAAGACACCTTGCCAGGCCATATTACGAGGCTAAGGATTGCTAGAGCAGCTCAGGTTCAAGCTTTCACACCTGTTCCATACTGTTTGAGTAAGTTCTCACTTTTTTAACAATCAGCCCTCCGAAATTAAATTTGGCTCAATTGATTAACATTGATAATAGGCCAGCAGTGCGTTGCTACCGATCAGCCTTCTCAGCCTTCTCAGCCTTCTCGTACAAGCAACGTAGACCCCTGGTCCACTTCGCAGACGAACCAAGGGAGCAAAGGTTACGTCGGATTAGCTGAAGTTCAAAGTCGAAAGAGAAGTTTCTCTAATCTTAGCGAAGAGCAGGACCATGCTTCCCAGGCGGCGCAACATACACCATACCCTTGGATATATACCCACAATGTTGTTCAGAACCACCTACAACCCCAATCAGGTGTCCAGTCCACTCAACTGCCATCAGATATTCCTCCGCCGCAGAAACCATTCGGCCAGTATCAAACCCCATACCTGACCTCACCACTACCCCTAGTGCCCCCGACCATTGTGAGTACAACACATTCACAGCCCTGGCCTGCTAGCTTTTCACACCAGCAAATGCCATTGTGGAGTCCGCTAGAACCAGGCCAACAGATAGATCCACCGGCGCAAGCTCAGCATCAGTCATATAACGATCGTGGGAAGGAATTAGTTGATCAGCGGCAACTGCAGACAGGGCCAAAGTTTGACCGTGGCGATGCTCGCAAATCCTATGCTGAGAACCCTTTTCCAAGTCCCGCTAATTACAATGGCACAACAATCTACAGGCAATAGTGACGGATGGGCCCTTCCTGGAGCTAGATTCTATTTCTGACGAGGAATTAAGTAAGAAATTCTCATCTGGTCTGTTACCCGAACCATCATTCTCTGCTATCAGGGAGGTAGTTCACAATTGCTGGGGCAGTAAGCAGATGTGTCTTTTCAACGGCTGCCACCGCAGGTATGACTCAACTTCTTCAGATTACGTTCTTTATTCCTAAGTGCGCTCGCCGCCTTGATTCTATTGCAATATATAAGTACACAGCACCATGGTACTGTAACATCAAAATCAAATTTTGTGCGAATTCTGAAACTTTCATCATAGAAAAAGTGATTTTGCTGTTATATCAGTCGTCTTGGCCGAAACTGCGACGCTCGAACGTCTGGAGGACTAGATGTCATGCATCAACAACAGCAAGCTTGCTTTCTACCGCTCTTTGCCCCATCTGCCTTGGAGTCAACCCGGCCTCTGTCAAGCGAGCTTTGCCTGCCGCACCATCCACCCTAGCAGATGAAGGCAACTGCAATCCCTGTGATGAGAATATTGGATCTAGCCCGCATATGCAAAGACAGGCTTAATGCTCAAGGGTGGGCTTGCTTACGCCACAGAGTTCCTTCCCCGCTTGAGTGCAGTGAGTGTTATGTTAAAGAGTAGCAGGGAGCCGATTTGTATGTACTGTCTAATTTCGCGTACATACATCAAGTGAGGCCTCGGGAGATTCTTTTTACGTCATAGTTTGCTCTTTTCTTAGTGGAGGATACGCCGAATCGTATGTCGTGGAAGGGTGGTTTTCTTCATGATCTCGCGTTGCGAATGACCCTCCCTTTGCAAACCGCGAATAACCTTGTAGATAGGAGTAGGCCATTCGCCATTCTCTTTCTGTGTCGGAGAGCTAAAGACACAATCCCTGTCCATTTTGAATTCCAATCGATTTGGATTTATGGTTGTTGAGATAATGGCAAATTAAGATTAAGTGTCATGTTTGGGGGGGCGTTCGCGTTCTCGCTTAAGTGGGCCGCATCTAATGGCCCCAGCTCTTACCATGTCATAAAGGGAAGGTGAGAGAATCTTTACGACACCCAGACGATTTGAAAATCACTCACTAAACATTCTTTTCCTTTTTTTGCTTTCGAGCCTCCCGCCATACACTACCATCGCCAGCGTATTGTGTTATCACAAGAAAGCATGCCTTCTCCAGATCGGCCTCAATCGTCCCATAAATTTTCGTCACACGACGATGCTCAAATTCATAACTTTGCCGTAATTGCTCGTATCATGAAGGATGCCCTGCCAAACAATGCAAAGATCACAAAGGATGCAAAAGAGTGTATGCAAGCTTGCGTCAGCGAGTTTATCTCATTTATCACAAGCGAGGGTATGTCTCATTACGAAAGTGTATGTATGTTGCTAACAATCTTATTATAGCAGCTGAGAGTTGTCTCAATAGCGGGCGCAAGGCGATCACTGGTGAGGAGATCTGAGAGGGTTTGGAGGGTGGAGGGGAGGTATTTGATCCGATGAACGATGGCTGCTGCTGTACAGCCTATAGTCTACAGTACCGTGTTAATGTCCACTAGCAAAGTTGGGAAATGCTCAGGTGAGAGGATCGCAAATTTCCATGTATTATTTTACACTCCGCTTTCTTAGCTATGAAGCATGAATGAATCAAATAACGATCACCACTCCAATTCCTTGTTCTCCTGTATGCCGCATCCCTCGCTCGAACGTGCCTTGGTCCAATCATAAACCCCGCCTCTCGTGAGAAATGTAGTCCGCTCCCACCGTACTTGACTCATGGCCGTCTTCACCCCAACATCTAGAATACTCTCACTTGCTCTCTCCTCTCCATCGCCTTTGTCCAGGAAGCTCATATTCTCGTCCAAGATCAAGTAGCTCCCTTTCATCATATCATTACTCTCAGGAACGAAACATTCTAGATGCTTGTGCCGATCGCAGAATGTTTGCCATTGCTGCTGGCTTACGAGAAACAAACGGGCATCACGCTTTCGCTCCTCGTTGTCATTCTCGCCGGTAACGATTAAGCACTGGAACACCTTCCACCGGAATGGCTGCAATTGCGTGATTAGACGAGTGAGGTCTTCGTTCCAATTGAGGCTACAGACAACAGTATTGATCTTGAACTTGATGCCGAATGCTCGAAACCAGCTGGCAATTTTCTTCAGGGTCTCGATGTTGTTCCCCTGTTTGCCTCTTCCGATCTTGATGTTGGTGTGGAGAGCCGTTGGATACGATGCTGACGCTTTCTATCTGCAAGTCGACCTTTCCGTAACGCAGAAGATTGCCCAGGAATTTGGGGTATAGGAAAGGCTCGCCACCAGCAAAGTTCAGCTTTTTCATTCCCGCTTCCTTGAGCAGCCTCATGCCGCGCCAGGCATCTTCGAGAGATAGCATGGAGGACGTCTTTTCCGTGTGGAAACAGAAGCCGCACGTATAGCTACACTTGCGAGAGAAGTGGTAATTCACCGAGGTGGGTGCTGTTGTCGTACGAAGCTCATGAAGGCGATAGAGGTGGTAGAGGATGTATACAGTGGTGCTAAAGAGGCAGAAGGTCCCTAAGAGACTGGTTGTTGAGAAGAGAGGAGTGCTTGGGATGACTGAAGACAACGACATGATGGTTGGCGAGCAGAACCATATGCACGCAATGTTCTTAGAAGTATCAGGGTTGCTATATGTACAGATGTCAGTGAATGTACACGACCACAACCACTATATCAACAACAGAGATTGAGGAATAACTAGGGTAACATAGCAAACAGATACGTGAGGTGGATTGCTAGACGTGATGTATGATAGGGTTGTTTTGTGTCAATACATACCTTTGGTGAGAAATAGGTGATGCGTGCTGTATGTTGGTGTTAGTGTAAGAAAGAGAAAGAAAGCTTTTGTTGACGCTGACTAGTGTGCTGATGTCTCTTTGGCCAAGATCAGTCATTTTTCGCATTCACCTTTAAAAAACAGTCACTCTCAGTATTCACCTTTGAGTTCTACTAGAACACGAGGTTGAGATTCGCCTACAAAATAACTCACAACGGAATCCATCTAATTTGAATAACTTACTATAACATTGCGCACCTCATTTACCGTCGAAAGCACTGCAGAACCACCATGACCCTAAACCTCTCGTTCATCTTTGTGCTTGGTACGTACAATATATCTCCCTCAATCAGTCAATCTCGTGCTTTGTGGACTCACTGCAAAATAGGGCCTCCAGCGGTGGGGAAGGGTACTCTCTGTGGCCACTTAATAGGACAATACGCCGTGCAACACATGTCGGTTGGCGACGTCCTACGAAAAGTTGTAGCGAGCAACAATCACCCGTCCATCCATCAAAAGCTAGAGAAACAAGAACTTATCAACCCGGAAGAACTGCTGCCCATCCTGAAGGATAAGCTGTCTGAGGCAGACTTGAAAGATCCGGAGAGAAGGGTAATGCTCATAGACGGATTCCCTCGTAGCAAGGCACAAGGAGAGGCATTCGAAGCTGAGGTAAAGCCATGCAGACATTAGTCCCGCGGTGTACTAATGCATTGAGTAGCTTGTAGCACCACGACTTGTCCTACTCTTTCGATGTGACAAAGAGGTTGCAAGGAAGCGATATCTGGATCGCAAACGAGGCAAAGACGATAACGCGATGTTTGAAAAGCGATACCACGAGTACGAGATGGAGGGTGAGGCTATTGAGAGTGTATACGAAAAACGAGGACTTGTATTGGAGGTGCAGGTTGATACCGAGATCTTGGAATCGTGGGACAACCTCCAGAACCTCCTTGCGCAAGACCAACGATGGAACAGTCTTTTCATTAGGTAATTCAGCATTGTGGATATAAAAGGGAACCGATACTGGATGGAAGGAAGAAGGGAAGGTGCGCCGTACACTAGATATTGCAAAGGGTGGCCAGTTATGGTGACCTGAAAATCCAATTCAATTGAGAGTTTTTAGAATGTTGCTTTGTTAAGCTATCACAATTATGCGGGGAATCCCTCCCTCAAGGTTTGTTGCGAATGCTGTAAATTGGCCATTTCATGCGATGGTGACTTAGAGGCGGAAAGAGCTGACAGAATTCCGGAGTTGGCGGTCAAGGCCTGTTGGAAAATAGAAGTCTAGCTGTTTCGGGATAGGGATCGCAGGGGAGACTGCGTTAGTTGGCAATCCTGTTGCTGCAAGCTTTGTCCTCCAATGTGGGGGATGCTAAAGCCACGAATTAACTTGCAGATTTTCGAACGACTCCATCGTCTCTGTATTTTGAGGTATTATGAAGTTTTCTCACATGGAGATGAGTCAATTCAGCACACGTGATTCACAGGACGACATGAATTGCAAGCATGCTTCTCTCAGTCGTTTGCTTGCACGGGACAAATCTCTAACATCCTAGGGCACAAGGAGATCGACAATGTTGTATAAAGTCTCTGTTAGCAGAGTCTCGAGGCTGCTTACGGTCACTTTGAGAGCTTTAGAAGGTCGGCGAACAGGTTGTATGGTTGAATATGTTGATGAGTTTCTCGCGACGTTGTTAAGGTTGAGGTTGAAATCGAAACTTGGGCGAAAAAGAAAGCCATATCTATGACTCAATTGTTCAAATGGGAGCTTGGACCCCCGTGGTGGTGGTCAACCCCGCCAAAAGTTGATGGCGTCAACCCACCTCCAAGAAAGTCGCGAATCCCGTCTATTTTGAGATTACATCTATTATTTATGGCAAGAAGAGAGCTAGAGCCAATAGTATGTCCACGTATATAGTTTAGGATGTTAAAAGTGGTGATATGTTAGAAGTTTTCTTTGGGAAGGAGTTTGTGTTTAGAAGATGCAAAATATGAGAAGAAATATGTGGAAAGAGGAGATAGCTTGAAAGAACTCGTTAAGACGACAGCGGCATGTAAAAGCTATTGAGTTTTAAAAGATTTCTCCTAAAAGAAATATGTGGCAAGAGGAGACAGCTTGAAAGAATTCGTCAAGACGACAGGGGCATGTAGAAGCCATTTTCTTTTAAAAGATTTCTTCTAAAAGAAATAGTCTGCCTAAAGATAAGGTGTGGAAGAGCATGGCACCTCAGAGAAATAATGCTAATTATAGCGAAGGGTGACGCCATCAACTTTTGGAGGCGCCTCTCGACCCAACCCGTCTATGGCGGGGCATCTTTTTTCGACATGAACGTGCATCCAGAATGCTTGCTAATGCTTCCTCTTGCGCGGGCGCGTCTGCTACCAAGGAATGCTATTGATTGGCGAATATTTACTAGTTTTAAATACTCATTTTGAATATGAAATGATATCCTCTGGGGACTGCGAGGACTCTGATAATGGCATTGGGTAAGGGAGGCGGCGGGTAATAGGAGACACTCTATTGGTGGTGTAGCAGGCGGTGATAGGTAGGTGGTAGCTGTTGGTGGGGAAGTGGTAGCTGTTGGTGGCAACTGGTGGTAAGTTGGAGCCTTAGGCCAATAATGCAGGTCAACCTTAGCATACCCTTGCATCAACTTCATCGGCTATTCAACCATTGTTACTGGATGCTATAATTAAATGTGTGTACAGTCGTCAACCAATGATCATTCAAATCAGCACCAAATTTTTGTCCTCATATACATTCTGATTGGCTATGCTTGATGATACACGTGACTACTAAAACCCCAAGTGTAAACGTGTGGAGTACTACTACTTGCCGAGTACGAGAGTCAAGTGTATACTGCTATATAGAGCGAATAACAAAGTGAGGAAAGAAGAGAGCTCCAGAGGAACGGAAGCTTTAATACAGGAGTCGCGTAGGCCGCATGTGCCGTGCTACACGTGATCTTTCCCTACTCCCAGTTCCTCCAACTCCGTAACACCAAGCACCTCTTCGTTCCTGTCAGGTGCTTTACTAGTTTTCCTTCTTCTACCTGCAAGCTTTGAAGTTTTTATTAAAGGCTTTCTATACTTGGCTTCGATATCTTGTGATCGCAAGTTTACCGGGAGCGGGTAGTGAGATTTCTAGGAATCTTTTAGTGTGGGCATCTATAATAGATAATTATACACTTACGATTTGCTCCTTTGAAGGTGGCCACGACTCAAGATCGATGGAGTTGTACGTGATAAGCTTGCCTGTTTTACGAATACGTAAGACTAGTGCTACGCCAACGTCGCAGAAGAATGCCATCTCGTATGTTTTCTTAATCAAGGTTTCTTTTCGTCTGCTTAACCTCTCGCTTTTTCTTTTAGGATTGCTGGCCATAGTTAACTCAAGAGGTTAGAGCACTTTTACAATGATATTGCTCCTTTTATATACATTTTAGGTCTATACAGTTAGACGGGAATACTAGAAACCGAGAGTGGGTAAGCGACTTTGCTCTGTCTCATTTCTATTTTAATCCTACCGCCCGTCAAGCGCCCGCGTCAGGGAGCCGAATTTTGTTCACATCACCGTCTGTCAAGCGCTGTCGAAGGACCGAGCAGGGGCCAAAGACAAGGGGCAGAAGCTATTCCCGACAACTGGGAAAGGTGTTAAGTAAAGGCAATAGTCGGCCTTTCTAACCTCCGTAGCGAGGATCATAACACTATTCTCGGAGAAAAACTTCAGAAACGAGAGTTCCCTCTCCTCAAAGACGGCCCTTGGGAATACACTGGACCAATTCAAAGGACACAGAAGAATTCACACTCAACCTCCCCAACCACCAAACCGTTCACCCAAAACAATGCATTAAGTGGTTAGGCATCTACTTTGACCCAGCATTATCTTTTAAGCACCACGTCGCTACCAAGGTAGCAAAAGCTAGAGGCGCATTTTTCAGGATGTCAAGGCTAGCAAACAACTCCAAAGGACTTACACCCTTTGCCCTCCGGCAGCTGTACACAGCATGCGTTACAAGTATCGCAGACTATGGGTCAACCATTTGGTGGCGAGGCCAAGCACAATTCACTACTCTACTTCAAAAACTCCAAAACCTTGCAATTAGAAAGATATTAGGGGTTTTCAAAACCACTCCTATCCTCCCAATGGAAGTAGAAAGCGCCCTCCCACCTCCTGAAGTTCGCCTCTCCTCCTCCTTGAGGATGTATGCTTTCCGTCTACTCAAACTCTCACCATCACACCCAGTCAACCACGCTATCGACAAGCTCCTCAATACTCAAGCAACTCCAAGGAAAAAGAAGCCGGCAACTCCTCAACTACAGCGAATCCACCGCTCTATTAGCAACTTATACAACCTTGAAGACCTTGAGCAAATACACCACTTCCACTTCCCTCCATGGGAAAGAGAAACTCCTTACAAGGTTCACATTAGCAAACTTTCAAAAGAAGAGGAAACTAAACTTCACCTTCGTCTACTCCAAAACAACTCAGATAACAGCATTTTCATCTACACAGATGCATCCTCTACAACAACAGAAAATAGCCAAGGAATTGGGGTAGGTTTGTCTGTAATCTCACCTCAATCAAACAGAATCCACTACGAAAAGAAAGTCAACATTGGACCAAACAAGCTCGTCTACAACGGTGAAGTTGAAGGGGCCACGCTAGCAGTTGAATACGCTGCCAAGCACGCTAGACCAGGGATCCATTTCCACATCTACTCCGACAACCAGGCAGGTTTACGGAGGCTAAAAACCACATCAGATAACCCAGGGCAAGAGTGCCAAATCAGAGCTATCACAGCTGCCCGGAAGGCAGTTAGCAAGGGAGCTACTACCACAATTCACTGGGTACCAGGTCACACCGACATTCCAGGAAATGAGAAAGCAGACAAGCTTGCAAAAGCCGCCACCACAATCCAACCATCCACTCAACTCACTAGCTTTGCTATGCTAGGAGTCAAGATCAGGCAGACCCAGAACAAAGAATGGCGTCAAAAGCTTACTACACCCCCCCGGCACACAGAACCATCAACTAACCAACACTCGTATCGAAGGGAATTCCCATGGAAGATTCTGTCGAAACCTTGCGTCCCCCAAGGAACAAAAAGAGAGATAGCCAGCGCCTTTTATCAGCTTAAGCTAGGCCATGGATACTTCAAATCATACCTACACAAGCTCGGCCACACTACCAACAACCGCTGTAGATGTGGAAGACAAGAGACTCCCACTCACCTCCTTCTTAGCTGTCCAGAAACTGGGGATGCTAGGAAAGTACTAAAGCGCAACCTCCTCAAGCATCATATTCGAGAGTTCACCATGAAATCCCTCCTTCACACCGCCAAAGGAGTCGAGGCCACACTTGACTTTATTCGAACCACCAAAATCGCCACTAGAATATGGCACACACAACGCGCAACTGAGGATGAGAACGAAGATGAGGACGAGGAAGACGAGGACGAGGAAGACGAGAACGAGGAAGTGTAGCGTACAGGGCGTGAAACGAGGGGGCGTACTACAACATAACAACTTTTCTTTTGTCATAACCAGAAGCCTAGCTGCTTCCAACAACCCAAGAACTGTAATGACCATAACCCCCTTCTCAAACATGTATTTAGTACAGCTTTACTCATCTGTTGGAGGGAAACCCCCAGCCGTGCTACTATAGTCTCAGACTCACACAGCACGTTAAAAGGAATAATAATAATAATAATAATAATAATAATAACGGCCCTTGGGAAATTGTCATCAAAAGCTGCTGGGGTAGCTAGGGTAGAGCGTAAGGCGGATGGGATTTAATGCTTTGATTCAAGATTCTCTGACTTCTTTTAGTTACATTTTCTGCTACTTTTTATTATGGTAGTACTTATCTAAAATGTGTAGGCTATTAAAGTGTGCTAGCCATCGTGCCAAAATGTGAATGATTGAATTAGAGAGAGTCTAAACTATTGAAAGGTCTTTCGGTGGGGGCTTCCCCACGAAAGGGAGCCAAAATCGGCTGCTCTCTAAAATAGGTGGAGTTATCGAGATGTGGATTGTCTAAAACAGGCTTTCTCCGAGGGCCTAAATCCGAGAGGCGTCCAACCTTTATAACATTTTTGTAGTAGTTAAGGCTTCCTTTACATGTAGTGTTTCTTGCTTAATTTTCAAGTTGTCAACGACAGGAATGTGCGCTCTATTGCTAGGCTCACATGGAGCGACTATGTAATACAGGAGTAGCGGAGAAACAGATCGTGAAGTGTTGTAAGGCCAATGATGCAGGTCAACCTTAGCATACCCTTGCATCGACTTCATCGGTTATTCAACCATTGTTACTGGATACTATAATTAAATGTATGCAAGTCGTCAACCAATGATCATTCAAATCAGCACTAAAATTTTTTCTTCATATACATTCTGATTGGCTAAATGATTATGCACGTGACGACTTAAAATCCAAGTATGAATGAATCAAGGATTCTTTTTGTCCATAGTTAACTCAGGAGGTTAGAGCACTTTTACAATGATATCGCTCCTTTTATATACATTTTATGTCTATACAGACAGGAATACTAGAAAATGAGAGTGGGTAAGCGACCTTGCTCTGTCTCATTTCTATTTTAATCCTACCGCCCGTCAAGCGCCCACGTTAGGGAGCTAAATTGATTACCGAGCAGGGGCCAAAAGACAGGGGGCAGAAGGTGCCACGATACTCTTCCGGATTTTCGAAAAAGGTAAAGACTGGTAGAAATCTGCTGGTAGAAATCTACTGGTCAGGGGAAATCCGACGGGTTTTTGAAACGGATTTCGAAAAAGGTAGAGACTAGTAGAAATCTGCTGGTAGAAATCCACTAGCCTTGCTCTATTTATATCTTCTCAAGCTAAGGAAAATTGTCGAAAGAGAATGATATCACGTAGGAACTTTGATATTCATTGCCTGTGGTGAAGTTGATGAGTTCGGCGTCATGTTGTGTGAGATCGATGACCTGGGTGTCGTCTTTTGGAAGGCCAATGGCCGGGTGATCATGTTGTGTGAGATCGATGACCTGGATGTCGTCTTTTGGAAGGCCAATGGCCGGGTGATCATGTTGTGTGAGATCGATGACCTGGATGTCGTCTTTTGGAAGGCCAATGGCCGGGTCATCATCTTGTGTGAGATCGATGACCGGAGCGTTATCTACTGCAAGGTCAATGAGTGTACAAGCAAAAACGAAGAATCCTCTTACTAGACATTGCTATGAGGGTTAGGTATGAATTGAAAGAACTGGAGGATGGTTCGATTCGGAGAGTAGGAGAAAAAGGTTGGAAAGAAACTCAAGACCTGGAGAAGGGATGGGAATGGGCTGCCTTTTGTATTCAATCTCTACGTCCACCGGTTCTAGTACATGATGCATGTGTGTGCCACGTCAAGGAACCCTCTACACCCGCATATCGTGTATGCATATCCATGCCTTCTATTTCCTGGTCCACTCTTTGGCAAGCCCCCTTTCTTGCCTCGCTTAAAGATCCGCCTCGATATTTGTACTGAAGCTAACTATAGTTGGTGAGCAACGCCGAAGAAAGCAGGATCTTACTGGTAGCAGCAAGAGAGCTAGAGTTTCCTGATCCCTTGCTACAAGAAGACGAGTAGGTCATCGCAGCCTCCAAATGCATACTGGTAGAGAGATTCGGCCTGAGATGCCCTTCATAGCAACCCAACGGCCTCCATGGAGAATGGACTACCAATCACATAGTATAAAGCCCCCCCTTTTGTGTTGAGAGTGGTTACCCTTGGATAAATCCTACCGGAGGTGATCCGTGAGCTATAGATATCCCACATATCCAAGAGGGGTACCAACGCTTACTAAGAACATGACTTGACTCGATTTGTACTCATAACCCGAACGTCCCTAGTTATTTCTGATGTATGACTTTACCTTGGGCTAGATGTTGCCAATAAGGTGCGTCCTGATGTACACTGCCTCAATCAGTTTTACAAGGGACGGTTTTACTCACGCGCCCGAGATCCACAAGCCCTTGAGAAAATGGGTATAAGAAAGGCAGCTTCCTCCCAGTTATCGGGACACATTCTTTGTCCTTGAACTTTTTTTCCTACTAAGTTAACTTAGACAATCTTTACCTCCAATGTCTCCCACCAGCATGACACCACCAACCCAGTCCCCAGTGACCGACGGCCAGCCAAACATAGACTTCGATTGGCTCTCAGGCTCAGGCTTATCAACTCTCGACTGGGACTTCCAATATTTTGTAGACGCGGATTTATCGAATTTCTCAACTCTTGATAGGTCTCCCGGGCCCGAGCTAAGCTTTGAGGACCAGAGCCTCGAAGTGCAGTACGCAGGAGGAACACAGGAACCCCTTCTGGTAGGGAGTTCCAGTCTTGCAGGTGATGGTGTTGTCTCTACCACTACGCTTGGTTCTATCGCCCCCCCAATTACAAAAGCTCAATCCAAGTCCACCCTACCGCACACGGTGATTGATCTTACTGGAGCGGACAGAGATCATGGGTATACTACACCTCCTGATACGCCGGAATCTGGGCTCTCGTCCTCTTCAAGCATTAGTAAGTGTCCATTTATCTGATCTTGGCTAGACTAATAATTGATAGCATAATCTGATCCACCTATCAACACCGAGACGAATTCAAGCCCTGCATCTGATGAGAATCCAAGTACTAAGAAGAGGAAGCGTTCCACAGGTTCTACAGGCTCCAACAGTTCAACCGCTCCAACCAAATGTCGGCGAACCCTGCGAGCGACCACGGTAAAAGACTGCCTAGCAAATGAGATAGATCACAGCAGTCGATGGTTAGCAAGGGTGAAAAAGAGCATTGATGATTGTAAAGCGGACTTAGATGCTATGGAGAAAGAGAAGGAGAGGCTTCTCACAGAGATTGAAAGAAAGAGGAAGGTGGTTACACGCCGGAAAAATGAGTTCATCGAGTTAAAGAATAGCATGGTGGCCTGGGGTGCCCTCAATGAAGAGGTCTCAGAAGAATGGAAAGCACGTTAGTTTTTTAGGGCATCTATTAAATGACACTGTAGTTGGAAATTTTAACTTCTCTTCTTATAAACTCGAGATGTACGTAAGGAGTTAACAGTGGTTGATTAGGACTGATAAGAGTTTGACTTCCAGCCCGCGGCGGTGGTGGACGTTAAAGACGGAAAGGTGAGGAGAATCTAGACAAGTCTGGAAAACCATTATAATAGCTAATGATTTAAAAATGCAGGTCTACTAGAGGATGACGGTAGCTCTTTATACCGTAATTCTATTGCTTAAAATTAAACTCCTCAAAGGAAGTGAGAATCACGTATTTTGACGTCAGCTATTTTAGGCTGCTTATTACTTTGTATAATCTACTACTTCTAGAAAGGAAGTAGGAATCACTTTTTTTAAGAGTTTTCCTTTTATAGATTTGCCTATACTGGAATTCGCTAATACTCCTATTTAAGCTTCGCTTGCTCTGTGGGAGGAGGATGAATTAAGCCAAGCCAAGGGCAATCAATTTGCCAAGCCTATTCTGCCATGATTATTATGATTTCGATTTCACAAATTAGCGTATTGCTTAAATAAGCATGTGCTTGAATCGATTTTGTGGAGACTGTGTGTTTCGCGGTTGGCCTGTAAAAGGCAAGGCCAAGATGGGTGAGAGACTCTGAAGATTGTATTAGCTTATTCGGGCGGAAGCTTGATAAGCGACGCCGGGAACGCTCTTGGCGAAGCTTAATTGTCTGAAAGCCATTTTGTCAAAAGCTTAAATAGGAGAAGGTTAATTTAGGCTTGCGCTTGATACGGCCGAACCTATTTGGGGCATCCGCATGGAAGTTATGATTGCCTAACACAATTGTCTTATAACCAAAGATCAGATAGGACACCTATCCTATGTTCAGACAAGTTCCAGGGTGGTCAGGGTGCTAGGTAAACTGCCCCAGACCTGAATCTTTCAAGCATACACGTGATCGGATTTAGGCTGTCATCTTTTTCTCCTAGGAGACATAAAGACCTAGGAGCTGCGGGTTACCAGGAGCCTTCTCCTGATCACTATCAGCGCCCAGGATCTCCCGGTTCCCAGGACAATTGTCCCAGGACAGGGAATCTAGGAACCTGGGGAACCTGGGACTACAATTCTAGGACGTCATGGCTCTTGGGAGACAACGTATCCCAAGATCTATTCCCTAGGAACTCGAGATTTCTAGGAGTAAGTTTCCAGGAGATTGTGGCTCTCAGGAGTATTTTGGGAGGGTGTAATCACGTGAGGTCATTTAAAATATATATATATGTAACTTATTTAAGATACTTATAATATTATAAGTATAACTTATACGAATATTAGTAAACCGAGGGCTAATGATATACTCCCTTCCTTTTCATTCCCGCTTAAGATGCGCTCGAAATTTTAACGTAGCACGATATTTTTTTAGACTATATAGTACATCTAAACAAGGCATGGTTCGCTTTCCAAGGAACCGTCCTGGCTTTTTAACAGTAGTTAACTCTAATTTCTGGATGGATATATTCAAAGCCTAACGTGGTAATATACAACTTTCCTGAGAGAGGAAGATCATGACATATCTTACCTAGCGATTGTCCAAGAACTGGTAACTGGAGAACATACTAGTTCTCTATAACGTTGTCCTTTGTAGCGTTCGGTAACTAGAATTCTATAATATTCCAGATACCGCCTCTAGAAGGATTCTATACCATTTAAGGATTTGATAGGAGGATTCTATTCTAGGCTCCCTTATTCTATAGAATTAATAGAATTTCCAGATTCTACGTTAGTCGGAAAAAGGTCTCCCCGCTCCGGTGGGCTAATAGGAAGCTTCTATAAAAGGAAACTATAAATTCTTATTAATTCAGGTATAGGGGCCGTGTATTAACGTACTTCCAGTGGATAAATAATAACCAGCCATATGCCCGAATAACCTAGCCTCTCTAACAAGAAATGCTTATGTTCCCGAGGCCTACATAATATCAGCTACAGCATGCCCTCCAAAAGTAAGTGTTGGTACGACCTGGTTGTCGTAAAGGGTGATACACAAACATAATCTCTCTTTGTATTCATTCGTGTATGAAGAGTAAAGGTAAAGAGAGGTGGTACCCTACAAGCTTAATTATATGAGTGGCAAGCCACTCACATGACCTAAAGCATATAGATCCACCAGGCTCTCGTACAAGGTGCTATTCACCAGAATTATATACCGACAGTAAGAAAGTACAACGACTTTTCATATTTCCATACCCCTAGATATGCACTCCACTATCGATATTATCAATATTAAACGTCTTCGAGCTCTCATAATTAATCCCAAACTGTAGGCTGTCCCCGCACTAGTAAACAGCCAATTCGCAGCCTTATATCTCAATTGAACCCGGGATTGTGTCTCGACCTGTAAAGACATGAGTCTCGTCTGGAGCAGCCTAGTACCCCCTCCATTATCGGAGAGAAGTGTACAATCCAACCAGGCCGACCCGACGGTGATCGTACTTGTTGGCCCGTTGTCCATCTTGCATGACCCCGTGAACGCAGGAGCCGTCGCGCCACCGACGGCGACGAAGTAATCCCGTTCAATGTCGAATTTGAAGTTTCAGCCGACTTTGTTGTCCCACAGGCCAAATCAGTTTATTACTTTCCAGCCCTGGACGCCATCTTTGGGGAGCCCGGTTGCGGGAAGTGCGGTGGCGAAGGAGGAGAGGGCTGTGAGTAGTGCGAGTTTGAAGAGCATGGTGGGATTTAGATGGGGGTGTGGAATGAGTGGAATTGTCGATTTCGTTGGACGGAAAAGAGACGAGAGCTGAGACGCCTTGGGCTGATGAAGGTGGGCTTGGGAGACCATACTGATTTATACTTCGTCCCAGGCGAAATAAATGTAGCTTTCCAAGGGTGATATCAGCGGAGAACAGGGTTAAACCCCCTGAGAAGGTTACAATTATTTCGCTCGGGATGAAGTAGAGCCCGATGGTTATCTTTATTTTCATTGCATAGTGTTGTTAATTTGTCTAGGATTCAAATTTATTATTACGTATTCGGAACTACAACAATATACTAGTAGCTAGCCGAGCGAGGCTTAGCCTTTTACCTCCACTTAAAATGGTTGGATAGCTCGGGTAATGTATATCAAAAGCGGAATAAATATAGAGGGATGTAATCCGCTGCTTTATACTATAGGGGAAGGGGGTGGGTAGCAGGGGATAGTAATAGATTTATAATACGTTTTGTTCTATTATTTCGAAGGACCAGGTGGTTTTGGAGTCTGGTAAACAAAGGGTTGCTACTGTAAATTTAGCGAAAATAACATAAAAATGCAGCGGAATCTAAGTCCTGATTTGCCCATGTTAAACACCAGTTTGGGGTAAACTATTCGAGCTGCCCCACTATCGTACTAGAGGGTGACTTTGAAATATAAGGTGTATAAAACGCAGGCATGAGTGAGAAAAGATGAGTAGTTCAAAGTGTATACGAGTAGCTAGGCTGCTATATTGTGGATAGTATACCAAGCAAACATGGTTCTATTCAACCCGAATGTCTAAACTTCAGGTTTGCTGTTTTTGACTTGTAGATCACTTTGGCTTGGAGTCCCATTCTCGAGCCAAAAGGAGTTTACATTAATTTATGGCTCGCTGTTCACGTGTGAGACCTGAACAAGACAACAACAAGCCACTTTCAAAAACTGACAGTAGCTGCAAGCTGGGGCCTTTGGAAAGTTGGGGAGTTGAAAATTCACAACGGAAATCATGATATATTATTGGTAACAAGCAGTTGCTCAAATGGTTTGATTGTGCTGGGTCTACTTTCTCTTTTGCTCCACTTCCTTATTTGATCCACTTATAGTTCTGCTGCCTAAATGCTTCATGTCTGCCTAAACCTTACACTCTTTATATAAACACCTTAGATAGCTACCTTTTACAATGCAATCAATTCTCCATGACCTTCAGTACCCAATACCCTTTCAACCCAATAGGTTTGTATCCAGAAGGTTACGTGATGTCGAGCTTTGGGGTGTTTTGAAGGAGGCAAAACCTGCGTTATTCTTGCCAAATACTTGCCATGAGTCTTTGGGAGGTTAAAAAATACAGATCGAGTTGATCCCGCTCGTTTAGACCAAGCTACCTGCGTGAGACATTAACACATCCTGTCTTTCCCTGCCCCCTCTAAGCAATCTTGCGTTCTGGGAGACCTACCATGTGTGAGGAATGACCATGGGGAATTCTCATCAAGGCCTTACACTACATCGTCCTATGTTCTGAGTGAAGACTCAGGCTTTGACATTCTACTTGGAGGGGATGATATTATTAAATTTTTGATTTTTGAAGACGGTATGGGTGTTAAATACTTAGTATGAAGAACATAATCAACGGTAAGCAATCTGCGTGCCCTTAGAAGAACTCATTGACTTGATGTATCCTTAGAAAACAGCGACCCATAACGTGATAGAGAGGACAGAAAATGAGCAAACAATTCTTAGGGTAACACCCTCGTTTCTAGCCTCTTTAGAAAGGTAGTAATAGGGGCTGGGAATAATCAACACGTATAATTGAAAGATTACCCGCTTCTACCTCTGTCTCTCTCCCCCTCCTCCTCCCTCTTCTTTTTAAACACCATACTAGGGCACAAACCCTACTCGATAGCGAGCCTACATAACAACAAGTATACGACAGTGAGAATACGATAGTAAGAACGCGAAAATGAGTATAAGCGACAGTAAGTGTAAGCGAGGGTGGCGGGTACAAGGATCAGGTGAACAACCAAGATCTGATCTTTATTAATGTAGAGGTGTAGGGGTATAGACATAGTAGTAGTAATAGAAAATACATGACTTGTACGAATTACGATTTGCGATTTAATTTGTTTCTGACCTAAGTGTACAATTGGGATGCCGTACCTCTCGAATAGGAAATGCTTATATTGCTGAGCCCTATACAAACCTGGTACTATGCCCCCTGACACCAAGAAACCCCGATTGATTTCTATATTTCTGTACCAGATAATGTCTTAGAAGCAACACCTATACTTCAACCAGCACTCACTCTCGTGTTCAAACCTTCACCCCACCGTCAATATTATCGACATTGAATGTGTTTCCTTTCACAAAGATTGCATCAAATGGTACTAAGGTACCATTACTGGTGAAGAGCCACGTATCCTTGCTTCTCGCATCGACGAACTTGAAGCGAACCTGGATTCGGGCTTGGGTGTGCCCCCCATGGACAACAAAAGGCTTTATCCTCGACTCGAGGACCCCAGAGTTACCTCCCTTGTCGGTGGAGTCACATAGCACCCAAGGCGAACCGTCTGGTATGCTTTCCTTTGACCCTCTGAATGCGCATCTGCCAACGAAGGCGGGAACTAATGATTTGTAGGCGGGAACCAATGGGTCGTTCGTTCCAGACTCTCCGGTATATTCATCTCCCTCGATTTCGAAGCTATAACTGGTGCCGATGTCGTCCCTGTAGGCGTTCCATAGAGCGTCCCAATTTGTCACTTTCCAACGCTGTATGCCATCCTTAGGGAGTCCGGTTGCTGGGACTGCTGATGCCGATGAGAAGAGCGCTGCAATGAACACAAAGTCAAGAAGCATGTTAAACTTTGTTTTGAAAGGATACCCGAAATAAGTAGAAATTTCTGACCTTCTTACAGAAAAGAGAGTCAAGAGTAGAGATGCCTGGAGAATGGCGGGCTGGGGAGACTACTCAATTTTATATGGCCCAAGGCTCGTATTTAATTTCTTACGTATAGTGTTCTTAATTTGTCTAGCTTTCAATAATGTTGTTGCGTATTTGGAACCACTATCCCTAACTCTGCAAATTAACAAAATTGGTAAGAAAAAAGTCCTGAATAGGTTTCGCTACTGGTAATCTGCTAGTTCGATTGGCGAGAGTTCTTATGCCAAACCTAGTTACAACGTTATGCCTACTAGCTTGAGCTTGGTCACTGTAATTCGCCGAGTTAGGGATAGCTATGCGAGTACCTATAGGCAATCAAGCGAAGCTCGGCCTTTTATTCTTATTTTAGAATGGCCGGACACTTGGATGATCTAGGCCAAAAGGGAAACAAATATAGGTGTATATAATTAACTAGTTTCTGAAAGATTCAAACAGCATTTTGTGCTTTTACTAGGTAACATGTAGCCTCTTATAAATTTAGTTTAGTAAACTTAATAAAATAATACAAAATAATTCCAGGGATCTATATATTTACTTCATCTATATTACTTCTACATTCAGGGATGCTTGTCCGAGCTGCCCGGCCATTTCACGATAGTGTGGTCTTTAAATGCAAGGTATAGTAATATCGTCTCCGGGTTATGCATAGTCCTTGTAAAGTTTCTCTCGCTTTTTTCTCTATAGCGTGCGTTGTTGGCAAGGTTTTTATATTATGTTGGTTTGGGTAGATATCAGAATGCAGATATTGTCTTTGTAAATACTTGCATTGTATGCTTCCGTCTACTGTAATCTGGGACTGATTGAAAGTCGTGAAGCCCAAAGGTAACATTCACCAAAACTAGTAAGCACCACAACTAGTAAATTTAGGATAAATGAAATCGTATAGTACCAGCTCTCATCTCCCCTTTCGCTCTGCGTATGCGCCCTTCAGATACCGAACCCTGAAGCTACTGCGCCCAGTAAATACTCCCCACGTTCGAGAGGCACCCCAGAATATGGCGGGGGTACTCGAGTATTTTGCCGAGGGGGCTGGAACGGGCTCCGCGGAATATTGAAATGCTAATGACACTGCAAGGTCATAGTTTGTAAAAATGGTATGTAGCATGCGTCAAAATGAAAGTTCTATAACTTTCTGTAGTAGAGTTAGAGTATATGGGAGACGACATCGTTCCAATATTTTTTGGGCGACTTAAGCACCTGGAAACTTGGGCAGAATAGCCGTAAGGCGTGAGCCAAGGCATAATCATTGTGGAGCCCTACATTGGTGTCTGCCTTTGAAAGCAGCCCCATCTAAACTCCTCATTTATGATTGGTGTATGGGCTGCGATGAGAGTATTGGAACAGCAATCAAGTGTAAGCTGCATGATTTTACACCAATTGCCAGGTTCGATAACGAATGATACACCGAAAGTATGCAGAAGCGTTCGCCTCAAAAATTATCCTGGATCAGGACATGATGGGATCGATATGGAAATATAAAATCTGAGACATTCGACTCTCATCAATACTCGTTACCAATGAACAGTATGTCTGGCTACGAGAAAGTCGCAAATTTCATGACCCATCATGACGAAATGGCAGTATTCAAGCGGTTCAAGTTTTGAACAATCTGAATGCTTTGTATCTCCAAGCTGAGTTGGAAAATTTCGAAGGAGATATAAAGGGATACATGAAAGCCGGATTTCCACCAGGAACCAGTGATTCGGATGAAGAATCATTACCCGAACATGGAGACTCCGATGACGTGGAGACAGCTGGTAGTGCTGTATCTGGTATTGATGTTTATGATGGGTCTTCAACAACCAGTGTGACGACACAAGGACAAACGATTACTTCTCAAAATACAACTTCGATAATCGAATCCCCAAGCTGTATCCAATTGCAAAACCGCTCGCATACATCGTCTCCTTCCAAAGCAGCAGTAGACTGGTGGTACCTGGTACCTGGCAAATCAAGATGAAAACCAAGATGCATGGAATACCATGCTGACAGCTCGTCAGAAACTCAAAGAATACAGTCCGTCCTCGCTAGTACTGTTTCCTCAAATCTTCTAATATACCTCAACAGACAAAACGTTGCTCATTCAAAAACACTTCTACTCCATCCCACCACCACACAAACATGTCCTGAAGTTCCTTCAAACTTGGCTTCAAAGTACCACCATGGGAAATCTTCCAATCTGGGGCGTCGATGGGGACATATGGAAAAACTCTTCATCGGGGGACTTGATCGCTCTCTCACCCAGCAAATGCGAAGATTCACTCGGCCTCTTCTTCTTGGAATCCACATCAACATGGTGGCATAGCTGTATAGGTCGACGATTAAAAAAGCCAGTCGATGAAGAAATGCAATATCTCGAGTACAAAAACAAAAGTGTCGTGAGAGTGGCTGATGGTTTGAGTTCTGTTCTTTCGTCTCTGTTTCTTGTGGCTTCCATAATGATACTGCATTTTGTTGTGAGTACTATTGTGAGGTTGATTATTGTTGCCATATTCACGACGTTATTTCCATTTGCATTGATCTTGGTGACGAACGCGAGAAAGGTGGAGGTATTTGCTGGTACGACGGCGTAAGTGAACGATTATAAGAATTGCAGGATTTGACATTGTAGGAAAATGCTAATGAAACCATTTTCTGATAGCTTTGCGGCAGTACAGGTCGTGTTTGTTGGAAGCACTTCTGCTATATTAGCAAACTATCCGGGTGCAACTCCTTTCCTTGGCTGTGGTCAAGCAAAGCTGCTTTATCTGATGGTCCAAGTTGGATATCAATTTGTCAAATCAGAGAACCGGGAAAACTACAATGAATGAATGTAGCTTTAGAGTTGTTGATAAATTATCGAGCATGCCTCGTTTCCACAAATAGCACTAATACACCTACTTCAGCCTCTATCATCGTTCCGATTTCTATCATAATCATCTCGGTCCGCATTGTCTCCGTGCTTCTTCTTTGCCTTCGCCTTTTTTTTCTGCTCATCTTTATCCCTTCTTGACTGTTCTCGGTGTTGATCGACGTCCTTTTCACGGTTCTCATCTTTGACTGCTACAGAATTCCAGTTAGTTCGGATAAATAGCACTGAAATGCAAGACATACGTTTTTTATGTTTTGGCTTCAGAACCAGAACCGCCCTGCTAACAACATTCATTCTCAAACAATCAGGAGTCCCAAGTAATAATCCAAATTCCTCTTGGTCCCTCTTCAGAACGAGGAAGTTACAGGTTGATACTTTTTGTCATCATTTTGATATGTTCTCGCTTTTCGGAAAATGAGTTGGACCTTTTGATCAACAGACATTGTTTCCTCCCCCACACCTGTAAGCTCGAATGGACTTTCGAGATATTCTGGCGACAGATCCAAAATCTTGACAAGATGGGGAGAAATGTAATTCGCATTTTGGCATTGTGTATCGATGGCGAGTGTCTTCTTCTGAGCACGGGCCCAATCTGGAAGTTGATTGCTCTTGAACTCGCATACTTCGACGAGTATATCGAATGGTTTGCTGAGCTATTAGCTTGTCAGTATGGGTTCTCGAATTTGGGTTCAACAAAGCAATGTTACTCGTCGATTTTCCTTCCCCAGAAAGTCCCAATGTTGATCCTCAACGTCCATGTAAGGGGTTAATTCATTCTGTTTCGAAGTTTTGTTCTTTCTTGCTCGTTTCCTATGCCAGAAGAAGAAGGATATGAGAGAGAAAATTAGAATACCAAAGAAAGCCCCAAGTGTAGAGCCCACAATTATCTGTGGACTTGGGGAATTGGACCGGGATGTTGTCGAAGAAGTGCTTGGCGATGGAGGGGAAATGGAAGTTTCGTGGGAGTGAAGTATTGGTGGTTCAGAAGCAATATCATTGTCTACCGAAGTAATCCTAGAGCTGCTTGGAACTGCAGTAGAAGTAGAAGGGATATTATCAATTTGCGTTGTGGCTGGTGGTTCAACCTTCACTCGGAATCATTAGCATTGCTTTCCGAATGCACATGGGACATGTTGAACGTACCAACGGCTAGATCAGGCGTAGTCGAATAGGTTGTTTGCGCTTCCAAGATCACCCCTTGATTTGAACAGTAATCGAGCATGATCATCTTTCCTGTTACCTGTGGTTGATACCCAGACTTACTGAGAGTACCACATACAACATTGCCACAATTATGAGCACAACAACCGATTCCTGGCGTCTTGAGCGAACAAACGCATTGCCCTGGGTTATCGCTTGGACATGAGCCAAGGCTAGAGGCTTCACTGCTACAGCTGGGCGCACAACTTTGGACGCATGCATCTGCTCTTGTATATCTACCAATTTTGGTAAGGGGTGGGGGCTGTGTTGTTGGCGTTGGCGATGTGACGATGGGAAGTGATATCGTTGACGGTACTGTATGGGACACCAAGAAGTCTGTTCCGCTAGTACGGTTAATGAAATAGATAAAACATGTAATAACGAGAGAGACAAGCACTCGGAGCTGATCCCCAGCATGTGCTAGGTAATAATTAACAAAAGGAAACCCAAGTAAGAATAAAGTTTGAAAAAAGAGCGGATCGCAGGGAAATTATACAGAATGGAAAGTTTTAAGTCAAAGGGGGCGATTGACTCCTGAAGTAGGCATGAGTGGCTGAGTACCTGTGAGCGATATCGACAAACAACCCCCCCTAAGCGTATTTATGCCTCAATAATAATGATTATAATATTATAATATTCTAATATTATAATAAATAAGCTAAGAGAGATTTAGCTAAGATTAAGTCTATTACTTTAATAAGGTCATAACTTCTATGTCACGAATCACGTGCTCACGTGATACTTGTCATAATAAGAGGCGCAACCCTCGACAGGCACATCCAGGTTTCTTATAGCAAATAGGGATCGTTTGGAGTAGCTAAGCGATCCAGGGATTTCTCTGTATTGTTATCACGTGACTAGTAGTGGTCGCTTGGTCGCGAGCGACTACAACGGCCAGGTCGTCTTGGTCGCGGCGACCAGCAGCGATCATGGGAATGAGGGTTCTATATAGGACTGGCACGTCTGCCATTAGATAGGAGCTTCGTGCTCAACTTAGTTATCAATCTTATCATATTAGTTTGACATCTTTGATACAAGTAACGAGTTCACTTCCAAGTGAACAACCCGATAGACTTCTTCTTATCATAGCATACCAACCAGCGAACACCCAGCCAAGTTTAGTTAGCCAGTTTGAGTATTCGTTACATCCAGGGGATAGAGCAAAGTGCCCAGTAAACTCTAATCACAGAATATAAAGGTATAATATTCTATCTATTTTCTTCTCTTTGCTTCTTTCCTTCTTTCTTACATAAAATCCGAAAATCTATATATAAATGTCAGAAGACGAGGGCACAATGTAGAATGGATAGGCGATAGAGAGAGAGATGCTAGCTAGAGGGCAAGCAAGGAGTCTTATAAGACGACCCTGACGGAGTTGAAGCTACTAGAATACTAGGTATCCACCTAGGCAACCGAGACAAGTCGGCAGCAAAGACAGAACTTCGGCTGAAACGGACATGTCGTGACAATTAACTCTTCATACAAAAAGAGAGAATAATACTCCTAAAATCTATAAACACGAGGAATACAACGTATACTATAAATCTACAAATATCAAAAGTATAGTTATAACAAAAAGAGAAAAGGGTAAAAGAGAGAGACTAGACAAATATACTACCTTAGTATTATAATAACAAGATTATCTAATTCTACTTTATCAACAAAGAGCCGTCAGCGAGGATAAACATCCTCCTTTCTTGTACGTATTCCTAGAATGGTTTCTTGAAGAGCAAGTAAATGAACCTTGAAACGAATATCATCTACCGGGCCCCGAAGTATATCAGATCTGCTACTATACACCCAAATCCCGTAGGAGTTGAGTATCTCCAACTAACCAACGAGCATTCCCTCTCGTGACGAGAGACATCTCCCTCAACCCAAACTCCCTAAGCTCTCTTTCGTGCCAAAATAGGGCTCCATAATGCCGTCTCGATCTAAAACAGTTATCCTCACACCCTACCCCCATCCCCATCCCCACAACCAGTATGCAACCGTCCCCTAAACCTCTCCCTCAACCTCCCCCCATCTACCAAAAACGCCCTCGGGAACCCCTCTCCCCCATCATCACCCACCTCATCACCCCCCTCACCACTCTCCTGCATCATAATCTCAACCAGCTTCCCCCCACACTCCCAACAAAGCACCATTCCATGTCCCACAAACCCCGCACTCACCCAAAGTCCCTCATTACCTTCCCCAGGAACCCTTCCAACGAAGGGGAACCCATCAGGCGTATACCCCATAATCCCCGTCCACTCGCACCTCACCCTGCCTCCTTCCCCATTACAATCCTCCCCCCAACTCTCTCCAAAATAGCCCACCAGACTGTCCTTCAAATAGGTACTGATAACAGGATTTAGACCCGAATCATCAACCGTCCCAAACTCCCCCACTCCCTCATCACTCGCTTTCACTAACCCGCCTCCAATCACGATATCCCCCGGGAAGCGGGTGTCAGCTGGACGAGGAACCATATATTCATACCCATTCGCATAGATGAAACTATACGTCGTCTGCAATCCATCTGGTGGTAGCCCCTTACGCGGGATTTGCGCGGTGACCTGGCCGCGAAGGGGAACGATGGAGCCTTGGAAGGAGGGGGCGAGGGATGATGTATATGCATTGGTAGCTAGGACCACTCGTATAGCTTTGATGATGCCGCGGGGGGTGTGGATATTCCATATTGAGTTGCGGCGTGAGAGGGAGAGGACGGGTGTGTGGGTGTGGAGTTCGAGGCCGCGAGATAGACAGAGCTTGAGGACTCCACAGACGAAACGGTAGGCGTTTATACTGCCAGCTGCATACCGAACACCCCCCTTTACTTGCCCCATATCTTCTCCCTTTACCAAGTATTTCTTCCTCGCTTCCTCCTTATCGAAAAGCTCGTACCGCGCTATTCCCTCCGCATCTCCCTCCTCAATAAACAACCTCTTCATCAACCCCACAGCTTCAACACACTGTCTCCATTGCACATCATCGAATATAACATCAACCGTATCGCAAACCCTGCTTTCACACTCTATCTTGTATTTGGCGGCGAACGCGTGGACGGCGAGGATATTTCGGTATTCGAGTCTGGCGATGCGGAGGGCTTCGTCGACGCCGAGCAGGGAGACATTGGAGGGGAATGAGCGGTAGGAGGCGGCTTTTGTGTGGGCTCCTGGGGGTTATGTTAGTTTTGTGGTTTGGTTTTCTTTCCTTTTTTCTTTTCCTTTTTGGGGAAGAGAGGGAGAAACTTGAGGAGTTGGTATGGATGGGAAAAGTTGGGTTTGGATTTCCACTATTAAGTGTATAGTATAGCTCCTGATGGGCGTGTAGAAGGGAATAGAAAGAGGGAAAACATACCATTCCTCCCTGTAGCACCAGAACAAGCCTGTCTCGCTTCCAACATAACCACTGTCTTCCTCTTCCTCATCCCACCTCTCTCTTGCCCCCCAGTCTCCCCCCTCTCACCATCCCTAACTTCCCCACTCTCACCACCATCCCCAAGCAACCCCCAAGCAACCCTCGCACCACTAATCCCACTCCCAACAATAACCGTATCAACCACCTCCCCCTCTCTCCCCCCATCTTCTGTAGTAAACAACCCCGCATCAGGACTCCTATAATCCGCTAGCAAGGCATCAGGAGGATCCTGCCAGTAACTCGTCGTTGGATGGGGATGGGGAAGGGAGACGGGGAGGGCGGCGCGGATATCCATTGTAGGTGTTCCCTATGTAGTGTTGTGGTGGTCTGGAGCTTTATAGGAGTAGAGTGGGAGGAAAGAAGGAAACGACGGTGATGGAGAAAAACTGGAGATATGGATCTAAGATAGGTGAGGGAAGAGTGGAAATAGAACGATCGATCGATAGACTGATAGATAACCAGCAAAGTAGAACGAAGAGTGGAGTGGAAGGGTACTATCTCTCAGTACCAGTATTCAATTCCAGCCCCGCGTGGAAATTGAATGAGGGGTTGGTTTGTAGAGGGGTACAGTAGCCTGCCTACCTTGTACTCTACTACCAGCCTTCAACGCACGTAGTAAAGTAAACCAAATCGTGCATTTCAAACAGAAAGATGAAGAAACGCAACACTTACAGTATATCCCATCTGGTACATTTTTATTTGACATCGTCATGGGGACTTTACGAGGAGAGTGCCAATAGTGGGGCCAAGCGGAACTGCACTCCGTAATGGGTGCGGAATCTACTGCATTGGGGATCGTGACTTTTATGGGTCCGGTCCGGCATTTGATTTGAATCCTTCGCACGAAAATCTCAACGACATAACACATTATGAAAATACATTTAATCTGAGTCGAAGCCCGCAGCCTGTCTCACCACATTTTCGTAATTCACAACACCAGCATCACCAAACCCAGTCTCGAGGCATCATCACGAACGGCCGGAAGAAAGAATAGAGAACGAAAAGATTGCAGCAAGATAAAACTATCTAAGCAAAAGCCAGCCAATAAAAGTACACCAGTCAGCCATTCAGACAGCCATCCCACTGAACGAGTTCCCTAATCCATCCGGTATGTAACCCACCATCGTGTCAAAGAATCAGAAAAGAAGAGAGAAAGATGCCCATAGCATGCCAGCCAGGGTGTATGTCAAGGAGAAATTTTGACATCCTTATCCCCCGAAAGCAAAAAAGATCAGAGAAAAAACGCAAATATTCCCATCGCAACATGTCAAGCTTCTGTATGCGTCTAAAAAGACAGAACAGTTGGTGTATGTGTTTTGAACTAGAGTTCAGCACCTTCTTGACCTGCCTTCTTTCCCTTCTTCTTGGGTTGTGGGGCGCCTTCCTTCTTGCAGTGGACGATGAGACGGGTCCATGATTCTTCCTTGTCCCATTCGAAACCAGCTAGGACGGGGTTCTCTAGTTCGTCATCTGCCTGTTATTGGAGAGATGATTAGTATCTGTCTGGACAATACAGGTAGATAAAGAACTGGAAATGAGGAGGCATACCTTCTTCCGGTATTGCTTGTAGATTGCATCTAATGCATCCTTGATTGTCACCCCCTTCATATTTCGTGCTGTTACCTCTAGACCCAGTGGGAAGTGCAGGTCAATCTTCTTGACGGGTGGTGTGGTTAGGTGTTTCTTGAGATAGGCCTTTTCTGGGTCATCCAGCCCCATTGGAGACTTGTTGATACGCCTGAGAGTAGAAAACATCAGCATATATTACCCAGCTCGAAAGGTATTCACTCAAGTGGGTGTTCATATGGGAAAGCGGGGTAATTGGCTCAAACGGGGACAGCGAGTGATATCTTACCAATTCAGCTTTTGCGTCTCCTTTGCAATTAATAGTTCGGTTCCCTCGGCCTCTGTATCATATCGATTGTCAGTATTGAGATTGATAGGATTGATCCGGATGGTCCGGGGGGATGTGCCAAAGTACGAGGTTGGCGTAGAGTCACTTACCCAGGTCATTGATATTGTATACGCCAGGTACACTTGAGCTTGCTCTTCGCTTCTCCTTGGGAGCTTCCGTTGCACCGTCCTTTGAAGGACTCGATGACAGACCTTGAACGGCCGAGTCGACCTTGGACAGAGGTGTTGGTGCTGCGTCTGCTGCCGACATGTTGTTGGTGGTTGTTGACTTAATACTTGGGAGTAGTAGGTCAAGAGTAGCTGTATCTTACGATTGGATCCGTAAGATGAAGACGATTGAAGTGTTGTTTGGTAGTAGCTGTAGAAGCGCGATGGAGACAGAAGAGGATGTTTATGGTTGCAAGAGATCAGGTACGAGGGCAGTTTAAGGGCATCCAGAGAGTTTCATTGATGCCAGGTCGGGCGGGGTCACTCACGTGGTTGGCGCATTGACTTGCAAGGATGCAGGAGGCATCTGACGATTTGTGGAATGACGACGTTCGTGACTTCCCAATCAATCCCATCAAACCATAATTCAAGCCGCCGATATCCGGTGCTTCGACTGTGTATATCTACTCGCTCTCTCCTCTTCCTTTCCCTCAATTGTTCCCTACCATTCGTCGCTCAGTCATCCAAGACCCCCCAAGACGCTCCCATGCTCGACCATCACTCCATCCGCTCCCAAATCTGGGGAAGGAGCTCACCTCGTGCTTGGCACCTGACCCACTCCTGCTCGAAATGCGGGGAACCCGGAATGGGGTCGTAAGAAGTCTGGGGTAGACCCGCCATCTGTCTCCACTGCTGTCAGCTCCAGCTTCACCCATCCATCATCCCTCAATCCACTTTATCTCATGTCAAACATCCATCCGTCTCGTAATGATGGACTAGTTGCGAAGCTGTGGTTTGGCAGATGACGTAAGTGGCGTTGCGCATTGTTCAACGAGTTTGTCACATCATTCCGCTCCGTTTTGCCGGAATGGTCGAGGACTTCATTATTATGTGTGAATTACCGGTAGCTGCAGTCAATAGATTTAGTTGAAGTCGGTTATCTTAACTTTTCTTTGCTTCGAGATTTTGATACTACGATGATGCGGCAAATTAAGCGGGAGAGTTGTTCCCGTATGTTGTGAAGTCCTTTGTGTGTACTGTCCAGTCACCTCGGAGTTCTTGTTGGAAAAATGGAGATTGAGGCAGCTTCTTCGCGGGTGTTTAGGTGATACTCGCTTAGAATGAAATCAATGCTTCTCAGCCGCATTTATTGGTGAGTAGGGTGAGGCTATATCTTCCATCCACACAATAGCATTGGAAGAGACGATATGATTTCTCCTGCAAGCTTGCTCACTTCTCAAGGCAGCGAGAAAAGGACTGCCTGCTGCTCCTTCATCCTAGACCGGCGACTCAACAACCGTTGGGTCCCCCACGCAGGTTTCCCATCACTCCTCCAAGTCAGGTCATTAAATACCATATTCGACCTGTCACTTACAGGCAAAAACATGTACTACTATACTCTACATACTCGCATCCCAAAACTCATCCTATGATCTTTACAAGTTTCACTTCCATGGGGGCGTAGTATAAATAACAGGCCTCGCTCATGCAGTTCCAGTCAGGCACTACTTGCAAACCCACGCAACAAGATGTTAGCCATGCTCTCCGGAGTAGCCGGCTACCGGTCCCGAGCAAGCAGCATACACTCACCATCTACTACTCCCCTAGACCGAGCGAACTAAATTTACTATAGCAAGGGGAATTTTGTCTTCACAAAGATTTATATCGAACGTACAGTTTTGATTCGAAAGCAGCAGATAATTCGACAGCAAACAAGTCCAGTCCGGGCTGTTGTCAGGCCGGCTCATAACCGCGCCCCACTGTCGGATCATTAGTGCCTTGTTGGCACATCTCTCCACGAATTTCCATCCCTTGTCTGTGTCGTCACGAATACCCTTGATGTACAAGTAGGCGAATTCCCTGGCTTCCCGAGGTAGCTTCTGTAATTCACTGTTAGCTTTTACGACGCCGCGTACCTTTGAGATATTAGCGACCCCCATCTCTCTAGCTTCCCTTACAAGTTTCGATAAGTTGTCAACCCCGCTAGTGCCATTCAGATTTCTTTATTAGCTTGTAATATCAGGGGGGAAGGTGTGTGTTAGTCGAGCGAGTAATATTAGAGTCATGGTACTGGAAATACGTAGTATGGACTGTTCAAAGGCGTATTACTCTGCTTCCAAGCGTCGTCAACAAGATGTAACGAGAATCCAGCCGTTGGAGGTGATAGAATGTTCAAAGTCTCATGATGGTGCATTTATACGCAAGCTTATCTCTTAGACCTCTACTTTTCCAGAGATTGCCTGTTGGGGTTTTGGTAGAAGACGAAGGCGGGGGTATACTAGCGAGGGCTAGGTGTATTCTAAAGATTCTTCTCTTTATATATATTAAAAGAGAAGGTTTTGGGAAGTCGTATTCTTTGTCGAGCAACTTACTATTAGCAATTTTAGTTCTAAAAGCTTGAAATTACCGAAATATCGATCTTCAATTAGGTAAGGAACTAAATCAAGGTACAGCCGTGTGTAACTAGTGTTGATGACTTGTGTCTCGTTATGACCTGGCTAGTATACAAGCTAGCTAACTGTGTTTAGTTAACGATGGTTTTCCAAGATTTTCTGGCGTTGCTATCAAAGTTTGGTATTATGATATTGGCTATTAAGGGCTTTCGCCTGCTGTTTTTTACGGGTACTTTCACAGAGTCACAGGAATGGCAAAGGGTCAAAGGTTTGTATATATGTAATATTGTAGTAATGACGCCCCACCACTCTACCGCCCATGAAATCTCCTCCACTCTATATAAAACAAAATTACCCCCCTACAAAACAACCGCAGGCAAAGAACCACAGGAAAAAAGACTGCTCGTCCCACCCAACCACCCAGAGCTGCCGCAAGCGCAAGCGAGAAGACAAAGTAAACAAGTAATCCATCCCACCCACCCAACCAGGATCACCAAACGCAAAAGAAAAAACAAACACCAAAACGCCCTCCCATCCAGTCCCAGCATACCACAAAAAGACCACCTTTTCCCCCTTACTCAACCCCACACATTAGGCTCTTGCCGAGCCCAACGCGTTCCGCTCCTCTCTGCCACACAGGATATCAACCATCTCTAGATAGAAGAGGCCGCTCTCCACCGCCTGCGCCAACCGCTTGGGCGAAGCTTTCTGGTGCTTATTTCGGTCCAGGTACCGTTCCACCAGTCCCTTCTGGGCCCGCTTGTACGAATCCCGCGGGAACCCAGCGTAGTAGGGGAGCTGGTTCCGGTCCAAGACCACCGGGACATGGAAGGCTGGAAGTGGGAAAGTGGATGGCTCAGGTCCACTTCCCGTCCATCTTCCTTCCCTGTCATACCCCTTTCTTAGCATGAGGCCCTCGGCCATTGCAAAGATGACCTCGAGGTCCGCCAATGCCTCCTCCTCGGTCTCCCACATGACTTGCCTCTCCCGCAAGTCGTTGGTGATGGTGAGCAGCCGGGCCCATTTCTCCGACGTGATATATGCTGGGCGACGAGGTTCGAGGGCGGCGACCACCGCGTCGGTGTTCGATTGACGACCGTCCATGAGGTCGAGAACCGCCAGGCATACACAATTAGCGAGATCACTTGGAAATAAACAAGAAAACAGTACCTTCTTCCACTCGCCGCCCGTAAGCTGGGCCCAGTTGACGCTATCACCGTCTTCATCATGCGCCGCTGCGCCATTCTCGCCCACCACGTCTCTCTCTTCCATCTCTGGTTGCGCCGCTGCTGCAGCCGCGTTCTCCTGGTATTGAGCCATTATTTCAATGGCAACGAGCTTGGTTTGTGAACGGTGATGTGCAGCAAGAGAGAAACAGTGTAAATGTGTAGGGTTGCGCGCAGGTTTCATTAATTTCCCATCGCATAGAGAGGTTTTGTGGACGCGCGACTCGGATCAGGGGTAATTACGGCCCTTGGACGCCAATTTCAGCTGAGTATTGCACACAAAGAGATTTGCTATATAACTATGGTCTAATGTTTTATTTCTGGACTTTGAATAAAGCCTTTTGTAGGTTTTTTGCTGTGATTTCCTGTATTCAAGAAAGGCTTTTGGATGTCGGCTAAATAGGGGCTCGGTTAACGCGATTAATTACTAGCTGGTTTAACAAACGCACCGACCACACAAACAAAGGGTACAAATGTCTAGGAATTATCACAATTAATCTTAGAGTTCTTGAATATCTCACGCTAGATGAACAATTAAATAACATAGAGAATCTAAGAAAAACTATAACGTGGTTTATCAGCGAGTCGATCATATCACCGAGTCGATCACTTTTTCTTGGCACAGAACTTTACACCTAAATAAATCAACCACAATATATTAAATTAATTATCGCTCTCTATATCTGACGAACTAGATATATCTATAACTTCTTGACAAGTTCGCGCGTTATGACCAGCTTTTCCACAAGTTCTACAGCGCCGCCTAGAAGGTTGCCCCTCCTTATAACCAACCCCCGCCTCACGCATGTCGCGTCGTACTTGCTCATCTACATCCTCCTGAGCTAACATATCCTGTACATCCTCCTGAGCTAACATATCCTGTACATCCTCTACTATAAGTGCCCCTCCTTGGCGGACACGAGTCTTTTTAGCCCTACGGCGTTTACTTAGGGCTTCATTTGCAGCGCGAAGGGTACGGACCTCAGCAGACAAAAGGGTCATCTCATGTGCCATTCGCTCTGTACCCTTTGCTAACGCAGCAACTGTTTGAAAAAGTGGAGTTGGCGAGCTTCCTTGATGACAGGCTATACGATTTCGTACAAGAGTTGATTGTGAAAGGGCTTCAGTTGGGTTGGAAGGGGTCTGGGACACCCAGGGGAGGGAGTTGGCACTACACGTCCGAGGGGGAGTTGGAGTCCGTAACCTTACGTCAAGCTTTGAAAGCACTGCTTGCGGGTTAAATGGTACTAGGCCAGCTCCGCGGAATCCAGACTGACAGTTTAGGACTGTCATTGTTTCCTTGTATGCTGCTGTAAAGGCTAGAAAGAACTCAACCTTTGTAATATGGTTGATATGGGCCTTGATAAACGTCTCAATCTGCCGACCATACGCTCGTTTTAACACACTATAGCACCCAACATCAAGTGGCTGGGTTAGATGGGATGAATGAGGAGGTAGTCCAAGAGTAATAATGTTGTGTTTCGTACAGTAGTCTTGGAACTCAGCCGATTCATGACTCTCGTGCCCATCCAAAACTAGTATTCGATACAGACCCTTTGCACGAGCTGTAGTGTGTTTATCAAAGTGCTTTAACCATTCCAGGCCTGTTTCATTATTTGTCCAACCATTGCTTGTCGGTTTCATAACCCAGTTAGGTGGGAGGCCGCCGTCGGTATACCAGTTGGAGAGATGGTTCTTGCCCTGAACTACCAAGAATGGAGGAATACTCCAGCCCTCCCCATTAATACAGGCAATTGCTGTAGCCCATTCCCGATTGCCTGGCTGAACTGCCTTGCCTCTACCACGTCGGTCTGCACGAGTAACAACCATTCTAGGACAAATAACACCCATCATAAAGCCTGTCTCGTCGAAGTTGTAGAAGTCGGAGTCTGTAACCCCATATTTCGCCCTCATATTCTCTACTAGCCGGAACCATGCGCCTAGCACGTCAGGATCTTCGCATAAGGCCCTCTGGAAGTCGTAAACGCGATTAAAACGCGTCTTAAGGTCTGGTTGTCGTTGTACGAATCGATGGGCCCAGAGCTTGCCGACGCGTCTTCCCCCCCGCGATTCAAGGATAAAATTAGCCATATCTTCTACACCAGCGAGCCGGGGCGCAAATCCTCTGGAATCCATATCCAGTATATACCGAATAATCACTTCCTCTTCTAACTCAGTCAACTTATGACAATTGGCTTGAGAATCTGGGCGGTAGGTTCGGCCAGCCATTCTGTCGGAAAGAGTCGTATATGGTACATTGTAGATCTTTGCCGCAGAGCGTTTGCTTAGATTTTTGGACGACCGAATAGCCTCGATAGCTAGAGTAATTCGCGCTTCTTGAGTTTGAATTTCCATGGTAAATAGTTGAAGAAAACGTGTGTTGAAGTTTGAGGAGGTAGTGCCAAGGAAAAGTGATCGACTCGCTGACATGATCGACTCGCTGATAAACCACGTTAGTCTTATATAACTATTCTAAAATACCTAGAATATAAATATACTAATAAACTTTTTTATAAATTTCATAGAACAAGGGGGTCTATATTAATCCTTCTATACGGGGGTCTGGAATAGAATAGACTTTTAGTTACTGAGCCCCTTTATTTGATCACGTGATGTCCCCTCCTTTCACCATAGGTAGCTGAACACAGAGAGTGAAAGGATTATTTTGAAAAGCCTTATGTTTCTTCTCGGCTTAGATCTACCCGTAGGTGATGGGTGTCTCACCAAACATATTTTGATGGGCCGGGGTTAGAGTTGTCTCTCCGGTCGACATTCCCCTCGCCCCTCGCTTCGCGTCTCGTTACTTTACGACTATTATTGATCTTAATATTGGTGAGAGTTTTATGTTACATACTAGGTCCAATTGCGCCCAGCCCTTTCTGTTCTGCCGCTAACATTCCTCAAACTCAATATTCGATGGATGCATTCTAGCAAAACCTGCTCATCTACGATTCAAGATTTTTGACTGGCCCGCTTGGTGAGATATCTTGGCAGCTTTCCCGTCAAGCCTAGCATTCCGCTTCTTGTTATGCTACCAAAAGATATAATCCAGACTATCGGTCTATACGCGCATCTTGAATGTTGAGTCGGACTTTGTCGACCATTTTGATTATTTATTCCTTAATATCGCTGTAGTCGTACGATGGCAGGCCTATTAGCATGGCTTGCTGTGCTAACTTTTGCTTCTTTTGTGTTCTGCGTTGATCCTGTTGTACGACTATCTCCATCTCGCAAGTTTTCTAAAATGACTAACGACTATAGGTTGATCTCAAACTCGCACGAACGTTCGGGGTTGTCGTAAATAGTGCAATTACCAACACCGGCGCCACCACTGTCTTTGGAGATATTGGCACAGAACAGACTTTCACATCCATTACTGGCTTTCCACCTGGGATAGTTACAGGAACAATATACGATAACTCCGATGGCTTCATCTCCGATGTAATCACAGACGCAAGCGATGCCTTTGATGCTATCAATGGTCAAACAGACAATGGAGCAGATCCCATAGACATCACAGGCTCCACACTAGGTACAGGCAGCGTAGCAGGCTATGTAGGCACATTAGGTCCTGGGGCGTATACTGCTGTAACTATTCCGCTTCGTGGTACATTTACATTACAAGGAACAAATGATCCTGCTGATAAATGGTTCTTTACATCTGACTTCACGGTGATCACGCAGCCAGATACTCAGATCATACTGGCTGGCGGGGCACAGGCATGTAATGTGTGGTGGGCAGTAGGTAGCTCGGCGACAATAGATTTGAGGAGTCAGTTTCTTGGCCATATCCTTGCGCAGGCGTCTGTCACTTTTAATACGGGTGCTGTTGTAAATAGAAGTCTAGCGGCTTTTACGGGATCAACGACTTTGGATACAAATGTTATTCGTCTCGCGAATTGCCCGTTGGTTGTCTCGAGTAGTTCTAGCTCTACGCCGGGAACTACGTCTACATTAGTCCCGTCAACTTCACCCTCGACCTCACTCTCTACCTCACCACCCTCGACTTCTCCATCGACTTCGCCATCGACTTTACAATCGACTTCACTTTCCTCAAACTCACCACCCTCATCGACTTTACCATCAACTTCGCAATCGACTTCCCTACAATCGACTTCGCAATCGACTTCGCTACCCTCGACTTCGCTATCGACTTCGCTGCCCTCGACTTCGCTACCCTCGACTTCGCTTCCCTCGACTTCACTTCCCTCGACTTCGCTATCAACTTCACTTCCCTCGACTTTACAATCCTCGAGTTCACTACCCTCTACTTCACTATCCTCTACTGTACTATCCTCTACTATACTATCCTCTACTATAATATCTTCCACTTTACCATCCTCCACTTTACTATTCTCCACTTCACCATCATCGACTTCAGTATCATCGACTTCAATATTATCGATTTCAGAACACTTAACATCTGTGCCCTCAACATCAGTACCCTCATCAGCACCGTCAATATCATTATCATCAATATTAATAACAAAAGATTTAAACACACTACCCTCACTCTTCCCATCATCAACGCCTAGTAACTTTACTACCTGCACGACCACGGTACCATCTACCATAGCATCCAGTACTCCAAATTCAGAATCTACAATATCAACCATTCCCGATCTTGGAACCTCGTCAGCATGGAACGATGTGACAGAACAGCCAACAACCATATCTCACACATGCACCGCCCAACCATCCAGAACAGTTCAGCCGACAACCATATCTCACACATGCACGACCCGACCATCTATACCAGTTCCACCGACTGGTCTGTCCACAAGTCAATTGACTAGTCCTTCACTTGGCAAGTATAATTGTTCCCAAGTTGGGGATGGGTCTACAGGAAATGGCAATCTAGCTGCGCCGACACATTCCCCCCACAGCCCGTCCAGTGGAAGCAACTTCCCTCCCATGATTGGAGTGACACCTACCGGCCTACCAGATCAGAAGCTAAGAGAAACAAGCCAAGATATACCACTGCCGATACCCTCTTCCCCAAATATCCTCGCAAACACCACCATCCCTCCTCAAGTTTCATCAGCCAAAACATCCACCTGTAACTCACCAACGAACACAGAACCAGCTCCCAGCAATGCCAAAACAACGTCCTCAAATTGGCCCAGTATCTCGCCGCCAAGCGAGTCGCGCGAGAACAAGATCGAAGGAAGTTATGCAGCATACGCGGGACCTTCTGCTTCTGGCGCGAGGCGAAAGCTGGGTCCTGGTATGAGAGTTGGTGAAATAGTCTTGTTGATTTCTGGGGCCGTGATTTGGGGTGTGTTTGTGCTTTGAATGGAATATGAATGTTGGGTTTCGTGCTTTGGATCTGCATTTTTTTGTTAATATATATTTGACTGGTACAGTAGCAGAAAATAGATTAGAGGTGTTATCACCTCGCCTTCTTTTCAAGAGGTCGTATTCTTGTTGACTGAAAGATTCAAATGAATTGACTTCATAGTTCGTCATCATGATTCATGCGGATGTTCAAAGCTAGGTACGAAATTGATGATTTGCACCTCTCCTTAATTGTTCAAAAGGCTATCGAGCAATGCATTACTTCTGGTTGAGTAGTAGTAACAAAGCCTTCCGGCGGAATTATCACAGACTCGTATTGTAGTATTGTGCCAGCGTATACAAGGAATACTCGTCTCGGACGTCTAATACATGTATTAGACGTCTAATCCACGTATTAGATATTAAGTTTTACAAGCGTATTTCCGAGACTTTTAATTAAACGTAGCTTGTTTTTGATTCTTTTAGAGCTATATAAGCGCTTATATCGCTATAGGTTCTTATCCGCCCCCTGTTACTTATATAATTAAGGGGTTAGTTTAGACCGACCTAAGCGCTTATATCGCTATAGGCTCTTATCTACCCCCTTTAACTTATATAATTAAGGGGATAAAAAGAATATATATATAGTATATAAATATCTAGTACGTATAGAAACTATACTATACGTATATTATATCGCTATAAGTATATTTTTTAGGGCCCGAGGGCCTAGGTGTCACGAATCACGTGCACACGTGATAAGTGAAGACCAGGCGGCGTCCTGACAGGTCAAGCACATCTATAGACTTATAGCAAATAAGGGATCGTTTGGGCTAGCTAAGCGATCCAGGGATTTCCCTGGGTTGGAATCACGTGACGAGCGACATGGCCGACACGGTCGACCGTGTCGACCATGGGCGACTGTTCGACCATGGCGACTATGGGAACGAGGGTTCTATATAATACTGGCACGTCTGCCATTAGATAGGAGCTTCGTGCTCAACTTAGTTATCAATCTTATCATATTAGTTTGTCCTGACAGGTCAAGCACATCTATAGACTTATAGCAAATAAGGGATCGTTTGGGCTAGCTAAGCGATCCAGGGATTTCCCTGGGTTGGAATCACGTGACGAGCGACATGGCCGACACGGTCGACCGTGTCGACCATGGGCGACTGTTCGACCATGGCGACTATGGGAACGAGGGTTCTATATAATACTGGCACGTCTGCCATTAGATAGGAGCTTCGTGCTCAACTTAGTTATCAATCTTATTATATTAGTTTGACATCTTTGATACAAGTAACGAGTTCACTTCCAAGTGAACAACCCGATAGTCTTCTTCTTATCATAGCATACCAACCAGCGAACACCCAGCCAAGTTTAGTTAGCCAGTTTGAGTATTCGTTACACTAGGGGTTAGATCTTTTAGTAAATTACTAATTTTAAGGGGGGAGGCTAGGGAGTAATTAAGGGGCTAGGGATATAGTACTACTAACTTTTAGTAGTAAAACTAGTAAGAACTTAGAGAGTATAAGGAACTAAGTCTCTCCCTTGTTTTTACTATCTATATTCTCTTAATATAATTATTTTTAATATTTAATTTACCCTACTTTTACCCCGCTTTTACTGTAAATATTAATATTACTAACCTTTAATAAAGACCCTCTAGGGCTTACTATTTACCTTATTTTCTTACCTCTAGAGTCGAACCTCCTTATACAATTACCTTTAATCCTTTACTAAAGGATTAGTTAAGGCGTACTTAAAGCGTTACTAAATAAGCGAGTTTTAACCTCCTTTTCATACTTTAAACTATAGAATATATTAGCTAATAACTATATCTTTCTAAGTAGTATTACTAAAGAGGAAAAGACTTAATTATATACTTAAAGAAAGTAGTATTAAAATAACGTTTTATTAAATAACTACTAGATTTATTATAAGCTAGAAGTAATTTATAAAGTATAGTATAGCAAGTAATACTATACTTATACCTAGGATAGTTTTAAGATTATCGCTCATATATATTAGACTCTTAATTATATTAGTACGTATATAACCCTCTCTTATATACCTGCTTTAATAATACTATTTCTAGGAATTATTCGAACCTATAATTATATTCTTAATTATTACTATAGTGTTATTTAATTAAATATCGCGTAGGTTCTTTATTATTATATAATTTATTATAGTAATTATAATAATACTAAGAAAGTAATCCTAATACTAATTATCTCTTACTAAGTTTATAATTATACTTATATTAATCTTATAGATTTTATATTATAGCTAGACTACCCTACTACCCTAGTATTTCCTTTAAGGATAATTTACCGCGGTATCGTACTTATATTACTTAAAATCAATATAAAAGACTTTCTCTACCTCTACCTCGACCGGTAAAGTAGTAACTTAAATTCTACGCTCGGAGAATAGTAAGGGGGATATTAATCAATAAAACCGTAAAGTAATAAACAAAGCTTCCCTAAAAATAAAAAAAACATAGAAGAAAATAAGAAAACGGCTATTAAACTATCTTAGTGTGACGAAACTCAAACTATCTAACAAAAGTAATCGTTCCGAAGGTTGGTATGCAGATAAGAAGATCAGATGCGCCGGGTTGTTTACTCAGAGGTAAACTCGTCACTTGTACAAAGTCGTCAAAGTCAAAAGGTATTGATAACTAAGTAAACTAAGTTGAGCACGAAGCTCCTATCTAGTGGCAGACGTGCCAGCCTTATATAGAACCTTCGTTCTCTGTTGATCATCCCAGAGCGACTCGACCGACACCAACAACAGTCGCTCAGTCACGTGATTACAATACAATGAGATCCATGGATCGCTTAGCTAGCCTAAATGATCTCTATTTGCTATAAGAGATATGATAGTGCTTAACCTGTCAGGGCGCCGCCTGGTCTTCACTCGTCACATGATTACACGTGATTCGTGACACTTAGATATAACGGATATTAAATCTTACTATATATATATATATCCTTTCTATTTATCCCTTTATCTAATTACTAATATAACCTACCCCTTAATTAGCCTAGAAATTATCTCTAGTATTCCTAAATAAGACTATTAGAATCTAAATCTAATTATCCCTACTAATAAACCTATTAATTTTAAAACCCTTGTCACGGATGCCAACAAAGGATAAAGTGTATACAGCTTTTGAATCAATTGCTAGAACTAAAACCGTAGGTACGATGAAATCAAACTAAAGAGAGAAGAGAATCTGAAAGGAGCGAAGTTATTTAAGTTGTTCCAATGCCAAGTCTCGTCACGTGCTTGGCCAAGCGAATGAAATCCTGTCAAATGAAATCCAGCTCCGTCACAACCATCTATTACTTACTCTCTCTCTCTCTCGAGCTTATTTAACCTACCTTCCTACCCTACCCTACCTAGCCTTCTAATCTATCTATAGTAGCTTATAAATCTATAAATAAGCCTACTTACCTCCTAATATTCTAACTATACCTTATATTCTCTTTTTACTATAAAATCCCCTTATATTCCCTTATATTCCCTTTTCCTCTCCTCTTTTTTCTCTAATTAATTAATCCTTATATCCTTATATTCTTACTATAGAAAAAGATTACTAGGTATCTACTTACTATAATATAATATATAAATCTCCCTCTCTCCCTTTCTCCTAAGAATATAAGTAGGAAGATTGTTGGGAATACTAGAATTGTTGGAATGCTGGCATTCGGGTTTTCAGCGGTGCAGGTCACGTTTTCCTATGTCACGTTTTTCCCCACGCATCTGATACGTGTTTCGTATCAGACACCCACACTCTTTTACCCATCGTCCGAAGCAATTGTAGATAGGAGGAACACACAGAATACAATCGAGAATCAGCGCGCTTACTTTGTGTCACACTTTGAGAGAGAGAGAGAGAGAACAAACCTGTACAGTCGTATCAACACTGATCAGTGGTTGAAAGACCACGGAACAGCTAGGTATCAACTTTACCAGAAGAGACAGAAACGGCGAGATCGGAGACTCACGAATCCTTTTTCGTACGACTGTGCTAGAGAGTATTATTTCACACTGTGAAGTAATATTCAAGGAATATTCAGCTGTCGTCTTCCCTACCGAGCCCTAGAGGGACGACAATTGGAGGTTCTGCGTCTATCACGGCCACTTGAGACGTACGGGAGAATTGGACTGAAAGCAGGAAGAGATCTACCGCCAAAAGCGTTATCGTACGAACACGACCAAGAGCTTCGTACACAGCCAGAAATGGCGAAATTACCAGGACAACAGGAGGACAGGAGATACCCATTGTTAGAAGAGCAATGGGGAAGGAACTTTGACCCAGAGAATCCCGAGAATCACACAGAAGAGAAAGTCAACACGCATATCTTATTACTACTCGAGAACGAGAAGTACGAAAAGCTTCAGGACAAAGAACTCTGGACTGAGTTTCGGGAACACTTTGAAGATTGGACTCTGGAACTCTTCAAGATCGGGAGCAGGAAAGCACTCCAGGAGCTTCGTACGACCCTTACAGAGAACGGAGTATGGGTTAAACCAGTAGACGGACTTTCCTACGCAGCAGTACTCAACGGGGTCCTTCAAGAAGAGAACCAACATGAATGGACTGATGCGGAAATCCAAACTCATCTTAAACAGAGAAACGCAATCTTCAATTCAGAGAAGAACCCTGTGAATCAATCAAGAGCTGCCCCAGGAAATCGTACAAGGGACAACACCAGAGAATTGGAACCAAGAGAACAAGAAATCCAAGAAAATTCAGACAGGATCCAAGGAACGCAAAACCGAACTCTATTACAAGACGATCAAGATCAAAGGCAACACACGGAAAACCAAACTCCAAATGCCAGGAACCCAGCATTTCAGACGATGTTTCAAGAGGATGTCGGACGAGGATATACCCCTATACCTCATGACTCGCGAGACAATACTCCTTTTCCAGAAACGAGACCTTACTCGCGATTCAATGCACCTGAACATCCAATATTGCGAAGGGAACAGAACAGCTTTGGACAAAGAGACACCGAGGCCAGGACTCGCACAGAAGATCCAAGATACGAGGGGAATCGTACAGAGAATCCGAGGTACGAGAGAATTCGGACGAACTCAAACAAATTCCTGATTGACTTGATGAAGATCTATTCACATGATAGTAAAAAGTACGGAGGGGAGTTGTACGA